CCTTAGTGGCTATTTTATCCCCATTTATCTCCCAAGGTTCCAAGGATCTATGGTGACAATATATCCAAATCTTATCCTATAATCAAATACGCTACACCTAAGCCCTACTTAATTCATATGTCAATCATGATGTGGTGATATGGTTCGTACTACTGGACAGCTATGCATGCCTTGACAACATCTTATCATCCACAAACAAATTGTTTGGTATAATAATTTGTCTGGAACTTCAAAAGGATGATCGTGAAATATATAAATTTTTAGCATTCAGATTAAGATGGTTATTGCCATTTCTTCGATATGTGTATGTCATAGAGGTATAGAGTTTTGTTAGTGTTTCATTATATAAACTCCTATGTGGTCATGATTTGATACTGCCAATGGAGTTGAGTTTACTTTCACAATTGCCACAAGTTGTTAATTCTAGGTCCTAAGATTAATATTTAACAAGCATTCTTCCACTAGTTTGAGTGGAGTTTACTAAATATTTGGGCCTCGTACAAGTGGGACAATAATGGCACTACAACTCACTTTATCATTTATTTGCAAAGTACAAACTGAATGATTTAATGTTAATTTATTTTTCCAATCTTATGGTACATGGTTTGTCTAAGAGGCTCTTTATTTAGTAAAAAGGACTGTATCAGATGTTGTGGCAAGTTGAACCGCAAATTTATGAAGTTTGATATGACATTTAACATATTAATCCTTCAAATTATACATGTGCAACAACTAAAGCACTTCGTATTAAAGGGTCATAAACAATTGGCACCACCTATAGATCCACTAGTACCACCTCCTAATATTCCTTTAGATCCCGACGTATCAACCAAAGAATTGTAATTGCCTTCCATCCTTCTAAGAGGAAAGGATGATATGAGGTTTAAAGATACGGCTATAATAACATATATTAATATTAGGATAAGGACTTTAATAGCTATTAGATTGGTTTCAATCTAGACCATTTATTTGCTTCTATATATAAGTTAGGGTTTTTGGGCTAATTGAATATATATATTTTTGTATTCCATGCACTCACATATCCATATTTATATACAATAAAAATGATAAAATTAATAGCATGCAACATGTATGAAATTAATAGATGAAATATTTATATAATCTTATATAGTTTTTACATAATCTTATTTAATTATATATTATTTTTTTAATAGCCACTAAAATTGTGATGTCCAAGTGTACAACTATGATACTATATATTAATATTAATGACCATACACTAAGATTAACATAGTAGGATTTTAATAACTATCAAATTTGTTTCAATCCAAACCTCTTGCTCTTGTATATAAACTAGTTTTTGGGATAATTGATGTGCATATTTTTATATCCCTTTCTATATTCTATACACTCACATTTGTGGAGGTAAAGGACAACACTAATTGTCCCAGAAGAGTGCTTAGATTTGGGATTTGGTTTAAATCTAACTTTTACATCATCTAGATTTCACTTTCTTTATAGCTTTTTTAGTTTTTATTTTTATTTTTATTTTTATTTTTCATTCATCTTTATAGCAAAGTAACAACCTCCTCTAGAGCAATAGTTAGTGCAACTTTTTGATGTTATGTAGTTGCAATTAAACAATTAAACTCAATTGATAGCAGTATTCACAATACATGATATAGCTCCTCTTGCTCTTGTTGCCAATCCTTGTGTTTGATTGGAGTTCATTTATGGGAATTTTTAGAATGATGTGTATTATTGGTTTAATGACTTTATGGTGATTGTCATAAATCATTCTTGGGATGATGCTCAATATTTGCGTGAGTTTCCCATATATTTCCAAGAAATAGTATTGTAGAGGTATAATGGTTTGAGCATAACCATTCATGTGGATTGAAGCATTCTCTCGAACATCTTCAAATGCACATTTGAATATGCCAATGATTGTGAGGATGCCTTCTAACAATTGCATCGTCTTCATTAAGGGCAATTTGAGTCAATAATGCAATTTGGCATTTATTTTAGAGCCTTTTACTTCGTATACAGATAAATATGTTGGAGTAGATCAAGTTAGGAATGTTGTGGCTAGCACTTCGTCAAGATCTTGTAGGACTTATATATGCACTTTCTCTAACCACTCTTGATAATGCTCTTCACTTAACACAATATTATAAAACATCATCTTTTCCACTTCTCACTATATATTCTTTAACTTCACTTTATGTGGGAAATGGTCCTGTTCCAATGAAAGTTGATGTTATTGTTACCCGAGTTTAAGGATAAGGGTTAGGACATGGTCATGGTTGTGATAGCGTGTGATAAAGTTGGTAACACATATTAGTATTATTAGCATTTTCCATATTAGTATCCTCTATTTCCTAGATGGAGACTTTGGCATCAACAATGTCCTATTTGTGTTGTTGCAATGGAAGGTTTAGACATCAAAATGCTTCTGGGAAACAAAGAATTATACGAGTATTAAAAGGTCTTTCCATCTTTCTTTTAAGAGTATTATCAAGGGGTTCACTTGGCACTAATTTATCCACTATTTACTTTCCAAACTCATTTTTATAATAATAAGTCTTCTATTATTCTCTATGTTGGTTGATATAGGCTTGAATTTATTTTCTATTACTCGACCTATTACCACACATTATTATCTACATGTGTGTTATGCAGTAAAACCAATTTTCATTCTTTATAACAACAGCCGTACACAAGTATGTGCACAGGATAAGGCAAATTTAGTGATGTATGTGGGCGATCTTAAGCTTTAGCTTTAGTCATTGTAGGTGATATTGAGTCAAACTTTTAACTTATCTTTGATATAAATTGGTTGTAGTGCAATTATGCTAAATGTGACTTTGGGGGTTCTCCCTCTTTGTCTCATATTTCTTTATATTTTTTCCATTCTTCTCACTTTTATTCCTTTTTATCCCTTTGCTTTTACATTTACTTTTATCACTTTTCTTTCCCCATTATTTCTCTTATGTTTTTATCTTGTTCCTCTATTCCCTTTCAAATTTCTTTAACAGTCTTTGTATTTTAGCAGTTGACTAGCTCATGAAAGAGTATGTTGATCTCTTTAAGTTTGAGGCCAAAATTGCAATATGTCATTCTATTCCAACTAAGGATGCTTATCCAATAAAGATTTATGTTCGTTATCAGTCCAATGATATGCAATGCTTTTTAGGTAAAGTGCAATATCTTAGTTATTTCATTAATTATCTTTTTATTGTATTACACTGTTTTAAGAATTATTGAAGTTGTCAACATTGTCTTTTATTTAGTCCATGGACTTTGAGCAAGCATTTATACATCTCAAAGAGTTGTTGACAAGTCCTTTAGTTTTGGCATATCCTAAATATACTCAACCTTTTAATTTGCAAGTGGATGTTTTTTATATCGGTGTTAAAGGTGTGTTAATATAAAAGAGTCTGAGTGTGTTTAGTTAGTGTCATTTCATTGCACACATCAACTATATATTATAACTAAAGGAGGTGAATTACTCCACAATAGAGGCATATTTAGTAACTATTTGGGATTTCAAGAAACTTCATAAATATCTAAATGGTTCTTGAGTGTTATTCATGCTATAGTTACTTTGTTATTGAAGAGGAAGAATTTAGTTGGTCATACTACTTGGTGTGTTTTGAAGCTTTAAATATATAATTTCGATATTATTCATTGCTTAGGAGTTTTATAGTTAATGCTGATGCCCTCTCTCAAGTTTCTCTTCCTTCTTCACTCTTTTATCATATTTCAGACTAGTCTAGATTTTCTAAATAAAGATTTTGTATTATTAGCAATTGTTGTACTTGATGTTCAATATCCACAAGGTGTGAAGCAAGATTTACCTTCTCTTGACAAGTTGTATAAGGCTCAAGACTTCCACCTAACAAGTCAAGTAGTTAGAAATAATAATGACATACTCTTGTTAATGTATTTGCAATTTTTATTAAGTACTTCCTCTTTAATCAAATGGTGTTTTAATATGCTTGTCCAGAGTATATTTTTTTGGATAATAGTCTGCATTTATTTAATATCTTACTTGAAGATATGCTACACTTTCATAAGTGTTTATCATCCACAAACACATAGTTTGGTGGAATGATTTATTCAAACTTTCAAAAGCATAATTATGAAGTATATGAACTTTCAACATTTAAATTGGGATGATTATTTGTTGTCTCTTTAATATGTGTATATCACAAGGTTACAAAGTTTTGTTAATATTTCACTATATAAACTACTACATAATCATGATCTAATACTACCAATAGAGTTAAGTTTACCTTTACAATTGCCACAAGTTTACCGATGCTAAATCCTAGGGTTAATATTTAACAAACATTTTTTCATTTGTCAAAACTAAATTTGCTAAAAACTTGGGCCACTTACAAGTGGGACAACAATAGTGCTACAACTCTCATCATTATCCAAAGTACAAAGTGGATAAGTTAGTATTAGTCTGCTTTCCTAATTTTACAATACATGTTTTGTCTAAAGGGCTCCTTATTGAATGGAAGATATTATATCAGATGTTGTGACAAGTTGAACCATAAGTTTATAATGTTTAACATAACATTCAAGAAGTCAATTCTTTAAAAATTATATATATGCAATAGTTAAAACACTTTATATAAAAGGGATTAAAAACAACTAATACCATCTATAAATCCACTACTACCTCTCCTTGATATCCCTCTAAATCCTAACCCATCAACGAAAAAACCTTAATTGCCTTTCATTCTTCCAAAAGGAAAGAATGATAAAAGGTCCAAATATACATAATGTTGTATATTAATATTAACAACTCTATATTAAGATTAGCATAGTATAATTTTAATAACTGTTGGATTAGTTTCAATCCAAACCACATTACTCTTGTATATAAGCTAAGGTATTTAAGTTAATTCATATGCACAGTTTTGTATTTTATTTCTTTATTCCTCCTCTACTTTATTATTGAGTACTATGAAAAATTCTTTTCTTACAAAAATGTAAATTAATAAGTATAAGTTGACATTTTAATATAATAATGGGGAATAATATTAGATCCGAATCAATAGAAGAATGAGCATGCTGGAGTTTTTCTGGCGTAAGGATATAGCAAACCATCGCTCTGCTAGAATCCAAATGAAGCTGTTAAAGAATCCATGAATTCCAGAGCATTGTCACTTGAATCCTCGGACCATGGTGCTTGTCCTGTACGAGACTCCATTGAGGTCCTCAATCACCCATTTGAGCTCAGTCATGTCCATCACCCGGAAATGGACGATGTCTTTCTCGTGATTCCGTTGCTCTTCGATGTGGAGAGTTCCCTCGGCAAGATGGTTGAACCACGAAGTTAGGCCCCAACGTTTCTGTGACTCCGGTTTTGAGTCTTTCGACTCGCCTTGGCTGTTTGAAGTGCTCTGGACACGGCAAACGAAGTAGCCTTTGTCAGCTACAACCTTGAGCAGCTCCTCGCTTTCACTACCATTGGCTCCAACAACCTGGTTTGCCGAATTAGATCCCAATAGCGTAGACCAAAAACGAAAACTTACCAGCAAGACTTGCTTGGATGGTAGCCTCCATTTTGTACATATCGAGTCCAGCATTCCTTCGCTGCTTGGACAGTCACATTGGTTGGAACTGTGATTCATGAAAAATGAAAAGTACCTGACGACTTCTTCTTGCAATCTCCTCACTTCCGCAAACTGGAAGCCTCCCAACTGGTTCATTAAGTTTCTAAGCTCAGCGTCTGGGCCACGAGCCAAAAGAGCTTGCGAAACACCACGCTCCTGGAAAAGGAAAGAGTTGGAAGCATAGAGAACAAAAGATTATAGAAGAGAGAACCGAAAGATAGAAACGAACCTCCAAGTATCGAATAAGAGCGGGGCAACCCGGTAGCACAGAACTATCTTTTTCTCCTGGAGAAGTTGTGATCACCACCCCGAGCTTGGCTTGCTCTTGTCTTGCATCCGCTAATGCTTGCTTGTGTCTAAGCCTCTCGGCATACTTTGCTCGTATGCTGTCTCCTCTCCCCAGGATCTCTTCCAAGCTCTGCTTCTCTTGCAGCTTCTTCTTCCTCAAAGCCGCCGCCGAGGAGCTACTGCCACTCCCAATCTTCTCCTGGAGTGCACCAACATTTTTCAGTCCCAGCTTCTCCATGACTTGCTCGGCCGACACATCTTCCACGTTTCCAACAGTCTCGTTCACGTTCTCGTGAACGAGATTGCTCCAGTCCCTGGATCCAGAGGACGCCATCTCCTTGATTCTTTTCCCTCGTTGTTGAGGAGGAATGGCCAAAGCCGCCATGTCGTAGATCACCCCACGCACTAGAAATCCAGTCTCCACGCCTTCACGAAGCTCCCGGCGGAGATAGAGCTCCTTGACGTCGAGGTTGGTCCGCCAATTCCCATTCTCGATTCTAAATGCTTGCTTGTGCTGCTGCTCCTCGGGCAAGGCCAGCCCCGCCAGCGTGAAGAGCATCTCTTGGATCGTCGTCTGGATGTGCGCCATGGAGAAGACTGACCAATCCACCTCAAATGAGACATAATCTTCCTCTTCTTCTTCCTCTTGCGCTGCTGCTGCTACATTCTTTGGATTTCTTGGCTGATGCTGGCGCTGTGGAGAAGGATCGGCCATACCTGGAACTGGAGGCGAAATCTGCGACGGCAGTGGCGCCAGCTTCCTCCTGCCCGGCCGATGGAGCCTCTGCGCGGCGAGATGCATGAGGCGGCGCAGCACACCCATCCCGGGCGCCGCCTAGGGCTCTTGCCGCCACTGCCAAGTGTGACCATTGAAAATATTCCTTGCAGGAAATTTTTTGGGAAGATCAAGGAGAAGAAACACTCGATAACGATCAAGCTTTTCGAGGCTGGATTCCATCGCTGCTTGCGATCTCATCCGATCAGTCGCCAGGAGCAAGGATCTTCGCCAGGCCAGGGAGCTGCATTCGCGCCTCCGGCAAATCATCCCAGCGCTCCTCGCCAAGAGCAGGCTATTAGGGAACTGGATCGTAGACATGTACGGCAAATGTGGCAGCATAGAAGATGCCAAGGGCGCCTTTGATTCCCTCCACCACCCCAATGTCTACTCCTGGAATATCCTTATCACAGCATATGCCCAAACTGGGCATATACAGGAAGCGCGACACGTGTTCCACTGGATGACCGTCCGCGACGTCGTGTCCTGGACGGCGTTGATACAAGCTCATTCCAAGCATGGGCAAATTTTCGAGGCATCCAGAGCGTTCCAGAGAATGCCTCAACGAGATGCCGCCACGTGTACGGTGCTTGTGACAGCATTTGCCAAGACTGGGCATTTGTCCGAAGCGAGGGGCTTATTCGCGAATATGCAACAAAGAAACGTTGTGGCATGGACGGCGTTGCTCACGGCATATGCTTATGACGGGCAAACGGCAATGGCAGAGGGTGTTTTTGCGAGAATGCCAAGCTGGAGCATTGCGCCTTGCTCGTCAATAATGACGGCATATGCCCAGGTCGGTAACGTTCCGTCCGCACAACGAATCTTTGATTCCATGCTCGAGAGGGATGTGGTTTCTTGGACAGCACTTTTGCAAGTATATGCCCGCATAGGGCATCTTGGTGCAGCAGAGCAATTATTTGACATGATGCCAATGCGAAACGTTTTCTCGTGGACTGCAATGCTTGCAGCTTTGGCGGAAAACGGGCTGCTAGAAAAAGCAAGATTCGTTTTCAAAGAAACGCCACAACGGGACATGGTAATATGGCATGCAATTGTTTCAGCAAATGCCCAATACGGGCATTTGCTAATGGCGCGAGAATTGTTTGAGAAAATGCCATGCCACGGAGTCGAGACGTGGTGTTTGATGCTAGTCCGCTACGCACAGATTGGAAACCTCAAACAAGCGATATATTTCTTTGATTACTCTCCCAGGGTGGATGTGATCTCTTGCAACGCTATGATGTCTGCGTTTGCTCACGAGAAACTTGTAGATCAAGCGCGCAGGGTGTTTGAGCGAATGCCGCAGTGGAGTGTAGTCTCCTGGACCGCGATGCTCGAATCCCACGCCTCGGCCGGAGAGATCAAAGAGGCAAGATCCCTGTTTGACCACCTCCACGAGCCAGACTTGACATCATGGATCGCGATAGTCGAAGCGTATGCCCGAGTTGGGCATATCTCAGAGGCAAAAAAGCTCTTCGATCGAATCCCTTGCAAGGAGATCGTTTCCTGGAACTCACTGCTTGCTGCCTATGGCCGGGGAGGATACCATCGGGATGCCGTCGAGAACTTCTGGGCGATGCAACAGCTGGGATTCGATCCAGATGGTATCACCTTCGTCACTGTCTTGAGCGCCTACAGCCACACTGGGCGAGTCGAGGAAGCTAGAAACTCCTTCGTTTCGATGGTGCTGGATTACAATCTGGTACCGGCGATGGAGCACTATGGTTGCATTGTTGACGCGCTTGGTCGATCTGGAAGGTTGTCAAGAGCATCTGATTTGCTGGAAAACATGCCCGTGTGGCCACCAGTGGAACCCTTGACATCGTATCTAAGCTCGTGTCTTAACAACACGAACGATCCTTCCTCTAAAGTCTACACAGTTTCTTCACAAGACATCAATCTCTCTCCGCAACTTTGCGTGATCTAGATACCTGAAGACAGTACCATTTCATAGGCTCGAAGTTCCTTCTTCTATACACATTTTTTGGTTTCATCTTCACAAGAATCTTATTTCTGTGCCGTGAAGATCAGCTGGAAGCAACCAAGACACATGCCATAGTCGCACGGTCCACCACGGAGTCATAGAATTCGCGAGCTTCTTCAATGCTTCCAGGTGCCGCTTGCTATGCGGTGGATCTTCTTCTCGGCGTCAAGCATCTTGGAAGAGGCCAATATCGGTTAACTACATGGTATGGTGATAAATTAATGCGAACGCGGTTGCTGAGGAATTGGTTATCAGGTAAGTGTAGAGGTGGACCGGAAGTAGATGACCCGGGTTCGAGGCGGCCGAAGGGTCCAATCAACAAGGACTTTATGCGAAAATCTTTTACGGAAGAAATACCCCAAATATTGCTTCGCCAGCTCAATAAAACAGGTTAGACCAGTCAGTTAACACCCCGGGCTATCAAAGAGCACGCCCAGGGTTCGAATCTTGATTTTGGACTCTCCGTCTACATGGTTTCTTTACAAAACATGAATCTCCTTCCGCAACTTTGCGTGATTTTTAGACATCAGAAGATAATACCATTTCATAGGCTCGAAGTTCCTTCTTCGTCCATAGATTCTATACACATTTTTGTTTCATCTTCACAAGGATCTTATTTCTGTACGCGTGAAGATCAGCTGGAAGCAACCGAGACGGGAGCTCGCACCTGGACGCACAAGCCATGGTCGCACCTATCTGGTTTCGAGTGCTGGACTACCACTGGGTTGCCACTGGCGTCCAGGTCTAGCAGCGCTGTGTCGCCTTCGCTGTAGTGTGACGCGAGTAGAGACTCACTCACCGCGTCTTCGATGATCCTGGTGACCGCTCGCCGCAAGGGACGAGCTCCGTAAGCTTTGTCGTAGCCCTCGTCGCAAACCAGCTTCACGGCTGCTTCCGACACCTCCAGATTGATGCCTCGCTTGGCGAGCCTCTCTTTCGTCTCGGCTAGCATCATGTCAACAATGGCACGGACCTGCAAAAGAAGTGTTACGCCGTACGCAAAAGGGATGAGAGATTTATCTCTCACCTGAGCTTTCTCTAGCGATCTGAAGACAACCACTTCGTCTATTCTGTTGAGTAGCTCGGGCCTGAAGAAGTTTTTCAGCTCGTCCATCACCAGACCTTTGAGGTTTGTGTAGTCTTCGTCGCCACCTTCCGCGAACGAGAAACCGATCTTGCCGCTTCCTCCTCTTGCTATGGCCGAGGAGCCAACGTTGGATGTCATTATCAAAAGAGAGTTCCTGAAAGAGACGACGCGGCCCTGTAGAATCCAGCAGGTCAGCTTACAGGCATCACGGAAAATGCTTTACCTGTGAATCGGTAAGGCGACCGTCCTCAAAAATTTGCAAAAGCATGTTGAAGATATCGGGATGAGCTTTCTCGATCTCGTCCAAGAGAATAACAGTGAAGGGCCTCTTGCGAACAGCCTCTGTCAGCGTTCCACCCTCGCCATATCCAACATATCCGGGAGGAGAACCGATAAGCTTGCTCACAGTATGACGCTCCATGTACTCGCTCATATCCAACCTTATCATGGCGTCCTCCTGGAAGAAAAAAACCGTGGTAAGGCGCCATATGTGCATGCGTATGAAAGGACTTACGGCTCCAAAGAAGTGCTGAGCAAGAGCTTTTGTAAGCTCCGTTTTTCCTACACCGGTTGGCCCGCAGAAAAGCATGGCAGCGATCGGCCGACTTGGATCCTTGAGTCCGACTCGTGCCCTGCGAACTGCTCGCGATATGGCATTCACTGCATCATCTTGGCCAACAACACGCGTTTGCAGCAACTTCTCCAGATTAATAAGCTTCAGTTGCTCGTCCGAGGTAAGTTGCTCAATCGGAATACCAGACCACATGGACGTCACAGCTGCTATTTCTGAAGGTCCAACTATCACCGAGCTGCAGACAAAAACAAAGCTTAAGAAACGGAGAACAAACAAAAGTAGTGCATACCCTTCCATTAGTTCATTTACAGGTAAAGAAACTGACTCTTGGTCGATATCTACAGCCTTCGGTAAAGTGTTTGCAGCACTTTCAATAAGATACTCCGAGTCCCCAAGAGCACTTTGCGGAACGAAGGCCTGAAAAAGAATTGTTAGAACAACTTTCGGCACGACAAGCAAAATAAAGGTCACTTACAGCTTCTTGAGCAGCCTGGACAGCCCGAATTGCTTGCCAGTACTCGCTAGGTGTCTTGGAAAGAATGCTGACTCGCTCTTCTTTCCTGCGCTTAAACGCATCAATACGGGCTCTACTGCCAGCCTCGTCGATCAAATCAATCGCTTTGTCGGGAAGGTATCGATCAGCTATGTATCTCGACGACAAATATACAGCCGCATCAACTGCTTCCTGTGTAATTCTACATTTGTGATACTCTTCGTATCTATCACGTATTCCTAAAAGAATCTTTACAGCGTCTTCCTGCAAACCAAAAAAATCGTCAACAACAACATATACCAAGTAACAACACAAACCTGACTAGGTTCATTTACAATAACAGGTTGAAACCTCCTTGCTAGCGCTTTATCTTTTTCGATGTGTTTTCTATGCTCGTCGAGTGTTGTGGCACCTATACACTGAAGAAAAAAGCGTAAGCATAATCGTTATTAACAGTGAAAACATTATCTTTACCTGAAGTTCGCCTCTCGCTAATGCAGGCTTCAATAGATTCGCAATGTCCAAGCCTGCCCCATTATTTCCACCTCTTCCACCAACAGAACCCGACCCAACGAGCGTATGGACTTCGTCTATAAGAAGTATAACATTGCCTGGTGATATCAAGCATGTCAGATACAGCATTCTAAGTATAAATAAACGGAAAACTTCACCTGCTTTTCGCGTTTCCTCTATGAGGCTTGTAACCCGAGATTCTAGTTCACCACGCTCCTTAGCTCCAGCAAGAAGCAATCCCATATCCAGCGACATCACTCGCTTCCCCTGTATGCGCAAGCAAGAATATGTAAACTTCACCGCAGTTTAAAAAATCTACTCACCGTGAGAAACTCTGGAACGTTTCCACTCGCAATACGTATGGCAAGGCCTTCAGCAATCGCTGTCTTGCCAACGCCAGGCTCCCCAAGCAAGATGGGATTGTTTTTGGTTCTTCTTGCTAGAATCTGTACAACTCTTTGCACTTCACTGTCTCGGCCAATAACAGGATCAATTTTCCCGTCACTAGCACGTAAGGTAAGATCCACACAAAAATCGTTGAGGGCACCTTTTTCTAGAAGACGGCGTGGTAAGACGACAAGCATCGAAAGCAAACTAATAAGTAAAGAGCGAACCTTTTCTACCAGGACGCTTGCTTGACGAAGCCGCTGTAGCTCCAGACTTGGCTGGCAAACTCATAGCAGGAGGCGGTGTTCTTCCGTCCTTGGCAAGTTCTCCCTGTAGTCTCACGATCGACTCAGCTTGTAGCTTTTGCGTTTTCAATCCAAGCCTGAAAGAAACACGCAAAAACGGAGTCAGCCACACCCAATCAGCCATTTTCTATCTATCTATCACGTACTTGTCAAGAATCTTTGTAGCTCCCCCATCGTCCACCGTGAAAAGAGCAAGCGCTATATGCTCCGGGGTGATGTAGTTATGTCCCATCTTCTTGGACTGCTCCAGCGCCGCCTCAAACACCCTCTTGCTTCCAGTCGAGAAAGGAATCTCGGACGCTTGCTTATCGGACGTGACAAACGTTTGATTGCTCTCCTGGAGCAAGTTCTTGAAGGCCTCCCTGGCTCGGTCGATGGTAACGCCAGACCCGAGAAATCCTTCTCCATTCCTCTCCTCGGCAATCAATCCCAGCAGCAGCTGCTCGGTTCCCACGTCCTTCTTTCCAAACAGCTTGGCCTCCCTCTGGGCGAGCATGATGGACTTGATAGCTCTCTCCGTGAATCGCTCAAAGACCGCGCTCACGACGCCCCGGCAACCAGCTCTAGCCTCGCCGGGACTTCTTGCTATCAAAGAACTCGAGACTGCCTGATCGAATCCCTCGGAGAATGAAACTGGGCGGAGGAAATCGATGGCGGTGGAGCACCTCCTCAATCCTTCGTGCTGATACCCGCGCGATTGGAGGAACGCCGCGCAGCTCGACTTCCTCAGCGCCGCCGCTGCCGCCGATGGAGGGGGCCTGCTGTGGTAGTACACGGGGCTGCCCAGATGACATCGCGGGGACGAGCTGCCGTGCTCGAAAATGCGCGCCTGGTGAATCGTGTTGGACGTGCTCGCGGCCGCCATCGCCATGGATCAAATCCTTGCCACACCGGGACTGGCTCAAGATTTCACCTGGAGAGCAGCCGGATTGGAGCTTGGCTCGAGCAAGAAACGAGAGCGCGCCCACTGCTGGTACTCGACGCGTTGCAAAACCCTAGGAACAGGAAGAAGGAAGATCCAACCTCGGCCCCACTGCGGTTGAGTGCTCTCGATCTGGTGTCGTCGCGGCGATGGCGGCGGCGGCAATCCAACCCCCACGCGCTATGATCCTTCGCGTCCACGCTTCCTCTACAATGGCCGCCCTCGCCGCGCATTTTTCTAGTCAGCGAGGAAGAACACCAGATCACCAAGGGGTGCAGCCGGGGTGTTGTGGGCCGTTGGATGGGAGATCCGACGGCTGTGGACTCGCCACGACAGGTAGTCCGAGAGCGGGAAATTGTGGGTGGCCACCAGCGAATATTCGCGCCGGCGAAAGTAGAAGTCGCGTGTATTTACCACGTGGCTTATGAGTATATGTGTTGCATGCAAAGACTCGCACCACGTAGCTGCATTGCTGTGTTCGTTAGAAACCTCTATGAAAGGTGGTATAACTATGGTCAACACTAGTTGATTATGGCAAAGTCAATGAATTGTTGACGAGAAGAAAAATATGAGATCACGATGGACCCATTGCTTGACACGATCGAGAAAACTATTGACAGAAACTATCAAAGAGGAAACTTCCATTCATAGATTAGCGAGGAATTCTTTGTTTGACACATGATATGAGAGAAACTTCATGGGCCAAACTTCCAATTCATAGATTTGAGAGGAATTCATAGAGCTCACTAGCAACTCGTCCAGGGAACTCCTCGTGTGCCAAGAGAGCTCCTGGAATTTCCACAAGCTTGGCCACACCCTTGGCATCCCGGAGAGCTTCCATCTCGGCTCTAGAGCGCCTCGGACTGGCCGTGGAAACCATGACCAACGCTGGGACTTTCCCGTCCAGAGCGCCAAACAGCTCCACAAATTCTTCCCGGCTCTTCACTGGATCAAGCAGGCCAGTGAGAAAGGCCGCAGGAGCGTAGCGAGCTCCTGGGAGCTTGGTGAGAGCGAGGCGGCTATCGACGATGGCGTCAGTCACGTTGCTCGACTCTGAGTAGACGTGACTTTCGTACTGTTTTCGTATGTTGCTCCGGCTGCTCACGAGTGCGTTGTAAAGAGCCCAGCCCACGGCAGGCGCTCGCAAAGCTCCTCGAAGGAATCCATACCTGTACGTAAACAATGGCAAAGCGATAGAGTTGAGAAAGAAAAGAATGATTTTGGAACTAAGCACTACTTACTTGGATACGGCATCGGGACTTTGTCCGAAAACAATTGGCAAAGGTCCGGCCCATGTTGGAGCTACCGCAACCAAAGCTCGGGCATTGATCTTTCCTCCGGCGATGGCCTTTGCGGCAATGGTTGCAGCATGACCACCTCCGGCAATCACTGGAGCTGGAGTATAAGAAACTAATTAACTCTTGCACTAGAGTTCTAGAGTAAAGAAAAAAATGTACACTGACCTGTTGTGCTTCCAAGAGGTCCATCTTGTGCCATGACAAAGTCTACGAGGAACTTTTCCAAGGTATCAGCAGTGTAGTCTATCGCTGGCCTGTCCGAGAGGCCAAATCCCGGCCAATCCACAGTCACAGACCTCCACGAACTGTCCTTTGTGACGATATCTTGAGACACGGCTTTCCATTCTTCCGTGGTGCTCACGTCCGACACAGTTGGAAGTAGTAGCAGGCATTTGTCTCCAACACTGGATTGCTCGACAAAATTGATTTTCAAGGAGGAATTGTTGTGCCTCCACGACCAAGATCCAGTCTAACAAACAGCTACAACTAGCTTGGTTGGGAACTAGAAGGAGGAGGAAATGTACCTTTGTTGGTGCTGGTTTCTCAGCAAGCGCGGCCTTTGGAGAAAATTTACGCAATGAAGTGAAGCAAAGTTTTGATCCTTTTGGTGTCACAATTGCGCTCCCAAGACGCAATTGTCCTAGCGCTGAGCCCTGTACAGAGACGGCCATAGCCACAACAAAAAAAATCTCAGTCAAAACTTCTTAAGACAAACATACCGTTGATTTTTTCTTACTTCTAGAAAGCAACCTCCTGTAACAGCATAAAAACCTATAAGAACGAAAGAAAGAAAAGAAACTTTCTTACCATGTCACCTGTCTAAACCACTGGTTGGTTCGTCCATAGCCACTGGAAGAAAGAAAAACCAAGTTTTAGAAGCCAAATATGAATCAATCTCTTACCTGATTCTTCCGAAATTCTCAGGCCTCCTCTGTAGCTCCAGCAAAAATCCCTGCCAGAAGCGAGTATCCCGACGTGTTCTCCGGATGGCTTCTAAGAAGTGACTCCGCAACCGAGGCTCCACGACCAACATCACCATCCGCTCGACAAGAATTGAGCAGCGTCGTCAATGCCATGGAGTCGGGCACAAAAGGCATACTCTCGACGAGCTCCACGGCATCTCTCACGCGTCCAGACCGAGCAAGGATGTCCACCATGCAATGGAAATGCTCCACGCTTGGAACAATCTCCTGGTCCCTGGACATGGAGACGAAGTAGTAATGGCCATCGTCGACGAGCCCAGCATGAGAGCAAGCAGTGAGAACTCCCAGATACGTGATCGTGTTTGGCCTCAGCCCAGCTTGATCCAGTAACCGGAAGAGCTCCAGAGACTCGTCGTCCATGCCGCTGCTAGCATAGGCTTGGATCATCGTTGTCCAGGAGATCACACACTGCTGGGGAGTGGCATCGAAGAGCGTCCGAGCTTCCTGGAGCTGGCCGGCCTGTCCGAGCGCTTGAATCATCGTTGTCCAAGAGAGAGCACTGTTCTTGGGCATTCGTGAGAAGACACGACGAGCCTCGGCAATATGCCCGTTCTGGGCATATCCATGGATCAAGGCTGTGAACGCTACCACGTCCTTGCTGGGCATTCGATCGAAAGTTTCTCTAGCTCTGTCCATCAGTCCTTTGAGCGCGTAAGCAGCGAGCATCGACGTCCAGGCCACTGTGTCTAGATCCAGCCTCGAGTAAAAGAGCTTCTCAGCCTCTTCAAGATACCCATTCAAGGCAAATCCCTTGACAAGCGCGCTCCACACCACCACGCTTCCTAAATCCTGGTACTTCTCTAGCAGATCCCTGGCAGCGTCCATCTCTCCACCCTGCCCAAGCGCTGTGATCACCGTGTTCCACGAATTCTCGTCCCAGCACGGCATTCTCTCGAGCAAGACTCTCGCGAGATCCGCCTGGCCGGATTGGCTGTAGCCCAGTAGCATCCCATTCCACGAGACCAGATTCTTCCCCGGCATGGCGTCGAAGATCCGGCGGCACTCCACCGCTCCACCCACCTGGGCGTTCACTGTGAGCAGCGCCGTCCACGAGAACACATCCCTGGCCGGCATTCTCTCAAAGATCCATCGAGACGATTCCACTCGCCCGCTCGTCGCGTACGACTGGATCATCGTGTTCCAAGAAACCAAATCCCTACCCTGGACGATCCCATCGAACAAGCCCCGTGCCTCGACCGTGTGGCCGCTGTCCGCGTAGGCGACGATCATCGCGTTGACAGCCACGGCATCGCGATCCTCCGGCATGGAGTAGAAGATCTGACGCGCGCCCTCAAGATCCCCAGCTAGGGCATAGCCCTGGAGAATGGCGGTCCAGGAGACGAGATTGGGCTGTGGCATTCTATCAAAGAACGATCGCGCAACGTCCACGTGTCCGGCATTGGCGTAGGCAGTGATCATGGCCGTCCATGAGATCACGCTCTTGAGCGGGAGCTCCTCGAACGTGGATCTGGCCTCCTCCAAATGCCCGTTCTGGGCAAATGCTGTGATAAGGAGATTATAGGAGAATGTGTTGGGCATTGGCATCGATTGGAACACCGCCAATGCCTCGGCAGCGCTGTGGCATTTTCCATAGCTCTCGATGAGGAGATTGAGTAGGAATCGATCGCCTCCGTTAGTCTTGCTCGCGCTGATTTGGGCGTGGATGATTCGAGAGCGGGCGAGGTCCCTGGCTGCGCCGGCGACTTTGATGGCCCTTGCGGCTTCTTTCCAATCGAATGATTCGGAGGAGAAAGAGCTTGCAGTCAGATCGAGAAGAGATCTCGCTCGTTTCCTCTCATTCCTGACGAGCATAACATTTGGTTCAAGCTAAATGTGAGCTTTATTAAATTAGACTTTTTTAAGCCAGAAGTTAAGTTAAGAGTTTTAACCAAATGTATTAAGCATCAGTAGTCCAACGGTTAGGATAATTGCCTTCCAAGCAATAGACCCGGGTTCGACTCCCGGCTGATGCATTGATTTAGGGAAACATTTTATGTAACCACGACCTAAAGGTAATTTTCCTAAGTTACCAAAAGGAACTACTTAAACACGAGCATATAAACAGTGGAGACCTAAAGGAAGACACATTTTCCTTTACGAGAGTTATGGCGTCGTGGTTGCAAGCTCTGTTGAACGTGACGGACTTCTTCACAGCGTGTGAACTCCACGCCAACTGCACATCCGGGAAACGCAAGAAGAGCTTCTTCTGCAAGCAGTGCTTAGCGTCCCTGTGTCAAGAATGCAAAAAGGATCACCGGACTTGCGATCCCCGAAACGCTTTGCAGATCGTAATCTCAGGCCGCCTTACTGCACTCAAGGCGTGTGAGGCGGAGCGCCTCATCGATACGTCGGGGATGGAGACGTTTACCATCAACGGAGGCCCAATCTTTTATCTCCACGCCAGGCCCCGAGGAATAGAGGTGCAAAACTCGGTACTATGCCGCCACTGCAAGAGGGTGCTGCACGGAGCTCTCTACTGCTCGCTCTACTGCAAGCTTCAGTGCCGAGGGTTGCACGCGCTCGAGCCCCAGGGTCAGGATGAGAACACTCCGCCACCTTTTCCTCAGCCTAGCGTGGCTCAAGATGGTGATGTTTTACGGAACGATCATGCCCGGGTCGTCGTTAAGGTCAAGCCAAAGGATCGGCCTAGGGCTCCCAAGGCGAAGGCTCCGTGCAATAGGAAACGAAAGCAGCCAGAGCAAAGCTCCATTGAGCAAGTTTGTGCGAGGAGAATGGACGAAGCTAGTATCCCTTACAATACTGTAGAGCCTGAGAAGTCTGCTCTTCAAGGATTTAGAAAGCGGGCAAGGAAAGGTATCCCAACAAGGTCACCCATTTTTTGAAATGTAAATTCTATGATGATTGAACAATTCAATGTTATATTGTGCTTGATCTTCACTCACCTTTTTGTTGAAAAATGTATATTAAACATGTTTATTTACAGTTTGTAAGCTTCAATAACTTGCTCCTTGGACGGAACGTTCAAGAGGGAAACGTTGCCAAAGCCACTTTTTTCAAGCAGCACCTTGTGTTCTTCAAATCGCCTGGTCTTGCCACCGTCGGTGTAGGTCCAGCCCCGTCCTTGGAGTACATAAGGTCGACCACTATCATCTTGCCTCCTCGTGGCAGAGCTTTGTTGCAATTCGCCAGCATCTTCAGGCAATCCTCGTCGCTAAAATTGAGCAAAGTAGACTGAAGAAACACCAATGATCAAAACAAAGAGCAAGAGTTACAACCTTGATAAAAAGAGCATCAGCACTTGGTACACTCTCAAACATATTTCCTCCCACCTGGAAAAGCATAAAGACATGGAGGAATCAGAAACAAAACTTCAATCCTTACCGGGAATGGCTGGAGCGCTCTCAACAGTGTGAGGGAGATCAAAGTTGACACCTTCGATGTGGGGATATTTCTCCACGATCTTGCCCATGCACATTCCAAGGCCACCATCCACGAGCTTCTTCGCGTCTTTGAATCCATCGTAGTGCTCGTGGACGAGGGAGATGGTGACGCTGCTCCACGCGAACATAGGATCGTTGAGCAGCTTCACGTACTCGTCGCTGTGGCCGGTGTCGTGCTCCCAAACACGACATTTGTTGGCAATCTCGTAAGCGTGGCCTCCATTCAGCACCACCTTTAGGACGTGCACCTTCAGCACCATTCAGCACGTGCGTGCATAGCAGCAGGTGATGATGCTCCTCCGCAAGCCCCTTGGAGATTGGAGTGAGGCCGTAGTACGTTTCTCCATCTTTCTCGTCGATCTTCTTGCTCAGTGCCCGCTTGTGGACCAGAAACTGGAGGAGTCTCTCGAGGAGATCCGGCTGACAGTTCTTCGCGTTCGAGAGACGTGACACGACAGCGAGAAGATCATGCTCTTGAGATCAAAGTGGCCTTGAGCATCTTCACTCATGGTGTTAGATCCAGGCACCATACCCTACTGATTCTGAAAGGACGAGAGTAAATGAAAACCTTCTTTAAGACTGGTTGAAATGTCACTTCCCTGTCTACTGTATTTTAAGGTCCACGCTGCCAGAACAGCGTGACAAAGTCGGAAAATATCCTTGCGTGACAAAGTCAAGGTCGCAAAAACTATATCTTCATCGGGATTTCACCATCAATAAATATGCTCCTGCAACAATTTGATCATCATCAAGCTCCAGCAGTGACTTGAATGCTAGCTGCCCAACGCTAGTAAAACTGAGACGAAAGTAATCCAAACGCTTCGTCTTGCATCTTTTTAAAGAGGCTGAAAACTTCGTGAGGCTGCTAGAGCGTTTTACCATGTCTTCTCCGGGCGTAGAGTCGAAGACCAACCTAGAGCTTCATTTGTTTCATCCCCAGTTCTGCAAATTTTTGTCACCGGCGCTCAAGAAAGTAAAATAAAGTCAATTCAAAGTGAACATAGTCAATTCAAGTCAAGTCAAGGCACCAAGTGTATGAAATATGGAAAGGGAATACAGAAAATGTATTTGAGGCCATGTTGTGTTGAAAGATCTATAAAAAAATGTAAGTCTTAGCTACTGCAAAATAATCAAACAAGGAAACTGCTGCAACATCTCTATCATTTAGCAATGATCGATGTAAGACGATGAAATGACACACTCTTGATTCGAGCAAACATCACCATATCCATATGCTATAGTTGTCACAAAAGTTAAGCAGAAGTTGACATACCAAGCACAAAATCTGCTCCATGGCGTCGGTCACGCGTCCAGAGTGCGGAATTCTTCATGGCATCGTTACTTTAGGCCACCTATCCCCAAGCGGCAAAATCTCCAGGAAGAATATTATCCAAGCCTCAAACTCTTTTATTTTTATCGATGATGCTCGCTTCAACACTGGAGCAGTCCATATTGTCAACGGTGACAATAAACTCTAAAATACAACCAGCACAAACATCTCATTCACTTTGTTTAGAGCTTGTAAGCTTCTATAACTTGCTCCTTGGAAGGAACGGCCACGAGGGAAACGTTGCCAAAGCCACTGTTCTCGAGCAGCGCTTTGTGTTCTTCAAATCGCCTGGTCTTGCCACCGTCTGTGAAGCCGATCATAATCATGTCCAGGTCCATCTCGAATGGTCCCTCCTTGGAGTATATGAGCTCGATCACTATCAGTTTGCCTCCTCTTGGCAGAGCTTTGTAGCAATTCGCCAGCATCTTGAGGCAATCCTCGTCGCTAAAATTGATCATAACAGACTGAAGAAACACCATGACGATCACAACCTCAAGGAAAAAGAAGACAGAGTACCTTGATAAGAAGAGCATCAGCACTTGGTACACTCTCAAACATGTTGCCTCCCACATGAGCAACACCTGTTAAGAAAAAAACATGAAGAAATCAAAAGAAGATGTGTCTTGAATCTTACCGGGAAAGGCTGGAGCACTCGAAACGGTGTGAGGGAGATCAAAGTTGACACCTTCGATGTGGGGATACTTCTTCACAATCTTGCCCATGCACATTCCAAGGCCACCGCCAACATCCACGAGCTTCTTCACGTCTTTGAATCCATCGTAGTGCTCGAGGACGAGGGAGATGGTGACGCTGCTCCAAGCGACCATAGCATCGTTGAGCAGCTTCACGTACTCGTCGCCGTGGCCGGGGTCGTGCTCCCAAACACGACATTTGTTGGCCAACTCGTAAGCGTGGCCTCCATCCAGCACTGCTTCATTCACCTTTTGGAACGCGGCCATGCCATACTCGTGCGTGCACAAGAGCAGGAGATGGTGCTCTTCCGCGAGCCACTTTGAGATTGGAGTGAGGCCGTAGTACGTTTCTCCATCTTTCTCGTCGATCTTCTCGCTCAGTGCCCGCTTGTGGACCAAAAACTGGAGGATTCTCTCGAGGAGGTCCGGCTGAATGTGCTTGACATTTGAGAGACGTGACACGATCTGCTTGAGGGAAAGCGGGCCTGCCTTGGAGATCATCTCGGGAATCCCGAGCAGCACCACAGCCTTGAGCATGAAAGGAGTCACCAGCGAGAAGATCATGCTCTTGAGATCAAAGTGGCCTTGAGCATCTTCACTCATGGTGCTAGATACAGGCGCCATACTGCCTTCTGCTTCTGAAGGATGAGAGCAAATGAGAGCCTTTTTAAGCCTTGAAATGTCACTTCCTTGTCTAGTGTATTTTAGATGGACCTTGCCAGAACAGCGTGACAAAGTCCTAAAGTCAAGGTTGTAGAAACTATATCTTCATCGGGCTTTCACCATCAATAAATAGGCTGCTGAAACATCTCGATCATCACCAAGCTCCAGCAGTGACTCGAACGCTAGCTGCCCGATGCTCGAGTTTTTCCACTTGCCACAAGCACCTAGCACAGTCCTCCAAGTCAGTGAACTCGGCTCAAAAGGCATCCTTCTCACCATGGCAACAGCCTCATCCAGCCGGTTGGCTCGGCCGAGAAGATCAACCACGCAGTGGTAGTGATCAATGTCGGGTTTTACACCATACTTGGACATCATTTCCTCAAAGTAGCGAGTGCCTCGCTCGACAAGGCCAGCATGACTGCATGCCGTCAAAACTGAGACAAAAGTAATACCATCAACTCCAAGAGCTTCGTCTTGCATCCTGTGAAAGAGACCGAGAACCTCGTCAGAATCCCCTTGACGAGCGTAAGATGCTAACAGAGCGTTCCAGCTTACCATGTCTTCTCCGGGGGTAGAGTCAAAGACCAGCCGAGAATTAATCGTGCTTCCACACTTGCCATACAAATCCACCAAGCAAGCAGCTACAACTTCATCGTTTTCATCCCCAGCTCTGCAAATTTCTCTGTGGAGCCTTCTCCCTGTTTCCAAATCCACCTGATTGCTACAGGCCTTAAGAGCAGCGGCGAAAGTTTGCGCATCAGCTGAGTAGAGCTTCTCGTTTTCCTGGAGCTCAAGGTATAACTTGAGAGCAAATTCTTCCTTACAATTCTCGGCATAACCGAGAATTAACGTGTTCCAGGAGACGAGATCATGGCACGGCATCCTGTCGAAGACCATTCTGGCATCGAGCATATTTCCACACCGCGCATATAACTCCACCAGGGTGCTGCTAACAAAAAAGTCTACCTCCCAGCACCCGGCTGCTGCTTGAGAATGGATAGCCATGCCTCTGTCTAGAGCTCGTAGCTTCACAGCCTTTCCATCGTCGACATGCTTCCCTGGCTCTCCTACTGCAAGAGCAATGCATGCGTTCAATGCAGCAACATAAGACTGCGCGTCGGGCTCAACTCCCATGACTGAGAAAAGTTCCAGGGCCAGTTCTTCGTTCCCGTTCTCCACGCAGCCGGCCATCAAAACAGTCCACGAAACCACGCTGTGAGAAGACATCCTGTCGAATGCCCTGCGTGAATCTTCCGAGCTCCCACACTTTGCATAAGTGTCCACGAGCGTGTTGTCGAAGAAGATGCTCGAGTCCAAGGAGTACCTCAAAGCTTGCGAGTGAACCATCATCGTTTTCTCAAGAGCCTTCAGCTTGCTGCCTGGTAGACAATTCTCGGCTAGTCTCCCACAAGCTCTGATTGCAGCAATGAAAACCCCCGAGTCTGGCTCGCAACCTTTCGGCTTCATGAACTCGAAAACTTCCAGAGCCCGGCTTTCTTCTCCATTCTCAGCATAAGCCAGGATCAAAGTAGTCCACGCCACAACATCAGGATAACTCATCTCCTCGTAGGCTCTCCATGCATCAACCAAGCTTCCACACTGAGAATACATCTCGACCAAAGCAGATCCCAGGAATGCATCCCTGTCACAGCGCCCCGCTAAGCCATGAACTTCACGGCCCTTCTCCAAAGACCTCACCTTCACCAGCTTTCCATCAAGTTTCCTCGCCTGTTCTTTGGCTGCCAAGTTGCTACAAGCCTTCGTTGCAGCAACAAACGTTCGAGAATCGAGCTCGCAGAAACCATCCATAGACTTGAAAACAGCAAGAGCCAAATCTTCCTCATCGTTTTCCACATAGCCGAGGATGAGTGAGTTCCACGATACCACATTGCTGGAGTCCATCTTGTCAAATATCATGCGTGCATCCAGCAGGCTACCACACTTCCCATACATGTCCACAAGGCTGGTTGCCAGAAAACTCTCCGAGATCCAGCCAGTCTTGACGGCTTCACAGTGAACCGACATTCCTTTCTCCAGAGAAGCTAGTTTGACGAGTTTTGTGCCAGCGACGATCTTTCCCTCTTCTTTCAAAGCCAGACTCGTGCAGGCCTTCACAGCCACTGACAACGTTCGAGCATTTGGAGCGCACCGCGCGTTCTCTTTCATGGACGCCAGAAGTTCCAGTGCCAGATCTTCCTCTTCGTTCTCGACATATCCCAGCATCAAAACTGTCCAGGCCACGACGTCCGGCGAGCTCATCCTGTCAAAGACTGCCTTCGCATCGACCAAGCTCCCACACTTCGCATACATCTCCACCAGGCTGCTACAAACGAAAGCATCCCCCTCGAATCCAGTGCTCGCTGCTTGCAAGTGAAGAGCCCTGCCCCTCTCCAGACTTTTCACCTTCCAAATCTTTCCATGGAGTTCTCGATATCTTTCTCTCGACGCCAGCCCCGCGCACGCCTTGAGAACAGCAGTGAAAGTCCGCTCGTTTGGAGCACAGCCTTCCTGTTGCATGGTAGAAAAGAGAGTGAATGCCAAATCAATTTCCCCATTCTCGGCATACCCGGCAATCATAGTAGTCCACGAGACAACGTCGCGAATCGTTGGCATGGCATCAAACACGGCCCTCGCGAGCGCCATGCTTCCACACTTCGCATACATATTAATCAGGCTGCTGGCCACACGAATGCTGCAAGAATCATGCCTGGATTCGATGGCATGAGCGTGGATAATCGTCCCGGCCTCTAAATCTCTCAAGCTGCTGCACGCTTTCAGTGCGAAAATCACAACAGGGACCACATCCGGCTCCTCGTGACCCACACGCTACAAGAAGATCATGAAGCACGCATCATCGAGGGAGAAAATCAAACTTACAGCTTCTTTCTCTTGGAGCGCCATCGCGAAGAGCGAATGTGGATGCCGAGAGACCCGGATCTGAAAGAGAGATCGATCACAGCGTCGCAGCATGCCATAATTCTGCCAGGATTCTTCGAGTTTTTGGAGCCCTAAATCTTTCACCTGTTATTTATCAGTTAGCGGATTTAATATAGGGTTCTAAGATGTCTAGGCTCGTTCTCGGTTGGTTTTGCGTTGTTGCTTTGGGAGCGTCACTACTTTTGCTATCACTTACTGAATCAAATCCACCAGTGCAGCAGAGAGCACGAATTCACAATTGTCACTTCTTGGGTAACCAAACATGTCCCTCTTATTTCAACTGGATAGAACATGATCTTGCACCATGGAAGGGTGGAATAACTAGGAAAGCTCTTGAAGCTGGCAAGGAGAAGGCTTATTTTAGGGTGATCATTCTGGGTGGTAAGCTATACACTCAGACATACAAGCAGTGCTTTCAAACCAGGGCTGAATACACACTCAAGGGATTGGCAATGTTGTTGAATGAGTTCCCTGGAATGGTTCCTGATGTGGATATTATGTTTAATTGCCAAGACCATCCTCTCGTTCCCAGATGGCGTTACCTCTTCACATCACCTCCCCCTGTTTTTGGGTATTGCACAACAAGAAATCGGCATTATGATATTGTCTTTCCAGATTGGTCTATATGGGGATGGTAAATTCTCTAGTTTAATAATGTTTTTTTGTTAATTTTCTTTGCAGGCCAGAAGTAAATATCCCTCCTTGGAGCATTGAGAGTGAAAGAATCTTTACGGAAGCCGAAAAGATTGATTGGTTTAGAAGAAAACCTATTGCATATTGGAGAGGAAATACGCAAATGGGACTAATAAGGTCTAATCTGGTTAAGTGCAACTCTACAAATATACTAATTCAACATCAGGTATATAAATCTATAATTATCAACTTATTATATTGATTTGTTTTTTCAGGATTGGATTACAGAAGAAAAAGCCAATTTCACCAATTCTGATTTGTCTAACCAGTGTTTCTCAAGGTAAGATTTATTTATGTGTAACAGTTAACTTATATGAATTCTAGATATAAAATCTATGCCGAAGGCAATGCTTGGTCAGTGAGTTTGAAGTATATATTGTCATGTGGATCAACAATGTTAAGGATTGAACCATATTATTGGGATTTCTTCTCAAGGTCTTTACTTCCACATGTTCATTTTCTACCAATTACTAGAGAAAATATTTGTGATTCTATTCAAGAAGCCATACAATGGAGTAATTCAAATATCTATGAGGTTGGTTTTTTTAATATAATTGTATTTAATTTTAACAAATTCCTTTACTTAAAAGGCTGCTATGGTTGGAAAATGTGCTCAGAATTTTTTGAAAGAACAACTCTCAACAGATTATGTATATCAATATATGCTACATATACTTCAAAGGTATGCAAAATTACAAAAGTTTAAACCAGTATTAGTACCAGGAATGAAATATACTCATTCATATATACCTATGAATGAAAATAATCAAAAGAAAATATTATGTTCTATTTCATGAATAAGAAGAACTTAAATATACATATTTAGAACTATAAAAGTAACCGCAGATGGTGAGCGAGGAAACGTGTCGCTCTGGCGCCCACAACCAAACCACATCCACTACAAAGGACAAGGTGAGGAATCCAGCACTCGCGTCCATCCACAAGCAAGCAGGGCAATGCCAGCTGAAACAGGACCATCCACTACAAGGGACAGGCAGACAACATCGATGCTGACGAAATTGGATGACAAATAGACCAATTGTCACACTTGCATACTTGAATCCATTGGTGTCATGCTTCTTGGTGGAAACCTTGTAAACAAGTAACATGAATGAATGAATGAATTTAGAGGTAAAAAAACATAACAAAAAAGGACAATTGGATCAGGACATAATGATGATTCGAGACCGTTGGACTTTAACATATCCTGCTTTTATAGCTCCAATCCGGAAACTCTCCAGGTGAAATCTTGTGGATTTGATCTATGACCATGCACTAGGCGCGCATTTTCGAGCACGGCTGCGATGTAATATTGATTGCCAAGGAGAGGAATGGAGAAGGTTTGGCGTCACCATCAGGCGGCTCTGGAGAACTACATCACCCCAGAGCATATGACGTACTAACATTATTGACAAATACGTGATAGATAGAAATGGTTGTTTGAGTGTGGCTCAACTGTTTTTTTCAGGCTTGGATTGAAAAAGCAAAAGCTAAAAGCTGAAACTACTTGCCAAGGACGGAAGAACACCGTGAGTTTGCCAGCCTCTTCAAGCAAACGTCCTGATAGAAAAGGACTCATTTGTTTGCTTTTGGTGCTTGTCGTCTTACCACGCCGTCTTCTAGAGAAAGGTGCTCTCAACGATTTTTATGTGAACGTGATAGTGACGGCAAATTGATCTTTTCAATGGCCGAGACAATGAAGTTGCAAAGAGTTGTAGAGATTCTAGCAAGAAGAACTCCCATCTTACTTGGAGAGCCTAGTGTTGGCAAGACAGCGATTGCTGAAGGCCTTGCCATAGAAATGTTCCAGAGTTTCTCACGGTGAGTGGATTTTTGTAAATTGTGGTGAAGTTTACATGTTTCTGCTGGCACATACAGGAGAACCGAGCGCTGTCTCTGGATATGGAATTGTTTGCTGGAGCTAGAGAGCGTGGTGAATTGAGCAGCAGGTAAAGTTGTTTTTTGGTTTGTTTATACTTAGAATGATATATCTAATAATGCTTGATATCACAAGGCAACGTTATACTTCTAGAGACGAAGTCCATACGCTCGTTGGCTCAGGCTTTGTTGGCGGAAGAGGTGGAAATAAAGGGGCAGGCTTGGACATTGTGAATTTATTGAAGCCTGCATTAGCGAGAGGCGAACTTCTGGTAAAGATTAAAAAACTTCACTTCTAGGATTATGTTTGCTTAGTCCTTCAGTGTATAGGTTCGACGAGCATAGAAAACACATAAAAAAAATAAGCGAGGAGGTTTCAACCTGTTCTTGTAAATGAACCTCGTCAGGTTTGTGTTGCTACTTGGTTTATGAAGTCGTTGACTATTTTTCTGGTTTGCAGGAAGACTGTGACGACTCTTAAAGAATACGTGATATATATGAAGAGTATCACAAATGTAAAATTACACCAGAAGCAGTTGATGCTGCTGTATATTTGTACACCGATGACAGAGCAAGTGATTTGATCGACGAGGCTGGCCCATATGATGCATTTAAGCGCAGGAAAGACAAGCGAGCCGGAAAGCTTCCCAAGAAGTACTGACAAGCACTTCGTGTGCTCGCAAGTGACTTTTTTTTTGGTTTTAACAATTGCCTTTTCAGGCCTTTCTTCCGCAAAGTTCTTCGGAGTATCTTATTGGAAGTGCTGCAAACACGTTATAACAGAAGGCTGTATATATCGACCAAGAGTCAATTTCGTTACCAGTTAATGAACAAATGGAAAGGTACTTTTCTTGTTCTTCGTCTGTGAAGCTTTGTTTTTCGTCTGCAGCTCGAAGATAGTTGGACCACGTCCATGGACGCAGTGAACGTCATATCGCGAGCAGCTCCCAGGGCACAAGTCGGACTCAAGGATTCAGATTGGCCGATCGCTACCATGCTCTGTTGTAGGGAAAACGAAGCTTACACAAAAGCTCTATGTGAAAACGCCTGTGAATGCTTTACCTGTGAATCGGGTGAGGCTCCAAAAGCTTGTTGAAGATGTCTTTCTCGATTTTGTAGAAGAGGATAACAGTGAAGAACCTTGAACGCTGAGAGAGGCTGTTTGCAAGACACTCACCATCCGGGAGAACAGATAAGCTTGCTCACGATATATGGCAGCCTCATGTCCAACCTTATCATGGCGTCCTCCTGAAAGAAAAAAAGTCTGTTATGTACATGCATATGAAAAGAGTTACGGCTCCAACAAAGTGTCTCTTTCAGGAACAATGACATCTAACATTGGCTCCTCGGGGAGTAAGCAGCAAGATCAGGCAAAGGTGGTGACGAAATAGACGAAGAAGAGACTCTCTCACCTGGTGAATGTCATAAGGAATGAGCATCTTAACCTTTGTTGTAGCCCTCGTTGCAAACCAGCTTCACCAGATTGACACCTGGCCAGCAACAATGGCATGGATCCAGCACCACAGTGCACTGATATAGGATCTTTGAACACACTCACTTTGAGGCACTCAAGATATTAAAAGAAACACACTTGTTCAAACAAAAGAACACACATCCACAAATGAATATGAGCACACTCCAATTTAAACCATATTTAAGATGCCTGTAAGTAACAAAACACTTTCTACTCTAAAACATACTCCAAGAAACACTATTAGATATAAATCCTTAAGAGGTGGGGTGAAGCCTAGCTTAACCCCTATTGCTCCCACTTTTATTCTCCAGCTGATTTTTAGGATCTTAAAATCCTCTTTGCATGTGCTTGTATTGTTTAAACATTGGAAATAGTTAAAGTTTAGTGGGATCTAAATTAACAAAGTGAAAGAACCATCATAAATGATTCAATGAATCTTTAAGTTGGGGGTTCTATACTCTTTAGAGGATGTGCATGATGTTGAACTATTGACAAATAATAGTTTGGTGCAAAAGATAAAATAATAATTTATGATGAGATTACTTCAAAAAATATGTTATCGTTTGATGAGAATATCGAACTTCGTTTATGGGTGATAGAGTTAAGACATAAATCCCTAAGTCCTAAAATAGAGTTAAATGTATGATTGTTAAATGTTGAATGTAACATGTTTGAATTGAAAGCTCTAACTTGAGAAGTTAAAAGTAAGAATGGAACTCTTAAAGACATACTTGAAAAACAAATATGAAATAATTAATAAATGAGTCTTTAGAAATGAACATAACACATGATTAGTGTCGAGACCAAATGTGAGACCACATCTTAGATTGTCTTCAAGATTAAGTCTAAGATTAAGTCCGAAATCAAGTGTAACATATATAGTTTTCATCCTTTATCACCATCGGATAACCATAAAGTGGAACTTAACCCTTAGATATATAGGCCAAAGGCAATAGAATAGAATCCAAGTTTTAAAGCTTTAGACCATTGAATAAAGGGATAGAGTAAACTTTTAAGCATATAGCTAAAAAGCAAAAGAATTAAAACATCAAATAACTCTTGAAACTTTTATTAAAAGTTATTTTGTGCTCTAGTTCCTTTGCTCCTTATTTGAACCAATATAGTTATGAAAGGCTAGTGTATATGAATATTGAGGAATTCAAGGCTAAAGTGAACATAGATAGACAAATAGGATGACTTAGTGAAGTGTCTAAGAGTCAACTCTAACTACTTCGGGAGATCGAATAATCAATACTCTCAATTTAAATATAGTGTAAGCAATTAAATTTTCTATTCTACTATAGTCTCATATTTAACCACTTAGAGGAATCTTACTCACAACCTCAATAAGTTTTATTCTTGACTTGGGGATATGCAAGTCTATGAATGGCATTTATGCCACTTAACTTTTGCATTTGGTCCAAGTGCAAGTTCCACTGATCTTTGGGACTTCCTCACTATGTGACCATGCCTTTGGTTATTATATAAAAACATTTTTGCTCTTCCTTTCCACAGATTAGAACTTTAGGATGACATTTCGAAATACTGTGGTCCTACATAAGCCTTGTAAGTACTCTCCCCACCATGGTCTTACATGAGCCTCTTGGACTTTTTTTCGGACACTTTCTTAAACTCTATCTCGAACTTTATCTTAGACTCTTTGACACTTCCATATGTCATAACACTTACCATGTGTCAGTCTTTTTTGTGTCCTTTTCAAAAGACTTATTTATCGATCGCTTCGTGCTCATTCCTAAAGCACTTCATTTGGAGTTCTATTTTTGCTTTCAACTTTCCAAATTTGAGTTTTTGGTCCAAATGTGTTATACTCATTGGACTTCACTTTAACCACTGCCATGTGGCACACTTTTAGCTCCACTTTGGGGCCTAGGGATTTGTGTGTCACATATGGGTAGCACTACCTATTTAGATACCTTATGTTGCTCATTGAAACCTCACTTATCCATATGGTTAAAACACCCTAATGGCAGAAGGTGGGGAGAGTACCTATAAAGCTCTCATTGGCTGTGATGTTATCATCCCAAAATCTCTAACAATGGAAAGGGAGAGGAGTGGCCCTTTTATGTAGTAACTAAAGGTATAGTTACATAGTATAGAAAGTTTTAGAGATTAGTGGGATTTAGTGGTTAGGTTGTTGGGCACTAATCTAGTGTAGTGTTGGTGAGCACTACTAGGGATGAAGAGGGACTTGGCAGGAATTAAAGAAATGATAATGGGGGATATTGTTCCTTATGTTTTAAGGCATCTTTATAAATGTTAAAAAGTGGTTATAGAATGACTATTTATAAATGGAAGGTTTAGTCTTGGAGAGATGGGACAGTAGTAAAGGTGGTATTAGATTACCAATGAGATAGTGAGGATGGTATCTTCAACTATCTATAATGCAACTAAATACATGGAGCACTTGAATTAAATACTTTGTTAGTGTGGGTTTTGAAATCACCTTTAGAGGCTAGAAAGTTTCTTAAGTTAGAATAAGGATTTACAAAGGTTGTGAGTGAGACTCTTCTAAGTGGTCAAAGATGTCACTAACTGACTAAAGTAGAATGAAAAATTTAATTTCTTACACACTCCTACTTTTTGTTAAGATTCAATACAAGAATCAAGGTGATAATAAGATGGCTAATACATTATCATGATGATGAAGGATGATGAATTCTATCATGCAAGAAAGCCATTTTGCTTTCTTTCTTTTGTGGCTATTTGTTGTGACATTAAAGTTGTTATTTGCACATCTTTTTTCCATGGACATATTGACTTAAACTTCCTTTATATAAAGCTCATTTAGCTTCTTAAGGCTATCATTTGTGGCTAGTTCATGAGGGAGGGGAGAATGATAGGAACCACAAATTTTTTTTAAGAATATTTTATAACATGTGGGATTTAAAGCCATCATGCCTTTAGGGTTGGGAAATTTGCCTTCAAAGGTATAAGTTAGTGTGCCTATTATGCAATGCAATAGGATTGTGAAAAAGCATGAGTGACAAAGTGGGAGGTGAAGAAGATATATTTTCTCACAATGGCTCAGAAGTGTGGGGATGCAAACTCTCTAAAAAGCAGTGGGGAAACCTGGAAAACATCACATCGACTTTCATTTTGGACGAACTCGGCATCTCCATCAAAACAGCACTCCTCATCCCCTTCATGGAAGCCAATCTCTTCCCACTGGAGATCATGCCATGGCAACATACAATCCAATACCTCTACAAAACTCACTTTACCATATGGCAAGCTCATGGATCAAGCAATTCTTGACTCTCAGTGGCATGACATGGAGACGTTGATGCAGAAGTTTGGCATGGATCTCAATGACATTCTCAGCGCACTTGAAGAGGATCTTGAACAATAGTCGAACAAAGCAATGCACACATGGATACATGCCAGAGAACACTTGACTAAATATCACCTTTATTGCCAGGAGATAAACCCACACAAAACTTTTGGATTGGGCATGGACCAGACACACCATCACCCGGTACCACACAAGAATCCACAGCCTCTTGATCGAACTTAGATGCCGTGGACAGGGAGAACTTCCATGACATTTTCAAATCTGCCCAGTCTGCACAGAAGACACAGAGACGGTCATGCACACACTCAAGGCTGGCCCTCCCTATGCCGAATTCCACTCCCAACTGGGGCGCTGAAACACATATAATCCTTGAAGACAACCTCATCCCTCGCCAATTACCTGAAACGCATGGAGCTGTGATGTCAAATGCATATCACACCTGCAGTGGAGGCAACCATAATCAAAGACCTCGAATGGCTGAGGAAAAGAAGACGGGTAGGCAGGGCTCGTGAGCAGGAGTATAATAACAATGAGACACCATTGACGTGGCAGTATTACATTTTACAAAACTATCAAAATAACATATAGATATTTAAGTAGATAGATAGAAAATAAAATCACTTAAGAGTGTACTTACACAAAGGTACTGTAAGACTTCAATAAGATGTCGCCATGGCCATATCATCTGAAGATAGAACAAATTAAGTTCCATGGTTCTATCAAAGCGAGAACTTACATTTCCATGAGAACTGTGGCTTGGATTGTGAACGTGACCCATAGTGGCTGCATGAACAAATCCAAGACGTCCATCGCATATTATAGATATCTGACGAAAAGCGTCCGTAAATCAAAGAAGCTGCGCATTGATGACCACGCGATCAATTGATCTTCTCGAGCAGCAAGGCTACCATGCCGATCTCCAGCTCTGCCTCCAGCTCGTCAAATCTTGCAGTCACTCCAGGGATCTCTCGCAAGCAAAGAAGCTCCACTCCCAGATCCTTGGAACCAAACACTCGCGCAATCGGCACCTGGAGAACCTCCTCATCGAGATGTATGGAAAATGCGGGAGCCTGGAGCGCGCGCGCGCTGTTCTTGATGATCTGGAGGAGCCAAACATCTTCTCCTGGAATATTTTGCTCACGGCCTACATCGAGCGCGGGCATCTGGAACAAGCCAAGGAGATCTTCGCCAGCGAGATGCCACAGCACAACACCGTCTCCTGGACCGCGATGCTCACCGCGCATTCCCAGAGCGGGAATTTCCAAGATTCCTGGGGCCTGTTCCAATCGATGCCCCGGCGCAACACCATCGCCTGGAACGCGATGATCGCTGCCTGCGGCCACCACGGCCGCGTCGCCCTAGCCCGATTGCTCTTCGACGCCACGCCCGGGAAGAATATCGCGTCCTGGAATGCGATGCTAACGGCATATTCCCAGAACGGGCACATTCCCGACGCGAGAAGGATCTTCGACTCCGTGCCGTACAGAAGTACGGTCACCTGGAACGCAATGTTGACGGCATATGCGGATGCCGGGCACGTGGCGGGCGCAGGGGCGGTGTTCGTTGCGATGCCCGATCGCGACCACGTGTCTTGGAACACGATGATCCAGGCGTCCGTTATGGCGGGAGAATTTGAGCTAGCGAAAGAGCTCTTCGCGGCAATGCCAGAGAAGGATTTGATCGCGCAGACCACCATGATCGTCGTGTGTTCCCAGATTGGGGATCTTGGCCAAGCGAAGCGTGTGTTTGATGCGATGGAGCGGCGAGATATCGTCGCCTGGAATGCAATGCTTCAATCGTTTGCCAGTGCCGGGGATTTCGATCGAGCCATGGAGCTCTTTGAGAGAATGCCCGAGAGAGATGTGGTGTCGTGGACGGCAATGCTAGTGGCGTATGCCGAGAAAGGGCTCCTGGATCACGCAAGAGCTCTCTTCGATTCAATGCCTCACAGGAGTCTCGTCGCCTGGAATGCCCTGCTAGCTGCGTATTCCAGATCTGGGCATTTGGAGGAGGCCGAGAGATTCTTCCATCAAATGCCTTCATGCAATGTGATCTCTTGAACCACACTCTTTCAAGCATATGCCCTAAATGGGCATCTGGACATGGCGGCTTTAATCTTCGACTCTATGCCCGAAAGGAACACCGTGTCTTGGTCCGTGCTGATCCAAGCATACGCAAGGCACTCGCGTTTGGATCTAATCGAGCGCGCGTTTTGGCGGCTGGAAGATCAAACAGTGGTAGCCTGGTCATCGATCATTCAGGCATTTGCCCAGAAGGGGCATGGCCAGCAAGCGCTAAATCTCTTCCGGCTCATGGAGCTAGACGGTGGAGCCTCGCCCGACGAGATCACATTTGTAGGAATCCTCACGGCTTGTGGCCATCTGGGCGATCTCAAGGAAGCGTTGCGGCAATTCTATTCCGTCACCACAGACAGGAAAAATCTCGCGATCACCGCCGAGCACTACGGCTGCTTGATCGACATTCTTGCTCGTCTTGGGCATCTGGGCCCGATTTGTTTGAGAGCATGCCCTTCGTCCCGGACCGTGCCGCTCGGATCTCTTTGATCTCCGCTTGCAAACTCCACAAGGATTCTCGGCGAGCAGTCAAAACCACCGAGCGAGCGATCAAACAGGATCCAGGACACGCTTCTTCATATGTGCTGCTCTCAAACACCTACACCCAGTAGATCATGAAGTTCTCCGTTAGAAAAGCTTTTGATCGATGTGACAAACCAAAGTACCTATTGGTAGAGCTGGAAATCTCTCAGCTGGAGCTTCCACCTGCCATCGCCAGTCGAGTGTGCTTGAAGAACATCCGCGCCAACCGAGGGCATTCCATCGAAATCTACGTGAAGAAGTAACACGAGCTCTTGCTTCGATGGCATGTATGGTTCTTCCCCGCCAGCATCGAATTCATCTTCTTCGCTGGTTTTCTGGACGGATCTCGCGGTGATGCTGTCTTTGATCAGCCTCTCGGATGTCAAGCTCAAAACTCTCGTTCTGTCCATTCCTCTCAGCACGATCATCAAGTCCTTGCGACGAACAAGCGGGAGATCTTCGGTGGTCTGCAAGAAAGCATTGAATATCGAAACGATGGAATGGAATTTCTCACACAAACCTGAGAAGAGGAGCTGGAAGAACTCGAGTTCTCACTTCCTGACGAAGTTGGCAGTGTCGGTTGCTCGTCACTAGGAGAGAGCTTCTGATCAAGGATAACCTTTCCTTCTTCTCCTTCTTCCTCTTCACTGGGAGCGAGCTTTGGATCAATGATAAACTTGCGAGGGACATACTCGACGCTCCAGCTCTCGGATTTGTAGAACGACGGCTTCTTCTTCTTGGATCTGTCCAGAGGCCTCGATCGGCCCATGAAGCCGGTTCCAGCGCCCTTGGAGACGGCCTTGGCGATCTCCCGGACGAAGACGCATCCTCGCCCGTGCTCGCTCAACCCCCTCTCCGCCACCGATATCAATGCCGCCGCGCGCTCCGGATCCTCGCAGCACTTCTCAAACACATCGTCCCAGATGAGCATTCCATCCTCGAAATCCCTCTGCCTGCCCGAGGAGGAGGAGAACGAGGACGATGGCGGCGAGCGCTTCTTCTTCTCTTTCTTCTCCGTGGGAGATTTAGCCTGCGCTCTCACTGCGATGGAGGAGCCTGTCCATCCTGGGGCGAGATTGGCGCGAGGTAGAGGAGAGAATGCCGCTGCCATCGCCAAAGACGCCATTTCTATCCAGTAAAACCCCAAGGAAGAGAGAAGACCCGATTCTAGATCTCTAAGATGCCCGTGGAGGGCACAATCTACCTGGAAGAAGCAATAACCTCGAGGATCTTGTCAGCGAAACCCTTGAAATCCGGCAGATTCATGGCGGTGTCGAGATCTTTCTCCGCAGTGGCCGACGCATCGATCTTGCTCACGATCGCCTGGAGCTCCTCGTTCCTGAGCATGGCGCGGATCTCCTCCGACGCCGCCACCGCCTCGAGCTGCTGCCTCCGGAGCCTGGTTGCCATCTGCGATTCATCCCCATTCTCGAAATCCCGCGGCGGCTGCACGAGCTGGGCTTGCTCCTCCTCCTCTGCCGCCGCTACCTTCGTGCAGGGCGCCGCCTTGTGATCCTTGAAGCACTGCAGCGAGCAGTAGGGCACCAGGCAGCCCGGGCATTTGTACTTGGAGACCGCGCCACTGCAAATGCCGCACTGGCTCATTGCCCTAGATCCAATAAGAAACATAACCATGTTTATAAACTTTGTTATATACTAGCTTCGTGTGAATGGTGCCCAGAAGTACGCATGTAAAGAGTGCCTGGTTGAGTAGACGATAACGATTCCGAAACATCTGCCAATCTGATGGAAAGGATGCGTCTTCTTCCTCACTCTTGTTTGCTGTTCGTCTCCTTTCAGGGGCGATCAGCCAAGGGGCGAGCGAACGGTGACAATGGGCAGCGGCAGCAATCAGCAACGATCAGCCCAGGGGTAAAGGTAAATTCCACACTTGCTGGTCACTCCACCGCCACCATGGTTAGTGCTAATGCAAAGGAGCAGGAGACCTCTCATGCTAACTTTCGGAGGGTGTGTTTCAATGCTTGTAGATTTGACTTTGCTGGAGGACTGTGCTAGGTGCTTGTGGCAAGTGGAAAAATGCAAGCATTGGGCAGCTAGCGTTTGAGTCACTGCTAGAGCTTGGTGATGATCGAGACGTTGCAGCAGCCTATTTATTGATGGTGAAAGCCCGATGAAGATATATTGTCACGCAAGGATATTTTCCGACTTTGTCACGCTGTTCTAGCAGCGCCGATCTTAAAATACAGTATAAAAGAAGTGACATTTCAACCAGGCTGAAAGAAGGCTCTCATTTACTCTCATCCTTTCAGAAGCAGAAGGCAGTATGGCGCCTGGATCTAGCACCATGAGTGAAGATGCTCAAGGCCACTTTGATCTCAAGAGCATGATCTTCTCGCTGGTGACTCCTTTCATGCTCAAGGCTGTGGTGCTGCTTGGCATTCCCGAGATGATCTCCAAGGCAGGGCCGCTCTCCCTCAAGCAGATCGTGTCACGTCTCTCAAATCCCAAGAACTGTCAGCCGGATCTCCTCGAGAGAATCCTCCAGTTTCTGGTCCACAAGCGGGCACTGAGCGAGAAGATCGAGAAAGATGGAGAAACGTACTACGGCCTCACTCCAATCTCAAAGTGGCTCGCGGAAGAGCACCATCTCCTGCTCTTGTGCACGCACGAGTATCCCATGGCCGCGTTCCAAAAAGTGAACGAAGCGGTGCTGGATGGAGGCCACGCTTACGAGATGGTCAACAAAGTTCGTCTTTGGGAGCACGACCCCGGCCACGGCGACGAGTACGTGGAGCTGCTCAACAAGGCTACGCTCGCATGGAGCACCGTCACTATCTCCCTCGTCCTCGAGCACTACGATGGATTCAAAGACGTGAAGAAGCTCGTGGATGTTGGCGGTGGCCTTGGAATGTGCATGGGCAAGATCGTGGAGAAATATCCCCACATCGAAGGTGTCAACTTTGATCTCCCTCACACCGTTTCGAGCGCTCCAGCCTTTCCCGGTAAGATTCAAGACACGTTTTCTTTTGATTTCTTCATGTTTTTTCTTAACAGGTGTTGCTCATGTGGGAGGCAACATGTTTGAGAGTGTACCAAGTGCTGATGCTCTTCTTATCAAGGTACTCTGTCTTCTTTTCCTTGACGTTATGATCTTCGTGGTGTTTCTTCAGTCTGTAATCATCAATTTTAGCGACGAGGATTGCCTCAGGATGCTGGCGAATTGCTACAAAGCTCTGCCACGAGGAGGCAAACTGATAGTGATCGAGCTCATATACTCCAAGGAGAGACCATTCGAGATGGATCTGGACATGATTATGATCGGCTTCACAGACGGTGGCAAGACCAGGCGATTTGAAGAACACAAAGCGCTGCTCGAGAACAGTGGCTTTGGCAACGTTTCCCTCGTGTCCGTTCCTTCCAAGGAGCAAGTTATAGAAGCTTACAAGCTCTAAACAAAGTGAATAAGATGTTTGTGCTAGTTGTATTTTAGAGTTTATTGTCACCGTTGACAATATAGACTCGAGCATCATCGATAAAAATAAAAGAGTTCCAGGCTTGGATCATATTCTTCCTGGAGATTTTACCGCTTCAACTTTGGCAATGGGATAGGTAACTAAAACATGAGTCATGTCCAGAACTGGGGGTTGGTCTTTGACTCTACGTCCAGAGAAGACATGGTAAACTGGAACGCTCTATATAGCATATTCACAAAGTTTTCAGCCTCTTTCATACTTTCGTCTCAGTTTTACCGGTGTTGGGCAGCTAGCATTCAAGTCACTGCTGGAGATTGATGATGATCTAGATGTTGCAACAGTGATGGTGAAAGCCCGTATCTTGACTTTGTCATGCAAGGATATTTTCTGACTTTGTCTGGCAGCATGGATCTTAAAATACAGTAGACAAGGAAGTGACATTTCAACCAGGCTTAAAGAAGGCTCTCATATAGTCTCGTCCTTTTAGAAACAGTAGGCAGTATGGTGCCTGGATCTAGCTGTCAGAACAGATCACTATGTTACTAGAGCATGGTGGCATGATTCTAGGAACCCCTTATGTATATCAAGATGTGAGACTTTGAAGGTGTAATACAAATCTTGTACGAGAGGAATGAATGTTCTTTTTGTTTTAGGGTTTCCTTTGGCATGAGAAGCAAGATCATGAAAACAAGTGGCAGAAGATTGGGTCATGGGTAGGGTAAGCCCATCTTTGCCCAAGCGAGGTGTTAGCCCAACAAGTTGTGAACTAGCTTAATGAGACTTACATCAGCATCGTCTAACCAAAGCTTGCCACATGTACTAAGTTTAGAGCTTGCAGTCTCAAAGTGCATTCGATCCAGCACCATAGCTTGGATTTCCTGCAGCTCATGGCACAACATTTCCATAGCTATATCAAATTTCTTACTTGGTCTAGGGTTTTTGAACTCCTCTCCTCTCTAGGTTTATCTAGAACTGACACTCATTTTTTTTAATTTCTTTTCTTAGCTCAGCTTAGAAACAGTCTTCGTTGAACTTTTTGAAAATTGGATGGATCCCTTCTCATTGTATTGCTGCCACTGCTTGAATTCCTTCATTGCCGGAGATGGGATGAAATGCAAGTGTATAGTGGGTAAAAGAGGGGCCAAATATTAGTATTATTTAAATAAACCTAAAGGATGCCATAACTTTCTTGAGAGCTTGACTTTTTTAATTACACCCCTTAATATCAAATTTAATATGTGATGTGATTCCCCTAGCCAATCAACAGAATTGGGCTTAAAAACTTTTGATTAAATTGCCAAATGTCAAATTTAATATATAGTGTGATTCCCTTAACCAACTAACAAAGTCAGACCTAAAAGGCTTGTTTTTTTTATTGAATTGTTAAATGTCAATTTCAATATATAGTAAGATTTCCCTAGCCAAATGTTAATCTCAACATATAACATGATTTTTTTTACTAAAGACCCCTTTGACACTAAATAGAAACTTTAATTGATTGAAAAAGAGGGAGTTATTCTTTTTAATTATTTACATTAGCTTAACAAATGAGTCATTACCTATCAAAGAAAGAAAGAGGTAAGTAGATAAATCAAACACAAATAGATATTAGAATGATTAGAATGGGAAAATGGTTGAGCTTTGAGGATATTAGATTTTAAGTTTTTGTTATAGCATAATAATGTATTCAAGTGGCTTTTAATTATGGAGGTAAAACTCAACAAAAATATATTTTTTAGGAATTTTTTTAGAAGAGATCAATCACTAGCAGTGATATCTTTAAAGGATGTAGTAAAAATGCAAAACCAATTGTATCAAAAATAATATAAAGATTTTGAGTAAAAGAATATTATTGCAAAGTCAATTCTCATTTAGAGAGTGCACTAAAAAACTATTCTCAAGGTGAAGAAATATCTTAATTCATTAGAAGTAAAACACTCTTCAACAATTTTATTACAAATAATAATAAATGATAGATATAACTATTTTTTTTTATAAATGGTGAATTGTAAGTAAAGATATCAAGAGAAAGCTTAAGATTATATTAAGAAATGACTCTTCGCAGTGATAAACTTTAAAGTATAAAATTGGATTTTTCAAGTGCTATTAGAGTTTTATTAATTTTTTTATTGAATGAAAAGTTTTAAATGGCCAAGTTGAAGCTTCAAGAAACTCAAACATGACAAAGTTTTGACCAAGTCATTACCAACATTTATCATTATGCAAGCTTAAGTGGTATTTTTGAAGTTAAAAATAAACATAAAGATAATAATGACTAATAAAAGGAAGAGAGATATGGCTTTAGTTGTGAGAATGTCAGAGCACTTCTCCAATAATATCTAGAAGCCAACTTAGATTTTGACACTTCTCAATCTCAGCATAATCTGTATGAAAACTAGATAAGTCCTCAAAGTTTAAAGTACTTTCCAAAAAATCATCATGTTCATTATAGTGTATTATTATAAAAGTGACAACTAATCCTTTACATTTATAATTGCTTTGTGAATTTAGAAAATTGGCTGTAACATATCCAAATCTATAACATTCATTACAACATATTTCATATGAGACTGCTCCACCGAATTCTTAGATGTTTTTGAATTATATGAAGCTACACACCATATAACATTGGACAAAACTCTCTTTTATCAAAGCAAATATAAGAAGTTTTCAATGTCTACAAATACTAAAAGTGGTGAGGATTTATGATTAATTGCTTTTGGTACAATCTATTTTCCCATTTTCAATCTTAAGATTACTAATGTTTTGTATATCCCTAAGCTTGTTTGTCATCTTTTATATATCTCTAAGCTTTTAAAACAAGGAATCTATATGGTTTTCCATAGGACAAGAGCAAATTTCAATTTCAATAAAACTCAAATAACTTAGGCTACATATATAAATGGACTTTATTATGTTTCTTTAGATACTTTGGCAGCTCATACTATTTCAATATTTAATGATTCTGTATTATAATTATGGCACTATGGATTAACATATGCAAGTTTTTGTCGTGTTACAAACACTAGCACTGTTAAATGGTATACCATAACTGGAAAGACCAAGTCTAGAAGATTGCAATGCATATTTTCAAGCAAAAATGAAGAAGCCATAACCCAAAAAGGTAAGACTCAAGGTACTTTTTTATTAGCATTAGTTCATATAGATATCTAGGGTTTATCTGATTTTAAATGAGACTAAATATTTCTTACTAATTGTGGATGACTTCAGTCATCACACTTTTGTTTACTTCCTAAAATAAACTCCTCTCAAATTTTACAATTCCATTCAAATAGTCTCTGAATTCTTCATATTGATGGAGGCCAAAAACTACTTTTTACAAAGGTCCAAACCATCCTTGCAAATATCCACACTATACGATCACAAATAAAATGGAGTTGTAGAGAGAGATGCTCACTATTTTGGATGTTTCTCACAAAGCATATGTTTCATATAAGCAGAGGCAGTCAATACTGCAGTATATTCAGAATGTACTACCCCTTCTGAATTATGGACAGGTATGAAACCATCTTTTACTTACGTGCTTTTTGCTGTATAGGATACTCCCATACCTTTGATGAACAAAGACAAAACAAGTGGGAAGATAGGACTATTATATACATGATGCTAGGCTATAGCAAGACCACAAAAGAAGGATATCAAGTGTGGTTTTTAGCCAGAAGAAATTCCTAGTTTGGAGGACTCGTCTCTTTAGAGAAATGATCCCTACATACTCAACTTCTACTTCAATTGGAAGTTCTAATACTTAGGTATTTATCAGACTTCAATCTAACTGTGTCTTGGCAGCTTGAGGAACAACGATGTCACTCCCTCCATAACCACCTCCACTGATAAAAACAACTGCCAGCAGATTTTCCTCAACTTATAGTGATTTAACTATAGGTACTCTTATGTTGAAAGTTCTATAGAAGAACAAGACGTTGAACAAACTATTCAAATAGAGCTTGAACGAGAATGGATTCCTAGCATCACTCAACCAGAACCTAGAAGCCAACAAGAAATATTCTACAATATCATGCTTAGGTTGCTCAAGTTATCCAAGAACCTCTAACTTTACAGGAAGTACTTGGAGGACCACAAAGATTTCACTGAAAGGCTGCTATGCAAAGTGAGTATAACGCTCAGCTTGAGAATGATACATGGAGCCTTGTTCCTAGGGAGTCTATACCTACAGGCACATCGATTATAAAGTGTAAGTGGATCCACAACCTCAAATACAAGGAGTCAAACGAGATCGAACACTAAAAGGCATGGTTAGTAGCAAAAGGATGCAGCCCGTTCTTGGAATATGCCGTTAGCATCGCATTCCAGGACGAAGAGCAATCGCGATCATCGCGTTTCAGGCGATGGTGTTGTTCCGTCGATTGGAACAGGCTCCAGAATTCTTGGAAACTCCCGCTCTGGGAATGCGCGGTGAGCAGTGCAGTCCAGGAGACGGTGTTGTGCCGTGCCATCTCGCTGGAAGATCTCTTTGGCTTGTTCCAGATGCCCGCTCTGCCAGGAGAAGGTGTTTGGCTCCTCCAGATCGTCAAGAACAGCGCGCGCGCGCGCTCCAGACTCCCGCATTTTCCATACATCTCGATGCTCTCCAGGTGCCGATTGCGGGAGTGCTTGGTTGCAAGGATCTGGGAGTGGAGCTTCTTTTCTTGGGAGAGATCTCTGGAGTGACCGCAAGATTTGACGAGCTGCAGGCAGAGCTGGAGATCGGCATGGTAGCCTTGCTGCTCGAGAAGATCGATTGGAGCACAAATACCTTCTTCTCGCATATTCACGTTTTAGGTCTCCATTTGATATTGCGATGCGCAGGTTGCGTTCTCTACTCGCGTTGAGAAGGGGTGAGTGGTTCCTTGTCTTGAGCGCTTTTACTCTTGACGATTGGATCAAACGTTGTGTGTAGGCTTTTGCTCCTCCAGCGGTAGTGGTGATTACATTCTTAGCTGCGTCAGCTCGAGTGAAGAGGTATGCAGTACCATTGATTGAATGAAGAACACACTAACGAGGATTTTAGATCGAGATTCATAGTGTCAAAGCCGATGCTCTCGTTCGGCAAGCTCAGAGAACGCTTCAAACTTCTCGAATGGTATGTCGAGCCTGCTCATTTCTCGGATTGGTTATTGTTTTTTCTCCTTTAGTCGTCGATTGTTCTTGGTAATGCGATGATGGGATCGGTTCTTTTCAGCTCGATTTTTCCCGAGGCGAATGCTATCACGGTGCGATGCGTTTTGCCTTTCTCTATCATTATTTGCAAGTGAGTTGATGATGTTTTTCGTCAGATATCAACTGTATGCGATGGACGTCTTGGATTTGTTCATGCGGCCACTACATTTGATGGTTTCACGACGGGTCACGTCCACAATCCAAGCCACAGTTCTCATGGAAACGTAAGTCCCCGCTTTAATAAAACTATGGAACTTAATTTGGCATATCTTCAGATGATCATGGCCACGGTAGTCAGAGAGTGTGACATGCGCCTGTCTATAAGCCTATCGAAGTCTCACAGAACATTTGTGTAAGTACGCTCCATCTAGCAAGTGATTTTCGTTTCTATTCTTCTGTTCTTTTCTCATTTTGTAGGTCCCCGATGGGACCATCTCGTGAAGTTGCAGAGAGCTTAGCATATTTTCTTTGGAAAAACCAGAAGGTAATATTGATTGGTCGCTCTGTTTTCTTCACGCATTGTCTTTCATCCTTGCAGATGGATACAGCAGCTAGCTTAGCTATGAAATTTGACGAACACAACATTGTAAAGACTGCCCGAGGTTTCATTATTCAGGTAACCTGATTATTTTCCATGTTTTGGTATAGATAAACTCTTGTGTTTGACCGCAGGTGTATCCTCTGTCTGAAAAATTCGCCTGCCATCAGCTGCGCGAGAACATTGAAAACTCTCCTTCACTTGCTGATCTGGACGATACGGACGCAAGAGACATTATTGAGAAGCTTCTGCATGGGATTGAACCTGGCAGTTTTTCACAGCGTGATCTCAAATTCCAACCTGTTGGTGAAGAGGAGCAGCAGAGGTTTCTGGGGCAGCGAGAAAAGCTGTTTTCTTCAAACCAGGCAAGAACCTATGAGAAAATGATTAACAATCCTACATCGCAGGACTTTGAAGAAACAAAGCTCCCACCTCAGCATCCGTCCGACCTCTATAAGCTTGCCAATGGCGCGTTTACAAGCAAGATTGGAACGACTCGGAGGGGACCTCGCAGACCAGAAATAAGGATGCCGCGCATGGTACACACACCTTCCCGTGAGCGTTCTTTCAAGGTATTCACTTTCTGAACTAGTTGACAGGGGAAAAACGAATGGCGCTGTTGTCATGTAAAATTGCTAAGCTATCTTTGCGTCGTGCAGCGACATGGTGGGATCAATGAGCAGGAAATGACGGAGAATGGTTTCGAACAAAGGAAAAGGTGATTTTTCATTCATTCGTATAAGCTTTTACTTTTGGTGGAGCAAGGTGGTGAACGAAACGGGTACTGCTGGATGGTATCAGCCAGGGAGAGGACGACACGGCTGTCCATGGGCTACACCAGTGGGACGACCACGAAATCATATGTGTGGTTCCTCACACTCAAAAGGATTCGAGTATGGAATGTTGTGGCTGTTGTTGGAAGGAGCAACGTAAGGCTCGAGAATGCGGGTCCTGTGAAAACCAGGTCAACATAGATCATAGAAGAACGTCAGAGGTGCCATCTCGTCAAAGCTTTGGATGTCAATTGTGGGAGGCGAGTCGGTGCTGCCCAAGGGGATAAAGTTGCCACTCGCCACGGTGGTAGAGCCGTATTGGATGGGCGATTCATCCTTGATACAGCAACTTCCAATGCCATCTTTCTCACTCCAGTGTTCTTGTGTTGCTTGTAACACTCTTAAACGCAGTAAAATTGACGGGAGACAATTGTAGTAGTTAAATATTTTGGTTTATAACCTTTAGTATGAATTTAGAGAATCTTTTAAGTCTATTTTCCGTGCAGGTAGGTAAGACCTCGACTGAAGTTTCGACTTCCGAGTGCCAGCAATTTGTAAACCGCGTGACTTTTTCACCATGGAAAAGGGGGTTGCACTCCACCTGGAAAGGGAGTGTTAAAATCATAACTTGCAACTTGTAAAATATGCTTGAACTTTGGCTAAAACTGCGTCTCCCCGACGTCTAATTGCAGTATTTCTGACTCTTTATGGAGGGCCCTGCGCATCTCGTTTCTGCATCTTTGTTTTTGAATAAGAGCCCAGAACAACAAAGAGCAGATTATAAGGGCTATAGTTGCAGTAACACTGCATATGCAATGGCAAGCTAGGAACTCATTCCATGGGATGGTTTGGAAATTGGAACTTGAGAAAGGCAGCATGGGAAAAAAAAGAGAGCATTCGAGGCCTCAAGAGCATTATTTATGTAATCTTATATGGAACATCTTGTTGCACCGTTCAAGGTTTAGACGGGGTCCCTTTAGGAGGTAAATAATTGTCCCCCACGCAGATGATTTTACCATTACGAATGAGAGCGCATCTACCACCACTGTACTGCTGCCTGATGGTGCAGCAATTCTGACAGTGTTCCGGGAATATTACATCGCCGCATTGGAGGATAGAGTCGGCAAGGCATTCCTTCGTGCAAGCTGCATGAAACACGTTTAGCGAACCCCCATGAAATGGAGACTCGACTCAGATGAATAAAGATCGCTGGATTCAGCATTTTGCTTCCTTACCTTGAGCTTCTGTTTTTCCCAGCAGCACCAGCAGAGCTGCGAGCAGTAAGCAGAGCGAAAATAAGTGAGACCTCATTGTGGGCGACGAGGAGTAAGAAGCGATGCTTGAATGCTTGCTTTCGTGGGGATTTTATAGTCAGCTGGATTTTCTGCTGGATAGAAAGTTCCTGGCCTGTGCTTCTCTAGTGATGTGTTTGTATCTTTGCGCTCCTGGTTTAGCATGCCGTACACGGAAAGCGCATCGACGAAAGGTGAGCGATGATTTTTTATCCTGATTATCGTGTGCTTATCCTGATTTTCGTGTGCTCGGTGTTCTTGGTAGCCCAGTCAAGAAAGTACCAGAGTTGAATATGAGATGAAGCTACAGAACGTCAAAGAAACACGTGGAAAGAACGCATGAAAATTCGATGGTTAGGCTTTTGGAGGAGGCATAAAAAGTCTCTCAAAACCTGCAACTTGAGGAGATTTTACAAATTTTCCTGTCAAGGACGTAGTATCCTCGACCCCCATAGCTGCAGCCTTTAGGAGCACTGTTTCCTGGAACGCTATGCTTCACGGCTATTCTGGCGACTCATTGTTATTAAGACAAGTTATTCTTTTAAAACCAGGCCAGAACCTGTCCAACCCAATGGAGCATTTACAAGCAAGATTGGAACAACTGCCAAGGGTCACTGTAGACCAGAAATAAGGATGCTGCGCGGGTACACATGCCTTCATCAAAGTCACGAGAAGGCATCCTTTCAAGGTATTCTCTTGGTATTAATCATAGCCAATTGTGAAAGGTGTTCTGCTATCCAGCTTAGCGGCTCAAAATGCTATACATGGTATCCACAGGGAACAACCTCACTGAAGAAGCTAGAGCAGCATTTCTGGAGGAATTTAAAAGAGCAGTGTATGCAACGTGGTTGGCTTGGAATGGCATCGTGTGGAGCAGCTCTTGGGCCTCTGGTATCTTGCCGGCCCGGCCAAGGATGTCGATCATACAGCAGTAGTGATCAATTGTCTCAGCGATGGAGTGATTGAAGCTCATGGAGAAGAAGTGGTGGATTGCCAGAGCGAGCAAGCCAATGTGGTTACAGGCGATCAAGGTGGCGATGAGAGTGGTGGCATCGGGCTCTACTCCTTCACACGCCATCCTCTTGTAAAGATCCAAGGTTTCTACGGCGTGGGCGTTCTTGGCATAGCCATGAAGCATCGCGTTCCAGGAAACAGTGTTCCTCTCCGGCATTGTCTCAAAGATCTTGCGTGATCGATCAAGACGTTGCTGCTATGGCCTTGAGAGGGATCGCTCCTCAATTTCCCCATCTTGGGCATGTGCTACAAGAACAAGTTCCAGGCCAGTGGTTTTTCTGAGGGAAAGGTTTCGAGAAGATTTTGTGCTTCCTCCAAACCAGGCAAGAACCTATGAGAAAATGATTAACAATCCTACATCGCAGGACTTTGAAGAAACAAAGCTCCCACCTCAGCATCCGTCCGACCTCTATAAGCTTGAGCAAGATTGGAACGACTCGAAGGGGACCTCGCCGACCAGAAATAAGGATGCCGCGCATGGTACACACACCTTCCCGTGAGCGTTCTTTCAAGGTATTCACTTTCTGAACTAGTTGACAGGGGAAAAACGAATGGCGCTGTTGTCATGTAAAATTGCTAAGCTATCTTTGCGTCGTGCAGCGACATGGTGGGATCAATGAGCAGGAAATGACGGAGAATGGTTTCGAACAAAGGAAAAGGTGATTTTTCATTCATTCGTATAAGCTTTTACTTTTGGTGGAGCAAGGTGGTGAACGAAACGGGTACTGCTGGATGGTATCAGCCAGGGAGAGGACGACACGGCTGTCCATGGGCTACACCAGTGGGACGACCACGAAATCATATGTGTGGTTCCTCACACTCAAAAGGATTCGAGTATGGAATGTTGTGGCTGTTGTTGGAAGGAGCAACGTAAGGCTCGAGAATGCGGGTCCTGTGAAAACCAGGTCAACATAGATCATAGAAGAACGTCAGAGGTGCCATCTCGTCAAAGCTTTGGATGTCAATTGTGGGAGGCGAGTCGGTGCTGCCCAAGGGGATAAAGTTGCCACTCGCCACGGTGGTAGAGCCGTATTGGATGGGCGATTCATCCTTGATACAGCAACTTCCAATGCCATCTTTCTCACTCCAGTGTTCTTGTGTTGCTTGTAACACTCTTAAACGCAGTAAAATTGACGGGAGACATTTTGGTTTATAACCTTTAGTATGAATTTAGAATATACAGCTTTGTGGCTTGATCTTTTAAGTCTGTTTTCCGTGCAGGTAGGTAAGACCTCGACTGAAGTTTCGACTTCCGAGTGCCAGTGTACGCAATTTGTAAACCGCGTGACTTTTTCACCATGGAAAAGGGGGTTTACAAATTGCACTCCACCTGGAAATGGAGTGTTGGCTTTTAAAATCATAACTTGCAACTTGTAAAATGAAACGCACAAAATGCTTGAACTTTGGCTAAAGCGTCTCCCCGACGTCTAGTTGCAGTATTCTGACTCTTTGGGAAGGGCCCTGCGCATCTCGTTTCTGCATCTTTGTTTTTGAATAAGAGCCCAGAACTACAAAGAGCAGATTATAAGGGCTGTAGTTGCAGCAACACTGCATGCAATGGCGAGCTAGGAACTCATTCCATGGGATGGTTTGGAAATTGGAACTTGAGAAAGGCAGCATGGGAAAAAAAAGAGAGCATTCGAGGCCTCAAGAGCATTATTTATGTAATCTTATATGGAACATCTTGTTGCACCGTTCAAGGTCTAGACGGGGTCCCTTTAGGAGGTAAATAATTGTCCCCCACGCAGATGATTTTTCCATTACGAATGAGAGCGCATCTACCACCATTGTACTGCCGCCTGATGGTGCAGCAATTCTGACAGTGTTGCGGGAATATTACATCGCCGCATCGGAGGATAGAGTCGGCAAGGCATTCCCTCGTGCAAGCTGCAGGAGCGAACCCCCATGAAATGGAGACTCGACTCAAATGAATAAACAGCATTTTGCTTCCTTACCTTGAGCTTCTGTTTTTCCCAGCAGCACCAGCAGAGCTGCGAGCAGTAAGCAGAGCGAAAATAAATGAGACCTCATTGTGGACGATCAGAATGCTTGCTTTCGCCCGCTTTTGTGGGTATTTTATAGTCAGCTGGTCCTGGAGAAAAACGTGCCTGTACGAAAGGTGAGCGATGACTGTCAGGTGTCTCCTATTGTGGGCTCTACTTGACTTTCGTGTGCTCGGTATTACAGGCGATTGGCAGCCCAGTCAAGAAAGTACCAGAGTTCAATATGGGATGCAACTACGAAACTACTGAAAAGAACGGGTGAAACTTCGATTGTCATAGGCTTGTGGAAGGTCTTCTCAAAACCCGACTGGAAATTCGCACTACTTGGCCATCTACCAGGAGATTCGGGCGGCTCAAGCACAAGAGAGTGTAGAGAGAGAGTAGGAGGTAGAGATGATCCTTCTTCTTCTTAGTGGTCTTATGCTTCAAAAGCATAAGACTCCAAAAGCATGTATTGAAAGCACATGCCTAAAGTGGGCAACTTTGAGGAGACTTTACAAACTTTCCTGTCAAGGACGTAATATTCTGGACCACCATACAGCATTTTCCCGCATCTTGATCAATCACGCAAGATCTTTGAGGAAATGAACACTGCATCCTGGAACGCTGGCTATTCCCGTTGTTGAGAGAAGTTTTTTGTTCAAATCAGACCAGAACCTATTATAACAAGAAACAGAACTACCACTCAGCATCCGTCCAACCTCAATGCAACATTTATAAGCAAAGAGAAATAAGGATACTGCGCAGGTACATATGGCTTCATCAAAGTCATGAGGTATTCTCTTAAAACAGAAGTAAAACTTATAGCTGAAGCATGGTATATAAAGCCAATAATGTGAAAGGTAGCATTTTGGGCAGCTAAGTTGGACAACAGAACATACATGGTATCCACAGGGGATGACCTCAGTGAAGAAGCTAGAGCAGCATTTCTGGAGGAGTTTAAAAGAGCAGTGTAGGCAACATGGTTGGCTGTGGAGCAGCTCTTGGGCCTCTGGGATCTTGCCGGGGCGACCAAGGATGGAGCGAGCAAGCCTGGCGATGAGAATTGGCATCGGGCACACGCCATCCTCTTGTAAAGATCCAAGGCTTCTACAGCATGAGCGTTTTTGGCATAGCCATGAAGCATTGCGTTCCAGGAAACAGTGTTCCTCTCCGGCATTGTCTCAAAGATCTTGCGTTCGAGACGCCCAAACTGCAAACATGCTGCTGCCATGGCCTTGACAGGGATCGCGCTCCTCAATTTGGCCAACTTGGGCATGTGCTGCATGAACAAGTTCCAGGCCAGTGGTTTCTCTGAGGGCAAGGTTTTGAGAAGATTTTGTGCTTCTTCCAAGCTATCGTTTATATCATCAAAGCCCAAGACATTCCATTTTATCTTGGAATCGAATATTTCGCGCGCTGCCATAGCACGCAAGCATGGCGTTCCAGGTGACCACGTTTCGATCCCTGGCCCCGTCAAATACTTCCTTCTTTTAAATGCCCGCCGCGAGACGAGGATCATCCAGGAGACGACGCTCCACGCCGGCATTGCGTGGAACAATCGCAAGGTTTCGTCCACCAGGCCTCGCTCGGCGTGCGCCTTGCATGGCGCTGTTCCACGCCACGACGTCCAGTTCCGGTATTCGATCGAAGAAGAGCTCGAAGGTACGCTTGGAGCATTGCGTTCCAGGAGAAGATATCGCGGCAAGGCATGGCGCAAACAGGGAGTTCGCTTCTTGGAGCTAGCTGTGCTCGGCGTAGGCCTCGACCGCCATGTTCCAAGAAACCAGGCCCCGCGTTGGAGCGCTGTCGAAGAGGTTCTTGGCAGTGTGGAGATTTCCCGATCTGGCATGGCGGCGATCATGATATTCCAGGCGATCACATCCTTCCCGGGCATAATCTCAAACAAGAACATTTCCTTGTCGATCTCCCAGCTCCTCGCGTGCGTGACGAGCATCGCGGTCCATGAAACCACATCTCTCCTCGGCATTCTCTTGAAGAAATGTCTCACCATGGCCAGATTTCCCTCCGCGGCATACCTCTGTGCCAAGATGTTCCAGGACACTTGATCCTTCTCCGGCATCGCGTCAAACAGTAAGGTCGCTTGATCCAGGTCTCCACTCTGGTCTCCACTTTGCGTGTAAGCTGTGTTCTAGGCCACAACATTCCGCTGTGGCATCCGATCGCACATCCGCCGGCCCGCCTCCAAATGCCTGGATCTCGCTAGCGGTTCTACGATCACGGTCTCGGCAATCACGGCCTTGTATGGCATCCCAAGCGACTCCGCTTCCACGCAGGCCGCGATCATCAACGTCCACGACACAATATAACTACTACAACAGTCTCCTTTTTGGTCTCCCGTCACCTGTCTATTTTACTGCCATGCCAAATTTCTCGTTTTGGTTTCCAGGTTCTTTGTGCAGGCGAAGTTCCGACTTCCAAGTGCCAGTGAGTGCTTCCAGGTTTTGGCCTTTAAAATCCATTAGTCCTTTAAAAACCTTTGGGCAGGAACTCAACTTGCATCTTGTAAAATGGAACGCAGAAACCACACAAAATGCATGAACTTTGGCTAAAAACTGCGTCTCCCCGACTACTGAGAAAACCTTCTAATTGTAGTATTCTTAGAGGGCCGTGTGCAGCTGTTTCTGCATCTTTTGTTTTTGCATAAGAGCCCACAACAACAAAGAGCCTGATTATAAGGACTGCATTTGCAGCAACCCCTCATGCAATGGCGAGCTCTAGAAACTCATTCCATGAGATGGTTTGGAAATTGGAACTTGAGAAAGGCAGCATGAGCATTTCCTCATGAAACCTTATTAAAACAGCACCAAAGGAACAGGGTTAAAAATTGACCACTAATTACTTGAATAATAATGCTTATTATTATTAATTATTAAAATTTTATAATTATAAACATATTTATAATTTATAAACACTGATATAGGAATACAAGAATGAATGGACCAAATTAAGTCTTAAATGGACGACTTATAACACAAAATTAATTTTATTTAAAATAAACTAGGATATACTAGGAAGTGTTAAGGAAAAATTATAATTTATAAATAGAAGATAAATCTAAATGAATACCAATTTGTTAGATGGTAAAATATTCTAAAATATTCAAGCATATTCTAGATATAAATTTTATAACTAAAAACCTTTTTATACAACTAATCATATATATTTGTATATATCTGTTATAGGTGAAGCAGTTACAACTACTTCTAATGCTCCAAGGTGTGTCCCATTTTACTACTTACACTCAAGTTAAACTTTTGACCTATTAAGAAAAAATAGAAACAAACTACAAGTAAAAAAGATTTTTATTCTGGCTTAGTTAATGCATTAGAAGAAGAAAGCCAACAATCAATTCCTGAACAAGTTAAATTGCTAATCAGAAAATGGAGATTCAATAAGGATTGATACATCTTTGGGTTAGAGATCCTACAGGTAAAAGTTTTATATTACAACTAGTTGATTTAAGATTTTGTATTCAATACATTCATAAAATGTTTGTAGTCACATGACTAATAATAAAAACTTGGCAGTCAAAAAGAAATTCAATTTTTAACCCTGCATGATGGTTGGATAGAAAATCCAATCCATTGCAAATGTATGTTAAGGCACCTAGTCTGCCTGCTACAAATTGATTGCATAAAGTACGTAGCAAAGACGAACCTCCTCAAAGTCCACTCGGCAGTGTGGAAACTTTGAGCATTCTTTTTATTTACGTAACCTTATGGAACATCTTGTTGCACCGTTCAAGGTCTAGACGGGGATGTTCCCCAAGGAGGTAAATAATTGTCCCCCACGCAGAAGATTTCTCCATTACGAATGAGAGCGCATCTACCACCTCTGTACTGCTGCCTGATGGTGCAGCAATTCTCACAGTGTTCCGGGAATAGTACATCGCCGCATCGGAGGATAGAGTCGGAAAGGCATTCCTTCGTGCAAGCTGCAGGAAACACGTTTAGCGAACCCCCATGAAATGGAGACTCGACTCAGATGAATAAAGATCGCTGGATTCAGCATTTTGCTTCCTTACCTTGAGCTTCTGTTTTTCCCAGCAGCACCAGCAGAGCTGCGAGCAGTAAGCAGAGCGAAAATAAGTGAGACCTCATTGTGGACGGCGAGGAGTAACAAGCGTTGCTTGAATGCTTGCTTTCGTGGGGAGTTTATAGTCAGCTGGATTTTCTGCTGGATAGAAAGTCCCTGGCCGGTGCTTCTCTAGTGACGTGTTTGTATATTTGCGCTCCGGGTTTAGCTTGCCGTACACGGAAAGCGCATCGACGAAAGGTGAGCGATGACTACGTCTTATTTTGTGGGCTTATCCTGATTTTCGTGTACTCGGTGTTCTTGGTAGCCCAGTCAAGAAAGTACCAGAGTTGAATATGAGATGAAGCTACAGGACGTCAAAGAAACACGTGGAAAGAACGCAAGAAAATTCGATGGTTAGGCTTTTGGAGGAGGCATAAAAAGTCTCTCAAAACCTGCAACTTGAGGAGATTTTCCAATTTTTCCTGTCAAGGACGTAGTATCCTCGACCCCCATAGCTGCAGCATTTAGGAGCACTGTTTCCTGGAACGCTATGCTTCACGGCTATTCTGGCGATTCATTGTTATTGAGACAAGTTATTTTTTTCAAACCACCTACTATAACAAAAAACAGAACTAATCTGTAACCAATGGAGCATTTACAAGCAAGATTGGAACAACTGCCAAGGGTGTCATTATAGACCAGAAATAAGGATGCTGCACGGGTACTTGCCATCAAAGTCACGAGAAGGCATCCTTTCAAGGTATTCTCTTAGCTGAATGGGTATTAACAATAGCTGCCGCTAAGTTGGACAGCAGAACATACATGGTATCCACAGGGAACAACCTCACTGAAGAAGCTAGAGCAGCATTTATAGAGGAATTTAAAAGAGCAGTGGCCGGCCCGGCCAAGGATGTCGATCATACAGCAGTAGTGATCAATTGTCTCGGCGATGGAGTGATCGAAGCTCATGGAGGAGAAGTGGTGGATTGCCAGAGCGAGCAAGCCAATGTGGTTACAGGCGATCAAGGTGGCGATGAGAGTGGTGGCATCGGGCTCTACTCCTTCACACGCCATCCTCTTGTAAAGATCCAAGGTTTCTACAGCGTGGGCGTTCTTGGCATAGCCATGAAGCATTGCGTTCCAGGAAACAGTGTTCCTCTCCGGCATTGTCTCAAAGATCTTGCGTGATCGATCAAGACGTCCAAACTGCGAAAATGCTGCTGCTATGGCCTTGAGAGGGATCGCTCCTCAATTTCCCCATCTTGGGCATGTGCTGCAAGAACAAGTTCCAGGCCAGTGGTTTTTCCGAGGGCAAGGTTTCGAGAAGATTTTGTGCTTCCTCCAAGCTATCGTTTATATATCATGAAAGCCCAAGATTCCATTTCTCTCACACATGGAATCGAATATTTCACGCGCTGCCATACATGGCGTTCCAGGTGCACGTTTCGATCCCTGACCCCGTCAAATCCTTCCCTGGCCTCTGAAATGCCCGCCACGCCCTAGCGCCGAGACGAGGATCGTCCAGGAGAAGAGGTTCCACGCCAGGCCTCGCTCGGCGTGCGCTTGGACGTCCCGACTTCCAAGTGCCAGTGGTGCTTCCAGGTTTTGGTATAAAATCTTTCGGCCTAAAAATTGACCACTAATTACTTTTTATAGTCAAATACTATTATTATTAATCCAATCAACTGGAAGTTTATAATCATAAATATATTTATAATTTTATAAACACAAATTTAATCTTGTTAAATAACTTTATCCGTCCACTCCCAAAATGTAAGAAACTTGCTGTGTGTTGCATGCAGCAACACTTGTTTGCTTAATAGTACCAAAAATACTAGAAACCAATTATAAACATGTTTATAATTATAAATAAAATATTAATCTAGATTGTAGAATATTTTATCAAATATATTCTAGATATATCCACTAAATTGTAAAACTAAACATACAACTAAAGTATATACCTGTTATAGGTGAAACAAATACATGTGTAGTCTAAACTTTTGATGTATTAGGAAGAAATAGAAACAAACCACAAGTAAAAAAAGTCAAAATAAATTTTATTTTGGCTTGGCTACTGCATTACAAGCTATTTCACTAGCAGAAGAAGAAAGTCAGCAATTGATGCCTGAGGAAGTTAAATTATTAATCAGAAAACGGACATCTAATAAGGATATTGATACATTTTTGTGCTCAACTTGTGAAAGATCCTACAGGTAAAAGTTTTATATTACAACTAGTTGATTTTAAATTTTATATTCAAATTTACATTCATAAAACATTTGTAGTCACATCACTAATAAAGTAAACTAGGCTACCTGTTACAAATTGATTGCCTAAAGTACGTAGTAAGACCAACCTCCTCAAAGTCCACTCGGCAGTGTGGAAACTTTGAGCATTCTCTTTATTTATGTAATCTTATAAAACATCTTGTTGCACCGTTCAAGGTCTAGGCGGGGTTGTTCCAAAAGGAGGTGAATAATTGTCCCCCACGCAGATGATTTCTCCATTACGAATTAGAGCGCATCCACCACCATTGTACCGCCTGATGGTGCAGCAATTCTGACAGGGTTCCAGGGATACTACATCGCCGCATAGAATGGTAGAGTTGAGAAGGCATTCCTGCGTGCAAACTGCAGAGAAATACATTTACGTTTAGTGAAATGGAGAACGACTCAAATGAACAAAGAACATTTTGCTTCCTTACTTTGAGCTTCTGTTTTTCCCAGCATCACCAGCAGAGCTGCGAGCAGTAAGCAGAGCGAAAATAGGTGAGACCTCATTGTGGACGACGACGATGCTTGAATGCCTGCTTTCGCGGGGATTTTATACTCAGCTGGATTTTCTGCTGGCCTGTGCTTCTCTAGTGACGTGTTTGTATATTTGCGCTCCGGGTTTAGCTTGCCGTACACGGAAAGCGCATCGACCAAAGGTGAGCGATGACTATAAGGTTTCTCCGTCTTATTTTGTGGGCTTATCCTGATTTTCGTGTACTCGGTGTTCTTGGTAGCCCAGTCAAGAAAGTACCAGAGTTGAATATGAGATGAAGCTACAGGGCGTCAAAGAAACAAAACTACATGGAAAGAACGCATGAAAATTCGATTGTCATAAGCTTTTGGAGGAGGCATAAAACGTCTCTCAGAACCTGAGAACCATTAGCCTGCAACTTGAGGAGATTTCACAAATCTTCCTGTCAAGGAGAGCCCATAGCTGCAGTATTTAGGAGGAACACTGTTTCCTGGAACGCTATGCTTCACGGCTATTCTGGCTATTGAGAGAAGTTATTTTTTTCAAACCAGGCCAGAACCTACCTATAACCAGAAACAGAACTAAGCTGTCCAACCTCTTTTTACAAGCAAAATTAAGGGTCCTTATAGGCCAGAAATAAGGAAGCCTTCAGAGAAGGCATTCCTTCAAGATATTCTGAATGGGTAAATAACAATAATTGTCCTATTATCAATAGTTAATTGTGAAAAGTAGCATTTTGAGCTGCTAAGTTGGACAGTAGAACATACATGGTATCCACAGGGAACGACCTCACTGAAGAAGCTAGAGGAGCATTTCTGGAGGAATTTAAAAGAGCAGTGTATGCAACGTGGTTGGCTTGGAATGGCATCGTGTGGAGCAGCTCTTGGGCCTCTAGTATCTTGCCGGCCCGGCCAAGGATGTCGATCATACAGCAGTAGTGATCAATTGTCTCAGCAATGGAGTGATCGAAGCTCATGGAGGAGAAGTGGTGGATTGCCAGAGCGAGCAAGCCAATGTGGTTACAGGCGATCAAGGTGGCGATGAGAGTGGTGGCATCGGGTTCAACTCCTTCACACGCCATCCTCTTGTAAAGATCCAAGGTCTCTACAGCATGGGCGTTCTTGGCATAGCCATGAAGCATTGCGTTCCAGGAAACAGTGTTCCTCTCCGGCATTGTCTCAAAGATCTTGCGTGATCGATCAAGATGCCCAAACTGCGAAAATGCTGCACCTATGGCGGTCCAGGATACTACGTCCTTGACAGGGATCGCGTGGAATGTCTGTAAAGTCTCCTCAAGCTGCCCATTTTGGGCATTTGCTGCAAGAACAAAGTTCCAGGCCAGTGGTTTCTCTGATGGCGAGGTTTTGAGAAGAGTTTGCGCTTCCTCCACGCTATTGTTTATAAGACACGCTTCTATCATCAAAGCCCACGACATTCCATTTCTCTCGCCCATGGAATCGAATATTTCGCGCGCTCTGTCTAAATTGCCCCTTTTCCCGCCATAGCACGCAAGCATGGCGTTCCAGGTGACCACGTTTCGATCCCTGGCCCCGTCAAATACTTCCCTGGCATCTTTTAAATGCCCGCCGCGCCCTAGCGCCGAGACGAGGATCGTCCAGGAGACGACGCTCCACGCCGGCATTGCGTGGAACAATCGCAGGGTTTCGTCCACCAGGCCTCGCTCGGCGTGCGCTTGCATCGCGCTGTTCCACGCCACGACGTCCAGCTCCGGGATCCGATCGAAGAAGCGCATTCCCTCCTCCAGCCGGTCTGATCGAAGGTACGCTTGGAGCATTGCGTTCCAGGAGAAGAGATCGCGGCAGGGCATGGCGTCGAAAAGGGATTTCGCTTCTTGGAGCTGGCCATGCTCGGCAAAGGCCTCGATCGCCGTGTTCCAAGAAACCAGGTCCCGCGTTGGAGCGCTGTCGAAGAGGTTTTTGGCAGTGTGGAGATTTCCCGATCTGGCAGTGGCGGCGATCATGATGTTCCAGGCGATCGCATCCTTCCCGGGCATAATCTCGAACAAGAACATCGCCTCGTCGATCTCCCAGCTGCTGGCGTGCGCGACGAGCATCGCGGTCCAAGAAACCACATCTCTCCTCGGCATTCTCTTGAAGAGATCTCTCACCATCGCCAGATTTCCCTCCTCGGCATACGCCTGCGCCAAGATGTTCCAGGACACCTGATCCTTCTCCGGCATCGCGTCAAACAGTAAGCTCGCTCGATCCAGGTCTCCACTCCGCGCGTAGGCTTCCAACATCGTGTTCCAGGTCACGACATCCCGCTGTGGCATCCGATCAAACATCCGCCGGCTCGCCTCCAAATGCCCGGATTTCGCGAGCGCTTCCACGATCACGGTCCCGGCAATCACCGCCTTGTATGGCATCCGAGCCAGCAGCGACTCCGCCTCCTGGATCATGTCCACCCTCGCGTAGGCCGCAATCATCGACGTCCACGACACCTCCGTGCGCTGTGGCATCCGATCAAACACGCCCTGAGCATCCTCAATATGCCCGTTTCGGGCATACACCTCGAGCAGGATGTTCCAGGAGAAAACGTTGGGCTCACGGATGGATTCAAACACCGCCACTGCCAGTTCCAAGTCACGGCACTTGCCATACATCTCCACCAGCAGGTTTCTCAGGTAGCGATTGTGGCTCTGCACACTCTTGTCGACGAGCTTGTGGATCCATCGTCCCTGTGCCAGAGTTCTAGCATCACGGATCGACCGAGCCAGCTGGGTAACCAGAGCTTCATCTCTAGAGGTAAGAATTGTTACTAGCATTCACAGTGGTGTGACAGTGGGACGAAGGTGGCAACAAGGAAATTGGCAAATTGGACCTTTTGCCTTTTGGGGTTGTGAAAAGGTTTTGGCTTAGGAATGGCAACTTTGCAGGGGTCAGAAGAATGGCATTGGTTGAAAGGAAGTTTTGGATACACTAATGATATAGCAAGGATGGAAACCGACATTTCGAAAAAGTTCACTATAAAAGAAAAAAATGCAATAATAGAAACAAAGAAAGCTAGATCTTGGGGTGGTTTGTGTTTAATCCACTAGCTCTTTGCTATGTCGGTGGACAGTAGGAATGAAGTTCATATGGTGGTGCTTCCATATCCTGCACTAGGCCATCTTCTTCCCTTGATCCATCTTGCAACAAAACTGGCTACAACAGGGATCATCGTCACACTGCTCAATGTGAACAGCATCCATGAGAACCTCTCCCGGCAGTGGAGGTGCCCGGATGGGATGGATATCAGACTGGAGCAAGTGCATTGTGACATCTTCATTCCTTATGGCATCGATGCCAAGGCACTGAAAGACACGGACGGGCTGCTCGAGTCTCTGGAGAGGTTGCAAGCTCCAGTAGAGGAGCTGGTGAGGGAGATGCAACCGCCTCCATGCTGCATCATTTCCGACTATTTCATGCGCTGGGCGGTGGGAATCACAAAGAAACTTGGCCTCAAAGTCGTCACGTTTTGGCCTGGAAATGCTGCCTGGAGCTCCATCCACCACCACACTCAAATGCTCGTCTCCAGTGGGGACGCGTTCCAAGGTCAGCTACAAAACTAGATTTTTTTTTTTCTTGCATGATTTTGATCGAGCAATCTAGGCCTCGACGAGAACAAGCTCATTCGCTACGTCCCAGGTCTCGACGCTTTCAAGTGCCGCCACCTCCCGAGCTACTTCCGGAGGAAGCTGGTAGGATTCATTCTTGAATTTTTTAGTGTCTCAGCAGACCGCATGAAGGATGCCGACTGGATCCTGGTGAACTCCATCTCGGAGCTGGAGACCCACGCCTTCGATGCGATGCAGGGAGCTCTGGCCAACAAGAACTTCGTGTCTGTGGGTCCGCTCTTCCCATGCCACACCAGCCCGCGGGTGAGCCTCCGCGACGAGAAGAGCGAGTGCCTGGAATGGCTCCACACCCAGGCCACAAGCTCTGTGCTCTACATCTCGTTCGGGAGCTTGTGCCTGTTTCCCGAGCGCCAGATCGTGGAGCTCGCGGCCGGGCTGGAGGCGAGCAAGCAGCCGTTCCTCTGGGCGGACGTCCGGCACGAGTTCGTCAGCAGCGAAGCTCTCCGGGGCTTCGCCGAGCGATCGAGGCCGAGGGGGATGGTGGTCTCCTGGGCGCCGCAGCTCCAGGTCCTGGCACACCACTCCATCGCCGGATTCCTCTCCCACTGCGGCTGGAACTCGGTCCTGGAGAGCATCTTCTATGGCGTGCCACTGCTGGGCTGGCCGTGCCACACCGAGCAGAGCATGAATTGCAAGCTCGTGGAGGACTGGAAGATCGGGCGGCGGCTCTCGGATGATCAGGACGTGGCGCGCGGGCGAGTGGAGGAGGTAATCCGGGATTTCTTGGAAGGGCAGGGCATGGGCGAGATCCGGGCCAGAATGGCGGCGCTCAGGAGCACGGTGCGCTCCACGACCGACCAAGGGGGAACCTCTCACGGAAACCTCAAGAGATTCGTTGACGCGGTCAATGTGTCCGCCATAGCTGGCACCACTTGGCATGGCACGAGCCGCCCATGTGGCAGCCCTAAGAACGACGCCACGTAGCCAAAGCCACGTGGCTGTTCAGTTTGTTTTAGTAACGGGGTTAATTAACTTTAACCATTGCTAGTTTAACTCCAAGAGGTTTTGCGCAAAGAGGCGCTTGTGCACCCAATACACGATCAAATCCGCCGTGAGTTTCTTCTCGTCGATCAAGAATGGCTCCACGGTGCTGGGAGGTGATCCATAGGCAGACACCGAAAATCCTCTAGCACCTTTTTGTTCCAAAAGTTTTGAGTGTCGATTTTGAGTGCAAAATGGCAGAATCCATGCACGTACCTTCCAAGCTCGCGTCTGGGAAGTAGGCCCAGAATGTGTATGGAATGCCGAGCTTCGAGAAAGAGCCCCTTAGCTGCGATTGCAAAGTGGTGATTGGCAAGGATATCGCGATCTCAAGAGGAGACGAACCTGGTCGTTCTCGAAGCAAACTTCTACGTCGGCTAGGTTCTCTTCCTTCGCCAGTTTTGCTTGGAGACGCGGAGCGACGTCTTCTACCATGAGAGCTGGATAAGTCTTGGCTGCGGGCTTCTTTGGCTTTGGCTTTGGCTTTGCTGCGGGCTTTTCCGGCTTTTCCTTTGCCGGGGGAGGAGGAGGAGCCTCCTTGCCTGTGTTTTGCGAGCACACGAATGAACACGAATGAACTAGCACGAGACATGGAAGAACTTGTATCAAACCTGGGGCAGACTCCGCTACGATGAGCTCGTTGTTGAAGCCACCGGTACCATCGGATGCCATCGGAGAGTCCGGCGAGTGCATCCACTGGCCATCCACGATGAACTTGTACTTGTATGATCCCGGAGCTAGCTTCTGGAAACAATTAGACCCATGACAGTCTAATTGCAAGAACTTCGAAGTAGAACTTACTTGCTTGATCTGAAATGTACCATCCGGGCTCTTCTCAAGAGGGACTTGCTTTTGCCACTCGAGGAAGTCGCCGGTGAGCAGCACCTCGGAAGCTTGGCCCTTCCAAGCAAAGATTATATCCTGTGTCACCACTGTACGTGTCTTCCATCGCACGCACGCACTGGCATCAGCTGTATGATGGACCAAAACTTCCTCGCAAAGTTCTAGACTTACATGTGGAAGTGGAAGTGGATGGCCCGTCCGCTACGCTCGCACGCAGCGATTGTATGCTCCTCGCCTCCTTTCTTTCTGGCAAACCAAAGCCCTTCGAATGCCGCAGCTCGAATCTGAGTAGTGTGCAGCGGCACGGCCTGATGAGCTGCGTAGCCTCGTGCGGACTAGCAAAGTACGTCAATCTGCTGCAAGCGGTGGCAGCCATAGCCACACGAGCTTCGAGGCTGGAGCTGGAGCTCCACCTCCACCTTTACGAGATAAGTCTGCACTTCCAAGTGGCAACATGTTAGCCACACTCCCAAATCAGCATTTCAGTTTATTAACCTCGTCATTACCAGACTGGTACCCAATCCAGAGGACTGGGAAATCCATCTCAGCCCGTTAGTCACGTCGAAACAAAACATCTTAGTTGCTGTGGTCCCCTTGGGATTTCCTGGCATTGATATGTGACGGTGCTTTGCTGCAAACCAGCAGCCAGCTTGTTTGCACGGTCACCGCAGAGAAGCTTGAGGCTTACCTCTTGTGTGGGATTGCAGCATGAATTCACAGTCGTAGCTAAAGTTCTAAACATCCAGCGCCAAAGGTACGCAAGCTTCTTCTCTCCCAGAGTTTGACGAACTCTTCTTCCAGCCATGGGTGCTACACCACAAGATCAAACCGCACACGTTGTTCTCGTCCCATACCCGGCTCAGGGTCACATTCCACCGATGATCCATCTCGCGCGAAAGCTAGCTGCCAACGAGATCATCGTCACGCTGGTTAACGTGGACAGCGTCCACAAGATGCTCCTCAAGCAATGGAGCTGCCCACCGGGATCGGACATCCGGCTGGAGCAAGTCGAGTGCGGCCTCAAGCTCCCGGCCGGGGTGGACGCGTCGTGCCTCGAGAACCCGGAAGCTCTCTTTGACGCAGTTGACAGCCTCAAAGCTCCGGTGGAGGAGCTCGTACGTGAGCTCACGCCAACTCCTTGTTGCATCGTTGCCGACTTCTTCCTTGGCTGGCCCCTCGAGCTGGCCAGGACGCTAGGCACCGGTTCCGCAATCTACTGGCCTGGAAACGCAGCATGGAGTTCACTCCACCACCATATGAAGCTGCTCGAGGCCCACGGCGATCTCTTCTGCCAAGGCAAGCCAAAGTTCTTGTCAGTAGTAGTCAACCAAGTTTGTGAAATCCATGCAGGAGAGAGGGAGGAGGACAGGATCATCACGTACATCCCTGGAGTTCCCGGCCTGGAGTACGGTGATCTTCCGGAGTACTTCAAGCGAAAGCTCGGGAGCCCGAGTCGCCGGCTTCTCTTCGACTACGACCAGGATCGCATGAAGCACTGCGAGTGGATCCTCGTCAACAGCATGGCGGAGCTGGAGCCCGAGACGTTCCACGCGATGCAAGCGGCGCTGCCAGCCAGCAAGTTCGCTGCGATCGGGCCACTCTTCCCAGTCTCCCACCACGAATCGCCAGCAGCGCTCAAGGGAGTGAGCCTCCGAGACGAGGAGCATGGCTGCCTCAAGTGGCTCGACACGCGCGCCGAGAGCTCCGTGCTCTACGTCTCGTTCGGGAGCATCAGCGTTCTCTCGGAGGATACGTTCCAGGAGATCGCCGCGGGGCTGGAGGCTAGCGAGCAGGCGTTTCTCTGGGTGAATCGCGAGGATCTGGTGAAGAGGAGCGCCACTCACGACGAGTTCTACGCGGGGTTTCTGGAGAGGACGCGCGAGCAAGGAATGGTCGTGTCGTGGGCGCCGCAAGTCCGAGTGCTAGCGCACTCCTCCATCGGAGGATTTCTCTCGCACTGCGGCTGGAACTCGACGCTGGAGAGCATCTGCTATGGCGTGCCACTGCTGGGATGGCCGTGCCACTCGGAGCAAAGGACCAACGCCAAGCTGGTGGAAGAGGACTGGCGAGTGGGGAAGAGACTGTGGCGGCGAGGCGATGGAGACACGGTGACCCGGGGTGTCGTGGAGCAGCGGATTACTGAATTCATGAGTGGAATGGACAAGGAGGAGATATGGGCGAGAGCGAAAGATCTCAAGAATGTGGCCCGCGCTACTGCCAATCCAGGCGGGAACTCCCACGAGAATCTGGCAACGTTTGCGCGAGCAGTGAAGACGATGACGATGGGAGACTAACAGCGAAGCCTCTGCCACAGGGAATCTTCTCTGTCTGGGATAGCTCCTCTTTCCTCCATAAACCCTAATCTATGAGACATGAGCTTTATTTGTTTGCCCAGCTCGTGAGGAAGTGCCGTAATGCCAGGGATCTCTTGCAGGGCAAATGCGTCCACGCGCAAATCCTCGAGAGTGGGCTCATCCACGAGCGATTTCTTGCGAATCTCCTGGTTGAAATGTATGGCAAGTGCGGCAGCGTGGAGGAATCCAGAGCTGTGTTTGATGGGATACAGGAGCCGAATCTTTTCTCCTGGACAAACATGCTTGCAGTGTATGCCCAGAGAGGGGATTTGCAGAAAGCGAAGGAGATTTTTGGTAAGATGCCTGAGAAGGATCGAGTCGCCTGGAATGCGATGATTCAAGCTTACGCTCGAAGCGGCTGTTTTGGAAAAGCCAAAGAGATGTTTGATGTCATGAGCAATCGCAATGTTGTGTCGTGGACGACTGTTCTTGCAGCACTTGCCCAAGAAGGGAATTTTGAGCTTGCGAAAGACATGTTCGACAGAATGCCGCGGCGGGATTCCGTGTCATGCAACGCGATGATGGATGCTTGTGTACAAAGCCAAGATTTTGAAAGAGTTCGAGAGATGTTTTTTAGTATGTTGGAGAAGGACATAGCATCTTGGACTACAATCTTAGCAGCAAATGCCCAAGTAGGCAATTTTTCTTTTCTGCTCCAGCTATTTCACAAGATGCCGCTACACAACGCTGTGGCTTGGACAATTCTTTTCCTCGCTTATGCTCACAATGGCGATCTTTGCATGGCCAGAAGAATCTTCTCTATGCTTCCGGAAAAGTCTCTTGTGGAGTGGAACGCTCTCATCCAAGCATATGCCCAAAACGGGCATGCCAAGACCACGCTCGAGCTCTTTAGCTTCATGGCGATGGAGGGAATCGCCCCAAACTCCGTCACCTTTCTCACCCTCCTCGCCGCTTGCAATCACATTGGCCTCGTCGAGATTGGCCGCTGGTACTTCCTCTCGATGATCCAAGACCACCACCTCGTCCCCAGTCACCAGCACTTTTGCTGCATGATCGAGCTCCTTGGTCGATCCGGGAGGCTTCGCGAGGCGGAAGAATTCGCTGCTTCCATGCCCGCAGTGGAGATGGCGATGTCCAGATCGCTAGTTGGAGCTTGCAACTTAAATGGCGAGAGTGATCGTGGAGAACGCATTGCTAGACGAGCACTGGAGTGTGACCCCGAGAACGCTGCTCCTTATGTGATGCTTACCAGCGTCTATTCCCTGGAAGATGGTGAGAACTTCTCTTTGTAAAATTAATCGATCACTTCTTGTTGATAAATAATGGATACATGGTACAAATGGTACACTATATACCTTCTTCAAGCTCTCTTCTCTAGAGGTGTGAAGAGCTTGTCGATGGATGATCGTGAAGAAAGACGGTGGAAGTCTCGATGGGCTGGGAGCTGTGCACTTCCAGCTCCAAATGATCCGGTGACGACTGGCTGAGGAGATCCTGCTGCTGCTGCTGGTTCTTTGTCCGGAGGAGATTTCTCGAAGACGACGAGAGGAGCGCCACTTCTCTCGAGCTCAAGTTCCTATGCCTCAGGCTGGATCGCGGGGACTCTTGCTGGCTCTCAGAAACTTCTACAATGTTTGGATTGCACTGTGACGACGCAGTTCTTGTCTTTGTTTGCTGCTCAGCCGCTGCCTCGAAAGCAGAGATGACGAGCACGCTTCCACAGCGCTTGGCTTCATCATAAGGAGTACGGCCCCATCTGTCAGTAGAAGCGTGAGTGATCGATCGCTTGCCAGAGGAGCGGACGTTCGAAAGTACCTGTCCTTGTAGAAGATGCTGGCCCCAGCATTGATAAGGAACTTGACAAACGAATTCAAGCCTTCGGCCGCAGCGACATGCAATGCGGTCCTTGAGTAATAATCTGCCGCATTTGGATCCACTCCATGGTTTATTAGACGCTTGAGGAGTTCTAAGTTGTTCTTTACCACCGCGCGGATGAGCATGTTTCCGGGGTAAGTTAAGTTGAGCCTGGCTCCCCTCTCCACAAGGATGCTTGCTGTGTAGTCGTGTCCACCTTTGATGGCTTCGAGCAACGGGCTGTTGCCTAGATTATCTGCGCACCCAAATGATCGTTTAGATTGGAAGTACGCTGGACTGAGAAGAAAAATACCAAGAGCGTTTATGTCTGCTCCTTCTCTCAACAGCAACGAGACGATGTCGTCGTAGCCTTTAGAAGCTGCAAGGTGCTGCAAGACTTGATCCTGATGAGCACACAACAAAGAATCAGCGTCAATGATTTCTTACGAGAGGCGTTTTCCCAACGTAGTCGGACTTCACAGGATCTGCTCCCGTTCGTATCAGGCTGCGCAGATAATACAAGTCGCCTTGAAAAGCAGCGTTGTTCATTCTCAACGTCAGCTCTGACTGCTGGTGCCCCAGTTGCGATTGAATCTCGTCAGTGAGCTGACTTACTCGAAAGTCTCCAGTTTGTTGCTAAGAAACAGATAAAGGAAAACACCTGAGGAACATGCTTGGATAATGAAGGTTTTCGTACCTTGAGCAGATTGTTGAGAACTTGGCGACTGTCGACGGCATAGATTTGCATTATGTTTGTAAGCACATGCTTGTCCAGCCTTAGTAGCGCGCTCAGCTCCGACACACGGACAGTATACGGCTGAGGGATGTTGCAAAGCACAGCAACTTCCCCGAAAATGTTATGGTCCTCGACTGTAAAGACTTCCTCAGAGCCATCTTCTGCAACAGAAACAACTTCCTGAGAAGGAAGTTTTTAAAACGAGAAAAACTTGTTTAGTCAAAAAGCACAGGCCAGAAATCCAAAACCACTTGCCAGCAGTCCATGCGACACAATGTAGAGCCTATCTGCAGCACTCCCTTGCTCCATTATCATTTCTCCTGGCAAAAAGTATTCCTTGTGTACGTTGCTTACCTGCGTCAGTGGTGAACGAACAAAATCCTATCAGAATCCAAGAGTCAGAAGCGAAACAAACTTACAATCTGGTTGATAAACTCGTTTGAGCAGCTTTTAAAAAGTGGCACGTCCGCAACCGTATCAAGGTACAGGGCCTGAGAGACCTGGAAGCTCACAGATTCTTTTTAGTATCAAACAAGTTGGTTTTGTTTTGACTACCTTGGCACGAATAGAAGCAGGGAATTCCTTCATCACTGTCCGTTCTGCAAGCTGCCCTTCAAACTCGAGCCGGACGTGAGCTTTCATTTGCTGCCTCAGGTCCCTTGGAAGGCTGTGCATGTTCATAAACTTGATAATCCCCGCCATCCGGTCCCGAAACTTCTCGGTGCTCGACCCTCTCACTATCAATCCCGTCATGTTTCCAATAAGATATGCTCCCAGGATCATGTCAAACGAAACAAAGATCATAACGAAAACCATCTCCCTGACGTTCACGGCATGAATATCTCCATAGCCTTGCGAAACAACGAATAATTAATCACGAAACTTTGCAACGATCACAGAAAAGAATCCACGTACCAACAGTCGCCATGGTGAGAATCGCCCAGTAGAGCGCGGTGACGTAACGCTTCAAAAGATCAATCTCGTGGAAGTTGTGGTAGGAAAAATCGCCAAGCGTGAGGCTGCCGATCCAGGTGTAGGATTCCTGCGAGTGTGCCATGGTTGTTGCGAGGTAGTAGAAGATGCAAGCAGCCGTGTGCGTGCAGTAGAGCTCCACCGTTAGCAGTTTCGCAATCCTCGCCACAAAGTAGTGGACGCGAATGTCCTTCTCCAGCCTCTTAAAGAAACGCTCCACTTTGCGAACTCTATACAGCCGGATCCACAGCATGTATCGGATCTCCTCGTGTCTTCCACAAGCCTGAGAAAAAAAGAAGAAAAAAAACGAAAAAAAAAAGAGAAAAGTTTTGAGCGATCTTCGCGAAGAAACTCCTGGTGTGGTGTGTGGAGTGAGCCATTGGTTACCTTGTACAGTGCATCCCAGGGCAGGCACGCCAGGAAATCTGGGATGAGATCCGTCTTTCCATACCTGCCAAGCGATTCACCATCCAAGAACACTGGAAGGAAATATCTTTTTACCTCAAAGCGATCTTCTTGTGGTCCGTGATCGTCTTGTAGGTGTGGGAATCCTTGAAGGCCACGAAGAAATTGATGACAATGTCGGCCAGGAAGATCACCTGGACGACCATGTCGAAGACCCCGACGCGCCAGGGCAGGCCGCGAAAGAAGCCGAATTCCATGGGCGTGAAGAAGGAGGAATACGCCGCCGACACCAGGATGAAGGTCGTCCACCAGTGATGCCATCTGCGAGTCGCGCCCACTCAGTGAGTGATCCTCGCCGCGATCCACCGATCGGTATCGATCGATCGGGAGTGGAAGAAATATTTCCAAGAAAACGCTCTTACCGCGACTCGGGCAGAATGACATGGAGCCTTAGGGCTTTAAGCGCCGAGCTACTGGCTTGCCATTCCCTGATGTATCGCGACACTCGCGATCGATTGCTCCCATTGCCCTCGTACCCCTCCCGCTCGAGCCTCGGTTCGTCCTCGTCCATGGGCGATACATTCCAATCGCTGGAGCTCCAGGATCACAAATTCCCCTCTTTGGAGGATCGACACTATTGATCGATCACAAGATCGTGAGCTTCTCGAGCTCCAAGCGCCGGATTCATGTGTGGCGCACAAGTACGAGATCACGGGGAAAGCCTTCCAGCCCGTTTCAGTGCTTTGTCGCAAATTAAGTAGACAATGCCATGAAAGCTTAGCTGGACGCTGATGTGGCACGTGCGTGGAGCTTGCGTGGCATGGTCGTTATTAGCCGCGAGGTTAAGACTAAACAGGACTGTATCATTTGACTTCCCGTACCAATCATGCGCGAGGGAATCTACGGATCCAGTGGACTCGGCGGACAGAATCTCCTTGTGCTAGATATCTTAGTCGAGAATCTCGTGACAATTCGACACCCACTTTCTAATTTTTCCACTCGGCTGAAGTTGAGGTTGATCGATTGAGATAAACGGCTTGTCGATCCCTGCAAGGGCCAAAGCTTACAAAATCACGCCAATCATATGCCAATCGTAATCATGGTTTGAGCATAGATGTTACAAAGTACAAACCCAACTTTCAACTAACAATGATGTGTGATTCGTAGAAAGCATGAACTGAAAATCAAAATCGGCAAGCTTTGTCCATGAATGCCACTTCGTATTTCATTAGAAACTCTAGAATGAATTATGTAAAGGTTATTAACTTATTTGTTGAATGATTAATAATATAGCTGTTAAAACCATTTGGATCATTATGTAGAATATACTTAAGATTTAATCATTTAAACATTCAAAGAGCACTAATTATTTATTTATTTATTTATTTATATGCATAGCTAGCTCCAAATTTACAGATACTTAGCTATAGCTATAGCGAGCAACCTTGAGCTCAAGCTCTTAAGACTTCGGAATGATCACACGCAAAAACCCGTCGCTGCAAAGCACACGAGAGAGCATTTAGATCAGAGAGGAATTGAGCCAAAACTTTCTTACATAAACTCGGCAGTGGCTCCATTCAAGTTGGCGTTCTTGGGCACACTCCACACCGAGCGGTAGGGGCCGTAGGAAATATCTCGCCGGTGATAAACCCTGCAGTCGCTCTCGGAACTCTGAGTGAAAGACTGGGAGCTCGACCACCACTCCCTGGAGCGAAATCCAGTCACTACAAGCCTGTCCATCCAGCGTTTGGTAAAACGATGAAACGAGAAAGAAGAAACTTAGAGAAGAGCATCACCTTCCACGGTCGATCTCCACTCGAATTCCTTCGGCGTTTACACCTGGTAGCTCCACCGTCACAATGTGCTCGGAGTCGGACTCCGTGACATCCATGCGAGGAGACCACTCAAAGCCTCGGATGGAAGTCTCGCGTTTTTCTTCTTCGTGCAAAAAAGGAGGAAGAGACCATTGCAACTTATGGATCGAGAAGAACCAGATGGAAGTACCTGAAGCCTCGGTAACAGGACGAGAGCTCTTGATTTGTGCCGCATGCTTGGACGCGGGCCTCGCAAAGAGTGGAGTTTCATCTTCACGAGACTTCACTACTTTGCTGCTGGAGAACTCCTCGTCTTCTTTTTTGGCACAGTCGCCACTGATTTTGCTAGTGTTCTTGGAAAGACTCGCTCGGCTCTCGCCATCCGGCATCACCTGAAGAAAGAAATTCACGGAATCATAGAACGGAAATGGAAACAAAGGAAGAACATCGCATTTTTTTCTACGTACCTGTTTTAACTCGGCAGGTCGCATGAATTGTCCTCTTGCTTCGGCCCCTTGCCTCGCAAACATGAGCATGCTATCGCGACGATTTCCCGAAAATGCGGGGGTGGAGGAACATTCCTGCGAAGAAATTCCCAATTCCAATTTCCACATCCAATTCAGCCTAAAGACTCACCGATCTAACGATCAAAGGGCCCGATTGAAGCCGCAACCCGTCCTCGAGATGGCACGCCAGGTGATACATCCTCGCGCGCGCCTTCTCATCGAGATCCATCTCAAATTTTCACCGCCAGAGAGATCGATCAGCGAGCTAGAGTGCTTACACCGGAGAGAAACCTAGCGAAGATCTTCCAGATATTTAGGGAAGATCATATGAGCCACGTGGAAGTGTTTTATTAACGCATTTTTAGGGTTCTTCGTCCATAAACCCTAGCTCGTCTTATCACAAAAAAATGAGGGGTTCACAAATAGATCCTCGCGATCGCTCTTTGCCGGCGCGCATTGGCTCGAATTCTAGGACTCGACAATTCATCGCGAATGTCCTCTTGTCTCGGATCGCGCTGGCGGTAAGCTGATTCGCGGCATTGCGAGATTTTGATGGCGAGCGCAATGGCGTTTGGCTGGCCATACCAATGGCAGTCCGGAGGAGGAGGAGGGGTGGATGTAGTCGTCTCTTCGCAGCAACATTCTCGCAGGCTCAGGATTTTCTCTCCGGCATTTAGAAAAGGAGCCGAATTGCTGGTCACCGAGGACCAGATTTCGCTGGAGAACACGTTTGTAGCACTGGAATCGTCACTGGAAGGCCTGGAAGTGCCTAGGCTCGGGGAAGCTCCCGTGGAGGCCGAGATAGCTTCCACGAGCTCAAATGGTTCCACTCAGGTGATCGAAGAAAAAACTCCCGAAAGAAGAAAGAAGGAGTGGACTGGTCCGATCAGACCTCGCAAACATCCTCCACTTCCGCCATGGACGGAAGCACAGTGCCGAGAGAAGCAAACGGAGATTCTAAACGAGCTCCTCGCCAACGATCAGCTAGAGGGAGGCGGGCTTCCAGTGGCGACCATCCTCGATGGATGGCTGGGAAAAGTTTCCAGAGTGGACCTCGCCAACGTTATCAAGGATCTGGACGCTCAAGGCAAGCACGCACTGCTGCTCGAGGTGTTCTACTGGATGCAAAGATGCAAAGGAAGGCTGGTTCCAAAGGCACACCTTTGCAACATGGTGCTGGGCATTTTGAGCCGGGCTAGATTGATAGAGGACGCCGAGGAGCTCTTCCAGTGGATCAAGCTCCAGGACTGGGATAAGCTACGTCCATACAATGCGATGATAGCAGCATACTACCAGGCAAAGAGGCCCAAGGACGCCTGGGATGTTTACTACCAAATGCTCGCGGAAGGCATCGATCCAGACGACGTTACTTACGACATTCTTGTAAGTGGGAGTGGAAAGAATGGCTATCCGATCGACAGGCTCTTCTTGGAGATCAAGTCTAGAGGGGTGGCGCTCACGTTACGATCATACAACGTCGTGATCTGCGCGTTCACGAAGGAAGGAAGCATTGACAAGGTGGAGGAAGTGATCCGCGAGATGATACGGCAAGAGCTCCGGCCGGATTTGTTCTCGTTCAACGCCTTGATCGCCGCATACGCCATGTCCAGGAAGCCGGAGAGGGGACTACAGGTTTTCAGCAACATGAAAGCCGCGGGTGTTCTTCCGGACATCGTGACTTACACCACGCTGATACAGATGTTTAGCCGGAGCGCCATGCACAAGGAAGCGATCGAAATGTTCGAGGAGATGGTGGTGAACAAGTGCCAGCCGGATTTCTTCGTCTACAGCCTGCTCGTCAGTGTCTACGGCAAAGCTGGTCTTGTGGCGGACGCTCTCCTGATATTCCACAGGCTTCAGCTGGAAGGACACAGGCCGAATATCGTCACCTACACGTCCCTAATCTCCGCGCATCTCCACAAAGGCTTGCTCGAGGAGTCACGCAAGCACTTCTCACAGATGGAAGCGTATGGATGCCGAGCCGACGTCCATCTTCTAAACACAATGATTGACGCGTATGCCAAGGCCGGGATGGTGAACGATGCTGCTAACTTGCTGCACAGACTCACGGCTCAGGGAGTCTGTCCGAACAGAGCCTCGTATGCCATTATCGTGGAGGGATTTCTTCATGCCGGACATGTGGATGAGGCTCTTGCGGCATACGCATCGATGTCCGAGGCCGGTTTCAAGGATGAGAAGATGAGCTCCAGGATCTCCAGAAGAAGCAGTCCGAGGAGATGATATCATTTTTGACACAGGTACGAGCTTTTCTTTCTTTTTCTCTCATTTCTGGCGAGCATTTGCTCTAGGATAACTCTCGACTCAAGAGCCCTGCGAGTTTGTCTAGCTTGTTGGTACCACCAAAGCTTACCGGTAGACCGAATTTTGTTTGTTCATCGGAGACAAGAGTACTAACGCTAACACTTTCAGGTCGATCGTCTGGGATTTACTCCCTGCTAAGGATATGGTCCAGTGACATTGCCGGATTGTCGAGCCTATGGTGTCGTTTAAAAGCCGCTGGACGCATCGAAAGACTCTCCAGGTACTCGGAGGCTCTTTTCTTTTTTTCCTCCTTGTTAGGCACAGCGTTCTTTTCCTTTTGGAAAAAGATCTAACCTTTGCTACTACTGATTTTGGCTTGCCAGAAGCTCCAGAAACATCATTCTTTGAGAGCTCGTGCTTGTCAACCATGTAACGATCAAACTTTTACATTTTCTTTGCAAGAATCGATTCAACGAGCGCTGTAGCCGGAGTTGTTTTCATTCCAGAGAAAGCACTCGATCGTTATCAATCATCCAGAGCCCAGATTAGCAACGAAACAGCGGCCAAACTATATATTATTTCCTGCCTGCTCTTTCGTCCACTCAGGCCCAATCCATCCACGTCTGGAACACTCTCGAATTTCAAACCTCACGTAAAGAAGCATAGAAAGATGGAAGTATTGTCATCAAATATATGATTCTTAATGCTCGAGAAACCCGTCATCTTGCACAGGGGTGGTGGTAATTGCTTGCATCCCGGGAGAGAAGAAACAAAAACATTATCTTAGAGAGGTGGAGGGGAGGAGGGAGAGATTCATGTGTGTGGGCACAAAGACGACGTCGATCGATCCATTAAGCTTGCTCGGCTCGCGCGCTGGAGCTGGAGCTGGAGCTTCTAGAGCTCTAGGTTGGCTTGAAGACGATGAATCCCGCGCATTGCACTTGCCTGACCCGGTCGAATCCCAGCACTCGAATGAAGCTAGTGGGGAAGTCCTTCTTGCACTCCTCGATCTCCCTCAACACCTGGGCGGAATCTTGGCAGCCAAACATGGGGAGCTTGTACATGGTCCAGTAGCGGCCATCGTAGCATCCCGGGCTCTTGTGGCATTCGCGGTACACGTATCCTTTCTGCAAAGAGAAAGAGAGACAGAGATTCGACCGAATCCTCGCGATTTCAGTGCTTGTTCTCGCCAAAAACCAATGGAGTTTGATGGCGAGAGGAGCTTACGTCGGAGAATTCCAGGCAGGGGAACCATCCCTTCTTCAACATGTAGTCGATCTCCTTGGCGATCTGGTCGGGCGAGAGATCCGGGAGGTACGACAGCGTCTCAAACCTGGGATTGTTGTAAGGCGTCCATGTCTGGGGAGGGGGTCAAGGAGGAGGAGATCAGTTCTCTCTCTTGCTTGGGAATGTGGAGCTCCAAGCTTGGAGCGATTGATCGCGCGCGAGAGAGGCTACTCACCAGCATGCAGCTCACACGGCTCCCATTGGCGACGGTCTTCTGGCTCCATTGGAGTCCTCCCTTGTTGGCAGTGAGAGCCGTGGTGGCCTTGAGACCTGTGAATCCGGGGACCTTGGGAGCCATCGGGGTGGAGAGCGCGGCCATTGGGATCACAGCGGACGATGCAGCCCCCGCCACCATGGTGGATTAGAGGATTGGGAGCTCGAGATAGGGAGGGGGAGAGAGCAAAGCCAAGAGCAATGTAGGGCTCTTGGGAGATGGGTATAGATAAATACTTCGAGAGAGGGATGCCACGAACCACACACGGGAATCCTCTCCAGGGCCAGATAGAAAGTGGAGGGAGAGGAGAGAAGGCTGGCGCGCCCACCGCAAGAGGACGATAAGACGCGCCAATGAACGCCACGTGGCGGGGTGCCTAGGCCGCATATTCAGGATATAGCTGAAGGCTGATCAAGTCCATGAAAGTTGACTAGGGCAGGCGTGGCACGGGACCTTGATTGACTTGGTCAACAAGGGTCAAGGCAATCATGTTGACTTTGTTTGCACAGCAGGGCTGTTGTGTTGCCGCCCAGCGCACATTATCACCCCGGATTTAAAATCCTGAAGCTTAAGCCTGCTGGATCTATAGATTGCGGAACAAGGGGAAGAAAGATTGGATTATATCTCTACTGTTCTTTCGTGATCGATTCAACTCTCTCTACTTCTGTTCTTAATTTACTCCAATTGTGTTCTTTCGTGATCTTCAAATGGAGAGATCGAATTCTCGTCGGGCATTTGCTGCTCCTTTCATCGTCTTGGCAGTGGTGGTGATGGTGAGCTCGGCCTCGCAGGAGCCCAAGCGCCCATCGTCCGTGAGCTTCTACATGCACGACACGCTCCAGAACAAGACCCATCCATGGACGGACACGGCGGTGGAGGTGGCCGGACCACACCACAACCTCACGGGCCTCGGCTTTGGCAAGATCATCGTCTTCAACGATTCACTCACGGATGGGCCGTCGCTGGCGAGCTCCAAGGTCGTGGGAAAGGGTCAGGGCGTCTACATCTACGACCACACTCAGGCCGGGGTGGCGTTCAACGCTCTGCTCCTCTTCTCGGCGCTCATCGAGACGGGCGAGTACAACGGGACGATCAACTTCATGGGCGCGGACGTAATCTTGGCGCCATCGCGGGATATCAGCGTCGTGGGCGGGACGGGCGACTTTGAGATGGCTCGCGGCATCGCCACGATCACGACGCACTCGATCGATGGGGACACTTTCATCGTCCTGTTCAAGATCAAGCTCATCTACTGGTAAGCGATTTGTTTGTACTAATCAAGTTTGGGTGTTTTCTGGTTGTACGAAAGTTACATTCTCAAAACAATTTTTTCTTCCCTCTCGAGAGTTCTAATAAGGAACGCTAGATTTTTTGACCTTGCGTCTCCACCTACAACATAGATGATGGCGAGCGTGCACGCTCACTCCTTTTCTTAAAAGTCAAGCTTTTACGTCAGTGTGAGCGAAGCTCAAATGATAACCCAGTGTGAGCAAAGATCCATGATAGCGCATTCATCCAAGAACGAGCAAACCGGACACTCACTTAAAATCCAAGCAAAGCCAAGCGATCACCCATCCATGTCACAGCTACAAATTTTCCACCAAAGTTATTATCAAGTGTTACAACCATAGGAGAGGAAGACCTGTGCTTTAGCGCCGGCGTGAGGATCTACACGCCAAGCAAACACACGCCTCCATATTAGCCATAGTAATCTTTCAATTCCATGAGCGATCTTCTCCTTAGTTCTTGCCGCAAGTGCACACGCCCGTCTGTGCGCACTTGTCGCAGGTATCGGTACCCACGGTGCGGTTCTTGCCGCAAGTGCAAACCCCGGTTTGAGCGCACTTGTCGCAAGTGTCCACGCCCTCCACGCGGTTCTTCCCGCAGGTGCAAACCCCGGTTTGGGCGCACTTGTCACAGGTTGCCACTCCAACCGGGGCGGCAAAGTTCGCACCGCTGCGAGAGCAAATCACCTTTTCAGTGAGGGATGCATGGAGAGATTCGCGAGAGTTTCACCTGAAGTCTCCGGCGGTGCTCAGGAACGCAGCATCAGCGATCCTCTTGCCGCATCTGCAAGTCACAGCTCGAGTTAATTCGATCGCCCTTTTAAGAAACTCTGTTTGTGATTGTGACTAGGAGTCCTGGAGTGGAACAGGAGTAACAAGGATGTGATCCGAGAGAGCGAGAGAAACAAGAGCTAGAAAACAAAAGGTTCCTCTCAATCGAGGAAGAAGTTTGACAAGAATGAGACGTCAATCACTTACGAGCAGCTGGCCTTGCAGCCACACTTCGGGCAGCAGTTGCATGATCCGCAAGACATTTTCGATCAATAGGGAGGATTGAACTTCTTGCGCTTCCAAATCAGACACTATCACTACGAGCTCGGCTATGGCTTCCAGCCTAGAGCCCTCGCTAACAAGTTATAGTCGCGGTCTTGGGGCCACGAGATCCCCAGTCCCAAGAGCCAGTCACAATCTGCCACGTATTTTTATTCGTCGGGCTCCACCCGAGGTGATTTTTCTTGTCACAGACTGAAATAATGCATCGATTTTTTTCTCGGCTATGGCATTGATCGATCAAAAGGTTACAAACTTTGATAGCTAGCTAGCTTCACTCACTACTGCCACCACCGCCACCATCCTTACAACAACAAAAATGACTGTATGATTTTGCTGGCTGGAGTGTAGATGTACTCTTCTTTTTAAAAAGGTACCTGTGCATACGGATGCCAACTTTGAATGATTCGCAGCAAACGAGAGGAAGAGAAATCAAGGGAAAAAAGAGGAAGAAGCCCCACAAAGAAGGGACGATCTTAAGCGCAAAAACCATAGAACACACACTTGTTCACGCGAAATTCTCATCTAGGCACGCACCATATCCGATCGAATTGCGTCCTTTTTCCGTCCGGGCTAAAGTCCTGTCAACCACGACAAGATTGACAGCGACACTGGAGTGTAGCCGCAAGTAGTGCTGATTGCTTTGACTAATCTAGAAGAGTCAGCATCCGTTGACCACCACTGACTTGGTCAACGACTGGTTTTGTTCTATGTACAGATTCGACAGCAGGAAGTATGGAGCCTGGGAGGCCGGATCCAGCAGGAGCGCTTGGGCGGCGGCCGTGGCTCCCTTTCCAACGTCTCCTTGAGTCTTGGAAGAACCCAGCAGAGTTGTCCAAGCGGACAAATCCGGGACGAATGGCATTGTGTTCATGAGTTCCTCCGCTTGCTCCAAGTGCCCTCCTCGCGCCAACACGTCGATCATGCAGTAGTAGTGCTCCGGCAAGGGATTCCCCAGCATTCCAAAGTGGTCTCTGGCTTGATCCACGAAACCCGCGCGGCTGCAAGCAGTGAGAATCCCCAGAGTTGTCACCGCGTCGGGAGCAAAGCCTTGGAGCTCCATCAGTCTGTAATGATGGATCGCGAGCTCGCCATGGCCTGTGTTGGCGTAAGCGTGGACCATGGCTGTCCAAGACAAGGAGCTCCAGCTGTGCGGCGCGAGCTCGTCAAAGAGCGCTCGAGCTTCATGAAGATCCCCAGCTCGGGCATACCCAGCGATCATTACGTTCCAGGACACAACGTTTTGCAGCGGCATCACTTGAAACAAATGTCTTGCTTCCCGCATATTCCCGCTATGGACGTAGGCAGTGACCATGCATGTCCACGAAAAGATGTCATGCTGGGGCATCTTTTGAAACGCTACTACTGACTGCTGTAAATTTCCACTTGCGACAAATGCTTGAATCGTCGCGTTCCATGATAGCGAGTTTCGTCTTGGCATCTTGGTGAAGGTTTCAATCGCCTCCTCTGCAGCGCCAACTTGGGAAAAAGCCGCAATGATAGCGTTCCAGGACGTGAGATTTCTCGCTGGCATGGAATCAAACAGAGCTCTCACTTTGAGCAAATCCCCGCCATTAGCATAAGCCGTGACCATGGCGTTCCACACCACGGCGTCCTTGCCGGGCATGCTCACGAACAGGCTCTCGGCCTCGCGGGGCTGGGCATTGTCACTGTAGACCTGGAGCATGACGGTCCAGGCAACTACATCGCGCTCAGGAATTCGATCAAAAACACGCCTTGCAGCATCCACTGAAACGCAGCTCGCGTGAACGATGATCATAGCTGTCCATGAGACTGCGTCTGTGTGTGGGATCTTTGCAAACATGAGCAGAAATTCTTCTAGCTTGGCGTGATCAGCGTATGCCTGAAGCATCGTGTTCCACGACACGAGATCTTGCCCGGGCATTTCGTCAAACACGCGCTTGGATTCTGAGAGATGCCCGGTTTGGGCATACACTGTCACCATTGCGTTCCAAGACACCATGTTTGGATTTGGAATCCGATCAAACATTTCCTTAGATGCATCAATGTCGAGCCTCAAAACGTAAGCGCCCAGCATCATATTCCACGAGACAAGATCCTTGTCTGGCATCAGCTCAAACAGTTTCCGCGCTTCGTCGATATACCCGTTTTGGGCATAGGCTGATACAATCATCGTCCACGAGAAGACATTGGGATTGCTCAGGCGATCAAACTCCACTCTTGCGTCCTCCACACTTCCACATTTTCCATACATCTCGATCACCAGGTTCGCGAGATACAGGTTTCTCTTGTAGATGCTGTCTTGAATCCAGGCGTGCGCTTGCTTCCCACGCTCCAAGTTGTGCGAATCTCCGCATGATCGAAGCAACAATGCGTAGAAGGCAACACTGCCCTCGAGAGCTTGCGAGCCCGTCTTCCTTTTCCTGGATTGCTGTCTAAACGCTCTGCCCAGAAGCTCTCTAAACATCAATCAAAAAGTAGTAAAAGAACAACATTAGGAGCATTTGACAAATGCAGGGACGTGATCTTTGGCAAGCAGGCAAGATGAAGTCTCGGCTGGAGGCTTGGAGTATAGGCCCAGGGAGTTGGGGTAGAAATTACACGAATAAGAAGATAGTGCTTTGGGATAAAATGAACTCAATTGTAACTCTTCTAATAATTGTCTAAATCAAAATTATCTATATCAGTAATCCTGCTTACTTTTGACATTGACATTGTTAACAAGTAAATGTTCCTCCAACTGAAGCATGAAGGGCAAGGGACGAAGCCCGAGATTGGATGATGAAGGGCCATGATTGTCACCATATTTGAACCCATTGGTTTTGGGGGGTTCTATAAGACTTTGTAAACAGTATAGAGTATATGAATGAATGAATGAATATTACTTTGTCTCGAGAGCACTTTAAGCTGAATAGCATTTTACTATTAAAGTAATGCCTTTCACAGCTTTAGAATACCTGTCACAACTTGCCTCAAAACTATAAAAACCATAAGTAATTTATACATATATAACAACATACTTCATTCAAAGCCACTACACCAAAAACAAAAATAATAACAAGCTGTAAGAAATTCATTCAATAGAATGGATGATGAAGTTAAATATGATTATTTTGTTAAGAAAATCATACAATTTCTAAAATAAATTATGATGCATTGCATGTAGCAATGCTTGGTTTGTTTAATAGTAATGTTATTCTTACTTATTAATCCAATTGATCAAGTAAAGTTTATAATTATAAGCATGTTTGTAATTTATAAACACGATTAAATTTATTGCATATCAACCACTAGATAATAGAATAAAAAAGAATATACTAGAAAGGGTTTAAGAAATTTTTAAAGTTATAAACATGTTTATAAATTATAAATAAAAGATTAATCTAAATGAATAACAACCGTTAGATGGTAGAATATCCTAGAATATCCAAGCATATTCTAGGTATATCCATTACCATCTAGCCTACAGGTTTGCTTAAGCAAACTAAAAATCTAACATTTTATAAATATTAAAAAAAGTTAAAATACAAGAACAATTTTAATTAATTTAAGATATTTGTTATTGCTTGTTTTATTTAATTGTAGCGTTATTCATGTTTAGTTTTATTTATTAATTCAATTGATCAATCAGAATATATTATTATAAACATATTTATAATTTATAACGACTAATTTAAAAAAATTATAAATTTTATAAATTATAAACATCTTTATAAACTATATGGTAAAATATCCAAGAATATTCTAGACATTTCAATGATAAGAATCTAGTTTTTTAAAGTTAGAGTTGGTATGTCTACTATGAGATTCATTAAAGTAGCATAGTTTTTAAAAATTAAAAACTTCTAATAACATCTTGATTGAATTTAATCTGAGGGCTAACAAGACCCTATTATTTATAATTGTAGTTTACGGTTCTCACGGTTTAATGACTACATAGTAGTTTAATTATGTTTTCTCGTTATTCTGAAAATAATAGTATATGGTAATTGGTTTATACTTTAATTCAATATCAAAAGCTAAAGAAAAATACGACAAATATTTTTTAAAACTGGGTTGAACTTTATTCATTGACAGATTACAATGAGCTGGATTTAGGTTCTTCAGTCAATACTTAGCTTATTACGAAATGGCATGATTTGAGCAAATTGGAGCTCTTAATTCCTGCTTGTATATTTCTCTATGGGATTTTCATTTGTTTCAATAGTGATTGTACTACAGTTTTCTCCTGTGATAGGTTTTGGATCTATGGCCACAATCGGTTCTATGTGGACTGGCTATCCTTACATAGATGTAGGTGATTATTCCATTTGTGTTTTACAAGCAAATTCCTTACAACCAATATACTTGGGAAAATTTATATCGCCAGTAGGAGTACCTAAAGACAAGAAGCTCTTGGCTATTTCAGGAGGATCCGGGTTTGTATGTGGGCTGCTTTATGGTTCACAGTTTCCAATATGCTGGGGTGACATAGAATTGCCACAGTCTCTAGAAAACATAAGCTTTACAAGCTTGAATTGTGGCAGGAGCCACTGTTGTGCGATCCGGAGTGACGACAGTAAAATCAACTGCTGGGGTATATTCATCTACAAATCTCCAGACCAGCCATTCGTGTCAGTCTCATTGGGAATAGATTTTTCCTGTGGCCTGACCCAAGATGGAAATATTACTTGTTGGGGTCATCTCTCTGATGCTATACCACAACCAGATCGAGGCACTGGAACCTTTGTATCTCTATTCGCGGGAGGTTACTCCATATGTGGGATAGAAAGCTCCACAAGGGATATACTTTGCTGGGGGGAAGATGCTTCTTACACTTATGCTCCATCTGTTTTTCAATTCTCTAGCGTAACCGGAGGACGCTATCATATGTGTGGCATTAGAGCGGATAATCACCAAGTGGTGTGCTGGGGACAAAACAATGTTTATCAGCTTAGAGCTCCAAAGAATGTCTCATTCACAGCCATTTCAGCTGGCGACTTTTATACTTGTGGTTTCACGCGGGATGGGCGTTTAAGAGTTCTTTGCTGGGGAGGATACAAGGAAGAGTATTGGGAAGTTAACATCACTGGCATTCATGTTAGTCAGGCGATATGCTCAAGCCGGTGTCGCAAGGATCAATACCAGACTTCTAAGTATGGGTGTCCATCGCTAACAGATCGGGTGTGCTTGGATTGTTCAGTGTGTACTGGTGATGATATTGAGCTTGTTCCGTGTGGGATCAACACTGATCGTGTGTGTGGGAAGCCATCTTTGGCTTCTCATCAAGGGGATATTAAGAACCTGAGGAAACTCTTCCTTGTGCTGTTGTATTTGATCATCACGTTGTCTTTTGGGCTCATTCTCATGGCTACGTTTTCGTATTTTACTTATATGAAGAAGAGGAAGCTAGAAACACTTGCTAACATTGTGAGCTTTTCCAGGAGCGACATACTTTATTTCTCCTCGGCAGAGCTGAGAGAGGCGACCAACAACTACAGCGATGAAATGGTTTTGAGCAAGAGTGCTTCTGGAAATGTTTACAAGGGACTGCTCCAAAATGGTCAGGAGGTTGCTATCAAGCAAGCGAAGCTGTTTAACAGGTACTTGAAACTTATAAACTCCGTGTATGCCTCTCAGTGATGAAAACAGGTCGGAGAAAATGTTTGAGAAGGAACTGCATCTTCTCGGGAGAGCTCACCACTCATGCCTGGTGAATTTGATTGGATACTGTGAGGTGGACAAGCTTTTGGTCTTTGAGTTCATGCCCAGAGGAACTCTTTCTCAAAATATATATACCAAAACGCCACCATTGGACTGGGTAAGCCGGATAAGAATCGCTGAACAGGCTGCCCGAGGCCTTGAGTATCTTCACAGGTATGCATCGCCAAGCATCATTCACAGGGACGTGAAATCATCGAACATCCTTCTCGACTACAACTGGAATGCTCACGTCTCGAATTTTGGCCTTTGCTCGCTTGAAGAAACTCAAGCCAGTGGAACAACCATCACAACACCCGGTTACTTGGATCCCGAGTATGGTTCCTGTCTCCGCCTCACAGCCAAGAGCGATGTTTACAGCTTTGGAGTGGTTCTTCTAGAGTTACTCTCCGGTGAGAAGCCGATTGATTCTTCGAGAAATATCCAGGACTTGGCAGCTTGGGTGCTTGATCTCGTCGGACGTGACGAGTGGAACTCGGTGCTCGATCAAAAGTTGGCACTGCCTCCACAGCCGGAGCCTTTATACAATGCAGTGAAACTTAGTTTGGAGTGTACCAAGGTCAGAGGCAAGGATAGGCCAACTATGAGTGAGGTTGCTCAGAGGCTAGAAGAAATATTGGAAATGATTCTAGTACCTTCTTCCTTGAGTTCCATTACAAATACAACGGTGTCTCTCGTCTAACAAATGGTAATCACATGGTACCTTTGTCTACCGAGAGATTTTTCACCAGCACTGGTTTTCCCGGTCTGGTCCACTCCAAGTCTGACACCAAGTCAACTCATTCGTCGACTAGTCAACGCAAGTAATACCACGCTAGACAACAGTAAGTATGGTCAACCCTGACACTTATCTCGCAGCTCTCTCCCCAGGCGTCGCGTTCCCGTGGATCTTGGAGCAGCCCAGCACATTGTCACATGGCACGAGGACGTCCCCAGCGTGATCATGCAGCAATAGTGTTCAATTGATCTGTCCGGCTTCACCGATTGAAATTGGCCCTGGCTCTCGTCCAGTAGCCCCATACTTGAGCACGCCCAGCATTGTCGTAGAATTGGCCTCCAATCACTCCTCATCGGAAGACTTTAGCCAGATTCTTGAGGTTCTCATGGTGTTTCATCTCACGATATTGCGTTCTGGCATTTCATCGAAGAGTCTCCGGCCAATCCGCAAATGGCCTGTCTGAGCATAACAATAGCTGTTCAGAAGAGCGTTGAAGACTTCTCAAGGTCGCCACCAAATATAAACCACGCGTCATTGAAAAACTTACCTCGCTTCTTCATAAGATGACATTTGATCTAGCATTGATTTATCCGCGATCTCAACCATAGCTGGCAGCCGCTGGCCAGAGCGCTCCTAGAGGAATGGCCCAGAAAAAACGTCACCCCGGCCAGAGGAAGCTCCGCGACGCAAGCGCTGGCCATGGCGGCAAATTTTTAACCTTTTTAACGTTTTCTTCACATATTTATTAGAATAAAAGTATTGGGTTTGTTAAAGGTTTTTCAGCCAATTTTTAAAAAAACTGCCATTTGGTGTATGCGTCTCTAAATTTGTTTCATTAGTAACTTTGCTCCATTTTTCTCCTCTGATTGGCCACAATCAGTTCTATATGGACTGGCAATTGCTCCATACAAGCCAATTCCTTACAACCAATCTTCTTAGGAAAATACTAATGGCACGGACAAGAAGCTCTTGGTTACCTCCGGAAGATCTGGATTTATATCTGGGCTGCTCTGTGAGCTTTACAAGCTTGAATTGTGGCAAGAGCCACTGTTGTGCGATCCGGAGCGACGACAGTAAAATCAACTGTTGGGGGCTGTTGACCTAGACCAGCCATTCGAGTCAGTCTCATCGGGAATAGATTTCGACCCAAGATGGGAAGATAACTTGTTGGGGCCATCTCTCTCCTATACCAGAACCAGATCAAGGCTTCGCATCTCTGTTCGCGGGAGGCTACTCCATATGTGGGATAACAAGTTCCACAAGAGATATACTTTGCTGGGGAGTAGATGCTTCGTACACTTACGCTCCACCTGTTAGGATGCTACCATATGTGTGGCATACGAGCGGATAGTCACCAGGTGGAGTGCTGGGGACAAAACAATGTTTATAAGCTCAAAGATGTCTCCTTTGCAGCCATTTCAGCTGGCGACTATTATACCTGTGGTTTGACGTGGGATGGGCGTTTAGCAGTTCTTCGCTGGGGAGGATACAAGCAAGTATTGGGAAGTTAAGTCGGTGTCGCAAGGATCAATACCAGACTTCTAAGTATGGGTGTCCATCGCTAACAGATCGGGTGTGGTTGGAGTGTTCAGTGTGTACTGGTGATGATATTAAGCTTGTTCCGTGTGGGATCGGCACTGATCGTGTGTGTGGGAAGCCATCTTTGGCTTCTCATCAAGCAGAAGTTAAGAACCAGAGAAAACTATCCCTTATGCTATTGTGTGTGATCATCACGTTAATAATGTTGCCGTTTGCGCTCATTCTCATGGCTACGTTTTTGTGTTTTACATACATGAAAAAAGAGGAAGCTAGAAATGCTTGCTGACATTGAGAACGTCTCCAGGAACGAGATACTGTATATCTCCTCAGCAGAGCTGAGAGAGGCAACTAACAACTACAGCGATGAAATGCTTTTAAGCAAGGGTGCTTTTGGAAATGTTTACAAGGGAATGCTCCAGAATGGTCAGGAGGTTGCTATCAAGCAAGCGAAGCTGTCTAACAGGTACTTGATTAAACTCAAAGTTGATATCTCCCTGATGAAACCAATTTATCAGGTCAGAGAAAATGTTTAAGAATGAACTGCAGATCCTCCCGAGAGCTCACCACTCATGCTGAACTGGATTGGATACTGTGAGGTGGACAGCTTTGAGTTCATGCCCAAAGGAACTCTTTCTCAAAATATGGGTAAGCCGGATAAGAACCGCTGAACAGGCAGCTCGAGGCCTTGAGTATCTTCACAGGTATGCATGACCAAGCATCATTCACAGGGACGTGAAATTATCAAACATCCTTCTCGACTACAACTGGAATGCTCATGACTCGAACTTTGGCCTTCCCTCACTCGAATGAAGCCAGTGGAACAACCATCACAATCGCTGGCAAACCCGGTTACTTGGATCCCGAGTGGTTCCTCTCTCCGCCTCACAGCCAAGAGCGATGTTTACAGCTTTGGAGTGGTTCTTCTAGAGTTACTCTCCTGCAAGAAGCCGATTCTTCGAGAGATATCCAGGACTTGGTAGCTTGCGTGCTTGATCGCGTCAGACGTGACGAGTGGAACTCGGTGCTAGATCAAAAGTTGACACTGCCTCCACGGCTGGAGCCTTTATACGATGCAGTGAAACTTAGTTTGGAGTGTACCAAGATCAAAACCAAGATTAGGCCAACTATGAGCGACGTTGCTAAGAGGCTAGAAGAGATATTGGAAGTGATGCTGGTCACTCCTTCCTTGAGTTCCACTGGAACTACAATGGTGTCCCTTGTCCAAGTAATGGGAGTTTTTGGAGATTGCAACGTCTGGTCAACTCTGGTCCGACACCTCGACTGGTCAACGTCAGTCAAGACCCTGTCTTGGTTTGTATCATGCTAGACAACAGCAAGTACGGAGAAGAGTTTCTTGGGATCAACCCAGACGCTTGTCTCGCAGCTCTCTCCCCAGGCGTCGCATCGCCGTGGATCTTGGAGCAGCCAAGCAGCGACGTCCACATTGTCACATCCGGCTGGAATGGCATTGTATCCACGAGCTCCTCCGCATCCCGGATTTTGCCCGACGTCCCTAGCAGCGTGATCATGCAGCAATAGTGCTCGGACCCCGGCTCGATCGATCTGTCCGGCTTCATCGATAGAAACTGGCTTTGGCTCTCGTCCAGCAGCCCCATATGGCAGCACGCCGTGAGTACGCCAAGCATTGTCGTGGAATTGGGCTCTAATCCCTCTTGGTCAATCTTTCGGAAGAGCTCCAGCGAGAATCTTGACTTTCGATTCTCGGCGTAGGCGTAGATCATGGTGTTCCAAGTCACGATATTGCGTTCTGGCATTTCATCGAAGAGCCTCTGCCCGATCCGCAAATGACCAGTCTGAGCATATGCTGCAACAACCGCTGTCCAGGAGACGATGTTTCGATCAGGCATTGCGTCAAAGACTTCTCTCGCCTGCTCAAGCTCGCCACAGAACACAAATCCAGTGATCATTGTGTTAAACGCCACCAGACTCTTCTCTGGCATTCCATTAAAGAACTTCTTCGCTTCTTCAATATGCCCATTCTGGGCATAAGATGACATTAGTGCCGTCCATGCCACTATGTCTCTCTCTGGCATCTTCTCAAACAGGCGTTTACATTCCTCTAGCTGCCCGTACTCTGCGTACGACACGATCATAGTCGTCCACGTCACGATGTTTTTGAACGGCATCGCGTCGAAAGCATCTCTAGCCCGTGAGAGATGCCCGGCTTGGGCATATGCTTGGACAATGGAGGTTGAAGTTATAACGCTCGCCTCTGGTGCCTTCTCAAACATCGTCACGGCATCATGGAGCTCGCCAAGGTTGGCATAAGCGGTGATCATCGTCGCCCACGAGATTAGATCGCGCTGGGGCATCCGATCGAACACCTCCTTGGCATCGGCCAATCGCCCACCAAGAGCAAACGCCTGGATCATCGAGTTCCAGGTGACAATGTCGCGGTCGGGCATTGTCTCGAAGAGATCTCTCGCGTTTTCCAAGTAGCCATTCTCCGCGAGAGCCGTGATCACGGTGTTGCAAGTCACAACCGAGTGCTCGGGCATCCGAGCGAACAGGGCCTTGGCCGCTTGCAAATGCCCGTTTTGGACGCTCGCGTTCAGGATGATCCCCCAGGAGAACTCGTTCGGGGATTCGATGGCGTCGAAGACGCGGCGCGCAGATTCGATGCTGCCACACTTGCCATACATCTCGATGAGGAGATTATTGAGGTAGAGGCTGCTCTTGTGCTTGGTCGCAAGGATCTTGTCGTGGGCTCGCCGGGCCGCTGCCAAATCCCTGGAAGCCCCACACGATCTGATGATCCGAGCGTAGAGCGCGAGATCTGTGAGATCCAAGGGGTCTGTGACGCCCGTGAACTCGAGGTTGTAGTTCCCAGGAGGCATTCGCACGCCCACCGCCATTGGAGCATGGCTTAGGGCAAAGTGTTGTCTGATGTGGCGAGTACGTGTCAAACGGAGTTGACGTGGATCAAGGAAAGTCTGCCACATGGAATGCCAGACGTGTTAGGAAGTTTGCCACATGGAATGCTAATTGGGCGCCAATGTGGCGCCCATGTTTTAGGGTTCTTGAGAATGTGGATTTCTTCGCGAGGGCGGTGCGGCTGTGTGGCGATGTTAGGGATTGCCTCCAGGCGCAATGGCTGCATCGCCGGATTCTCCAGAGCGGCCAGATCAAGAACAGGTACCTCGCAAATCTGGTGGTGGAGATGTATGGCAAACTTGGCATGGTGGAAGAAGCGCGCGGCGTCTTTGACGCCATCGCGCAGCCGAATCTCTTCTCCTGGACGATCATCTTGAATGCCTACGCCCAGAACGGATTCGTGGAGGCAGCGCGAGAGATTTTCCGGGAGATGCCTCAGAGGGATGTGGTGGCGTGGAACGCGATCGTCCAGGCGCATGTTCTTGACGGGAATCTGGGCGATGCGCGGCGGCTGTTTGATCTGATGGAGAGGAGGGATGCCGTGTCCTGGACGATCATGCTTGCGGCATACTCGGAGCTGCGTGACGCTAGTAAATCCGAAGAGATCTTCGAGAGGATGCCGGAGTGGACGAGATCATCCACGAATGCGATGCTTGCAGCATATGCCCAGACTGGGCATTCCAGAGAAGCGAGGAGCTTCTTTATAGCTATGCCTGAGAAGGACGCTATCTCCTGGGACACGCTCCTCTCGGCGTATGCTTACGATCGATACTGGAGGGCGGTGCTCGCTACTTTCGATCGCATGCCACAGCACTGCGAGTTCTCGTGCTCGCTGTTGATCGGGGCCTTCGCGCAGACGAAACGAATCGAGGAGGCGCGAGGCCTCTTTGATCGCATTCCTGCGAAGAGCGTGGTGATCGAGAGCGCGATGCTGGACGTCTATGCCCAGAGTGGGAACCTGGAGGAAGCGAAGATCTTCTTCGATGGAATGACGCAGAGGAATGTGGTGTCCTGGAACACCGTCTCTGGAGCGTATGCCCAGTTCGGGTATATGGATCTGGCAAAGGTGGTGTTTGAGAAAATCCCAGCTTGGAGCATCGTTTCCTGGAACGTTTTTCTGCAAGGATTCTCCTCGGCTGGAAAACTCGACGAGGCCATGGAAGTTTTCGAGACCATGCCGCAACGCAACGCTCTTTCGTGGGTTGGCGCGATCATGGCCTATGCGCAGCTCGGGCATATCAAGAGGGCGATGCAAGCTTTCGAGGCGATGCCGCTCCAAAACATGGTTTCGTGGATGATCATGGTGGTGGCCTACGCCGAGAAGGGACACATATCCGAGGCGAGGAGATTGTTCCAGACGGTTCCTCGGCAGGAGAGCCTCTCCTGGAGCTTCGTGGTGGTGGCTTACTCGTTCATCGGAGCTGGAAGGGAGGCTCTCGAGGAGTTTTACAGGGTCGATCTGGAAGGGATCAAGCTTGACAGCGTGATGTTCTGCCGGATCCTCCACGCTTGCTCCCACACGGGGCTCGTGGACGAGGCACTCTACTTCTTTAGTGTCATGGTGGAGCGTGGAGTGGCAGTGGAACAGGAGCACTACAACTGCATTGTGGATATCTTGGGACGAGCAGGAAGGCTGGAGGAGGCCGAGGAGGTGCTAAACAGCTTGCCTCGCCTGGCTCCACACCTGGCGGGATGGCAGAGCTTGCTGAGCTCTTGTAAGATCCAAGCCGATGCCAGGCGTGGAGCTAGAGCTGCGCTGCGTGTGATCCAGTCCAGCCCCGGCTGCTCGTCTGGATACTCGCTTCTCGCAAACGTTCTCAAGTTTTCTTCCAGTTAAGGCGCGGTTCCTTCTTCCTTCTTGGATGCGCGTGAGGCCGCCGACTTCAAGCCGCCAGTTTTGAAGAGGTGAGTGTTTTCACTTCTTTTCTTTTCCATTTTGTTGTCGAAATGATCGGTGATGGTGCTCTGGCAGATTTGGACGACAAAGGCAACGAGTGGGACGTTTTGATGGTGATGACCACTTCATCGACGTCTGGTACTTTTATCACAGCTGCACAGGGTCGGCCGATGTCCAAAGTGACTCATGACTTTCGAGAAGAACACCAGGTATTCAAAGAGCACACGAGTACTGACCTTTTCTTTCCAGATCTTTGTAGGGTCCTAGTGATGCAAGAAGAAGATGGACGCAATCCATCCCACAGACAACCAGAGCAGCAGGCAATCTCTTTCGGGTAAGGAAACCAAAGATTCGCTTGATTCTTTTAAGACACTCGTCCAGTCAGGAGGCACGACCATTCCAAACTTTGAAACGACGCAAAACTGGTGATGCGCGGGCTGACGAAACAACCGAGTAGGATATCCAGTCCTCGCAGAACAAGAAAAGAGAATTTTTTCTGTACGGCGCCATATGTACGACGCGTTTTTCTTCTTTTTGTGAACCACACAAACACTGTAAACTCCTGCGGCCGCACACCACAGCTGGTCGTCACAGGCTTGTTTCTCGTTTCGTAGCGCTTGGGTGTCGCTCGTTTTTTATTCCTTTTCGTTGCGATCTTTCCTTCGTCCCGGTGACACATAAACACAAGCACTTAAAAGCTCTTCGAGATCATTTCGAGTTCCCCACATCTTCGCCCTTCTCAACACCTCGCAAAGGGAGATCCCTTTCCTCTTGCGATCTTGGAGGCCGATCCAGCGACCCTTTGGAGGAATTTGGGAGCCCATCATCGTTTCCCAGCAGCCCAGTTCCGCGATCCGCCGATCCAGCCTGGTCATGCGCACGCGTTTCAAGGGGCTGGTCAAGAGACTGCTCTTGAGATCGTCGAGAAAGGACCAGATCGTTGGCTCGTTCAGGGACAGTGGTCTTCTCAGGCTGGCCTCGTCCTCAACGGGGAACAACGCGAGGATGATCCTCGTCCAATCCCAGGAGCTTGGAGACATGGAGGAGAACGACGCGGTATCGGATCAACCTCTGGAGGACAATTCCTTGGATAGTTTCCACTCGTGCAAGACTTCCATCTCCTCGAGCGATCACCTCCCGATTCATGGTCATCCAGCGGCAGTAGAAGATTCAACAGCATCCTTCAATCTCCGGATTTATGCCGTGACTTGGAACATGAATGGCAAGGTATGAATATCGAATCTCTCAACGTTCCTTTTTGTTCTTACACTGTGACTCCCAGATCCCACACGACTCTCTTCCCAAGCTTCTAGAAAACGGGAGAGGTGACTACGATTTATACGTGATTGGGATCCAAGAATCGCCAGTTTCTTCGCTGAGGCGTGTTCTTCATCCCATTCTCGGCAAACAGTACAGGTATGCTTTCTCGAGTCTTTCTTTCGTAGGTAGTGTGATCTTTCCCATTTCTAGCCATAGCGTAGCAATGTTTTCGGTTCTTTAGATTTGTGTGACACATTTTCGTGAAATGTCAACTGAATTCTCGAGAGATGGGATTTTGACTTGGTGGCTCTTTTCTGCACAGCTTTGTGGCAAAGTCAGTGATGGGCTCGCTGCAGCTCTACGTGTTCGGGAAATGTTGGCTGCAACATCACATATCCGGTAAGCTTTGCTGACTTTTTCCGCGAATGAATCTATTTTTCATTCTTTTTTCCTGAACTCACTGGAGAGTTTGTTTATTTTTCTTGCTCCCCACGGGCAAACAGCCAAGAAAGTTGATAAAGTTCGATTCAAGGGCTTTGGTGGAGTTGTAGGAAGGCAGAAAGGCGCTGTAGCCGCGTCCTTTTGTATCGGCAATTCATCCTTCCTCTTCATTGCGTCCCACTTTGCCGGTAAGAAAGAAGAACTTGCTTCCAAAAACTGTTTCTAAACACGAAAACACAGCTCACGAGAAGAAGGTGAACGAGAGGCACGTTCAGTACTCGCGAACCCGGCAAAAGATCTTTTCGCGGCCGAGCACCTCACAAGAACAGCCCGGCAGCAACTTCATGGACGAGTCCGACGTTGTGGTCTGGCTCGGAGATCTAAACTATAGAATCGAAGGCAGCAGAGGTCTCGTCAAATCGTTCGTGAAACAAAACCTTGAGAAGGTACGATACAAAATCTTTCCTTTTTGGTTTTCATGGTTTCTTCCTTGTGGATCACAGCTGCTATGGAAACGCGATCAGCTCTTCAACGCAGTGGACAAAGGCGAGGTCTTTAATGGATTCGTGGAAGGACCTCTCGAGTTTAAGCCAACTTACAAGTACGATGTTGGAACGGACGACTATGATACGAGTGGCAAGGTTTGTGAATATTTCTGCTATGGATATTTGCAGCTCACAGTTTCGTGTGTTGTCTACGATCAGGAAAGGGTTCCATCCTGGACAGATAGAATTCTTCTCAAGATTAGAGATGAGAGCTCTATCAGCCTGGATGTTGTCAACTATCAGTCAATCGATTCTTTGCGGAGTTCCGATCACAGGCCTGTCAAGGCACTTCTTCGCGTCACCAATCTCAGCTAGAGCAAGTCCCCGACTCTCCAAAGTTTTGACACATACTTGTGACATAAAAAGGTTGTAATTTTCTATACGTCCATATCTCTCCCATGCTGAAGATCATGGGAGGTGGATTTTAATGAGATTTCACTTTCAACTTTAGTCGTGAGGGGATACAAATCGTTCTTGAAGGCATGAATGTCCGAGCTCGTGACTCTCGTGGGAAGAAAAAGCTTTGTTTTTTTTCCCTCTGTTTGTGTAAGGGATGGAAGCCCAGACAGAGCTCACATTTCTCGCGTGGGCATACGAAGCTCTAGTATAAATCCAGTGTGGATAACTTGGATCATTCATTGGAGGCATGGAATCGTCCTGTGGAGTACTTCTCCTTGTACTCATCGCTGCCGCGGCGAAAGCTTTCGCTGCTGCTCCAGCGTCCATCGACTGGCGAGCCAGGGGTGCCGTGACGCCAGTGAAATCCCTTGGAAACAACTGCTCAGGTGAGCTTCTTACAAGAGTTTCTCATGGATTTGATTCATGGGTCGAGTTCCAGATGGGAGCTGGGCATTTGCAACCGCTGCTGCCGTGGAAGGAGTCCACTACATTGCGACTGGACAGCTCGTGGACCTCTCGGCCCAGCAGCTCCTCGACTGTGACACGGCCTATGGGAACTCAGGTTGTAGCAAAGGCTTCCCCCAGAACAGCTTCCCCTATCTCGAGGAGGGTGCCGGCTTGCACAAGGAGGCCGACTATCCTTTCACTGGAAGCTCTGGCTCTTGCAAGAAGAAGGTTGCCCTCGATCGAAAGCTATCCATGATCTCGATGATGGTATCTTATTTTGTAGGATGGTCTCGTGGTCACTATCGACGGCTTTGACAACCTCTGGGGTTCCAGCAGCGACGCCGAGATGGTCGAGCGCGTAGCCAAGCAGCCAGTGACAGCTCTAGTGGACGGAGACGCTGACGCTTTCAAGAAGTACAAGAGTGTAAGTTCCTACTTTCGATTCATCCAAAGAATGTGAGTCGAGAACTTGTTCTTCGTTCTTGCAGGGCATTTTCAAGGGACCTTGCTCGGAGGACAAGCCCCGGCTGGCGGTCCTCATCGTCGGCTATGGCTCGGAAAAGGGCGAGGACTACTGGATCATCAAGAACTCCTGGGGGACTTCGTGGGGCGAGAATGGCTACATGAGGATCCAGCGCGGCAACCACGGTCTCCCCTATGGGCGATGCGCGATTAACTCGTTCGTCTACTACCCGACCAAAGCTCCCTCCACCACCGGCTCTACCGACGGCCTCGTCGGCTGGTGGGAAATGAACGAGAGAAGCGGCAGCGTCGCCAAGGATTCCTCGTCCAGCAACGCCGCGGGAACCATCTCCGGCGCGTCGTGGAGCTCGAGTAGCGGCCTCACTTTCAGGGGCTCGGGGAGAGTTTTCTGCGGTGGCGGGGCATCGCTGTGCGGCAAGACGCCATTCACGCTCGTTGCATGGGTGAAGATCGCCGCGTCTTTCAGATCCAAAGGCGTGATCATGCAGCAGCGAGGCCCCGGGAACTGGAACGGGAAGGTGACAACCGATGGCTATAATGGCGAGTACCAGCTCTACGTCCAGGGTGGCAAGCCGAGCTTCTGGGTGTACGGCGATTTCGCCGACCAGTTCCGTTTCTCGGCCTCGGCGTCCGTGAATGACGATCGGTGGCACCAGGTCGTGGCGGTGAGGCAGGGAAACCAGGGTCTTCTCTACGTGGATGGAGAGCTCTCCGGATCGGCCAGCGGCGAAGCGAAGAACTTGGTGTCCAATCTCCCGGTTTACCTTGGGTGTGACTGCCGGGACAACGTTGACTTCTTCACTGGATCTCTCTCGGGCTTGAGGATTTATAACCGAGCTCTCTCGGCTGACGAGATCAAGCAGCTCAAGGCAAGCAGTGCACCGAGTGCTAGCGATACCACGTTGCTCCACTCAACTGGTTGAGAACACTCTTTTTTGCCTTTCAATCAAAAAGTTGACCGCCTTTTGAAGTACAATAACCTTTAGTTGACAAAGTTTATCTTGAAATTTCTTAGTTCCATTTCATTAGATTCAAATCTAAATAAAAATTAAATGCAGATATGAAGATCACACACAATTAGTTTACATTTCAAAACATGGGTGATCTTATTGGGATACCTTTCCTTGCCCGCTTTCTAAATCCTTGAAGAGCAGGAGCTTGACGCTTGTCATGCTCGACAGTATTACAAGGGGCACTAAACACATGTACTGCCTCGTCCATTATCCTCGCACGAACTTGCTCAATGGAGCTTTGCTCTGGCTGCTTTCGTTTCCTGTTGGATGGAGCCTTTTTCGCCTTGGGAGCCCTAGGTCGATCCTTTGGCTGGACCTTAACGACCCGGGCTTGATGATCGTTGAGCTCACTTCTCGGTGGGGCGACCTCGCCAAAAGGTGGCGGAATGTTCTTCTCCTGACCCTGATCGACTTGGGCTTGCTGATGCGCGACGAACCCTTCACACTGGAGCTTGCAGTAGAGCGAGCAGTAGAGAGCTCCGTGCAGCACCCTCTTGCAGTGGCGGCATAGTACCGAGTTTTGCACCTCTATTCCTCGGGGCCTGGCGTGGAGATAAAAGATTGGGCCTCCGTTGATGATAAACGTCTCCAGCCCCGACGTATCGATGAGGCGCTCCGCCTCATACGCCTTGAGTGCAGTAAGGCGGCCTGAGATTACGATCTGCAAAGCGTTTCGGGGATCGCAAGTCCGGTGATCCTTTTTGCATTCTTGACACAGGGACACTAAGCACTGCTTGCAGAAGAAGCTCTTCTTGCGTTTCCCGGATGTGCAGTTGGCGTGGAGTTCACACACTGTGAAGAAGTCCGTCACGTTCAACAGAGCTTGCAACCACGACGCCATAACTCTCGTAAAGGAAATGTGTCTTCCTTTAGCTCTCCACTATTTACATACTATGTAAAATACACTTTCTAAATTAAAACACCTTTTCAAATATTCTTTAGAATATTTGAAAAGGTGCTTTAATTTATATTTTATGGTGGTTAAGAATATTAACAATAAAAAAATCTTTACGTAAGCGTAGCATTTCCACTGCATGCTGGACATCTTGTCGAGGGGGATGGTCCTAGAAGCCAATGAAGTCTTGAGAGAGTGAAACATAGGGTGCGTCATCCATTGGATTCAACTCCAGAGCTCTTGTTGCAGCCCAAGTTCCAATGCTATAGTCTAGCTTCGAGGCAGCCAGTAACAATGTCTTCCAGGTGACACAATCTGGACCAAGCGGCATCTCCTCCACGGCCTCACGCACTTGTCGCAGCAAACCAGCTCGTCCCAGCGCATTTGAAACGCAATTGTAGTGATCCAAGCATGGCGAGAGACCGTGATCCTCGATCATCGAGGAGAAAAGCTTCAGTCCTCGCCCCAGATCTCCCCTCGAGTTGCACGAGCTGAGGATCCAAGTGAAAGTGGTGCCGTCCGGTGGCACGTCTTCCATCCTCATTGAGCTCAAGAGCTCGACAGCGCTATCGTTTTGGAACACTGCACAGGCTTGAAAGATGGAGTTCCAGGACGGCACTGACTTCTCCGGAACTCGATCAAACAAACGCTTGGCTTCCAAAAGTTGGCCTCTCCTCACGCAAGCCGCGATCAAAGTGTTCCACGAGACAGCATCTCGCTGGGGCATAGCTCTGAAAATGTCAGCTGCTTCGCTCGATTCCCCATTCTCCGCAAACGCATCCAGAACTATGTTCCACGAAACCAAGTTGGTTTCTGGCATTTCATCGAAAACCTTCCGAGCTTCGTATGGATGCCCGTTTTGTGCATACGCAGCAACCATGGCAGTCCAGACCACAACGTTTCTCTGAGGCATTTGATCGAACAAAGCTTTGGCCTGGTCCATATAGCCAAACCGGGCATAAGCAGTGATCATAGTGCTCCATGAAACAAGGTCTCTTTCCTGCATAGATTCAAACAGAGCTATGGCTTCGTCAAGATTCGCTGCGTCTGCGCAAACAAGAATCATGGCATTCCAAGACGCCAGGTCTCGCATCGGCATTTGATCAAACAGTTCCCGTGCGTGTAATGGATGCCCATTACGGGCATATGCTGCGATCACCATGGTCCAAGAAAAGAGATTTGGCCTTCGAATGTGATCAAACACGTACTTGGCATCTTCGACGCTGCCACACTTGCCATACATTTCCACCACAAGGTTGGCGAGATAGACAATGTTGAGATAGTTGCCTTGTCTCAAGCAACTACATAGATCCCGAGCCTGGGATAAATCCCTGCAACTCTTCACTCGCTCGGCTAAAGAAGAGATCAAGACCATCTGTCACAGATTGCTGATAACGTAAAGAAAACGAGGAAAAACCATCGATCCAAAAACCATGCAGAGGATCGAAACACAGGAAGCCCGTGACGATCAAAAGCCCGAGCTTCTTACGAGCTTCATCGCCACGAGCAAAAGAACTGGCGGTGGCAGAAAGACGTAGCCCGAGAGAAAGCTTCCTCGCAGCCAAATCCCAAAGACGAGCGTGAAGACGGCAGCGTCGCAAGCTCCTCCCCACAGCGAGCTCGCTTGCATCACCAAGTAAGCCACAAGCATGCCTCTGCCACCTCCAATCAGCCATGCTACTGCGAGTGCCAGTTTGTACCACGTCGAGAGCTTGGTCCGGAAAGACATCGCGACGCCAAGAGCTGCCAGAGCTGCCCGGATTCCAAACCTGTAGAAGATCACTGCCAGCGTCCAAGTTGCTAGAAAGATCATGTTTCGGGAGCTTTGCCACTCCGCCAGCCAGTCTTCTCCGTCATCCTGTGATTCCTCGGCCATGTTTGAGCTATCGAATTCGTCGTCCCTGGCCCCGGTCCTGTGCCTCCTCACCCAAGTCGGCTCAAACTTTCGTCTCCTACGAGACGAGCGTCCGGACCTTCTCTCGTAGTCACTGGTATCGAAATCCACCTGAAAAAAGGAGCAAGGTGATTTTCATCGTATCGCGAGTCCGAACGAAGCACTTACGCGTTCATAGTATCTATAGCTTTGAGAGCGTGCATATCTGAAAGAATTGTAGTCCGTCCCCTCCGGAGAACTGGTTGTCCTGGTTCTTTGGTGATGAAGTGTTTGATTGTATTCTCTTCTGCTAGTCTCGTTGGACAAAACCTGGAAAAAAAGAAGGATCTATGGCCACGAAGGAAAAAAAAAACAAAGAACTTCACCTCATACGCTACTCGAACAGACTTGAAAATCTCTTCCGCGTCCGCGGCCTTGTTTACATCCGGATGGTACTGCACACAGCAGCCTGCCATTGTCAATACTAACGCTCAGTCACAACCATGGAGGAACAAAGAAAGAAAAAACAAGAACCAAGGAAGAGATGAAAGAACGAAGGAAAAAAGAAATCACGAAGAAACAATGCACTCTCACCTTGTGCGCAAGCTGCCGGAACGCTTTCTTGATCTCCAGCGGGCTCGCATTGTAGTGCAGCCCAAGAATCTCGTAGTGATTCTTCTTCCCGCCGCTGATAGCTCTTGGGATCCACAGCGCCCGCTTCCCGGTGAGGCGCGACGAGCGATTGAACCGCGAAAAGACCTGTGCAGCGCCGAAATCACAGCGAAGCGATGGCGATGGCGCTGCATTCTTCCCCAAAACCATCGACTGGTTTTTAGGGCTCTTGGAGAGATAAGCCAAACCCCTGGTTTTAGGGTTTTGGCGTGATGAGCTCTAGCGAGGACGAGGACGGCGCTGGATGGGAGGACTGGGCAGAGAATGGCGACGACGCTGGATCGATCGTGAAGTGTCTGCTTTGCTCCTCTTCCTTCTCCTCCGCCGATCAAGCATTCCATCACTGCTCGCAGCAACACGGCCTCGATTTTGGCGCTCTGCGGCTCCATTCTCGTCTGGATTTCTACCAGGCCTTGCGGCTGCTAAATTTCATACGCTCTGAGGTATGGTGTTGCGGTTCTCGCTTAGATTCTCTTCCAAATCTTTTTGTCTTTCTTAGGTAGCGGCAGAGAGATGTTGGAACTGTGGTGCTGAGTTCCAGGACGAGAGCGCATTCCAGGATCACGTCGATTCCACGCGGCATTGCTCGCTGCCCGGGTCTGATCGCTGGAAGGACGACTTCTACTTAGCTCCTTTCCTCAAGGACGATGCGTTGCTTTACAACTTCGACTTGGAGGATATCGAAGAGGATGGTAACGGTACCATTGATCGAGACGAGATCATCAGCGAGCTAGCAAACTTGGATCCGGGAGAAGGATCCATTGACGAAGCTATAAGAGAGCTTGCAACTAGCTCTTTGCCAACGAGTGAAGCGACTTCCACTGGGAATGGAAAACTTGCCGAGAAGAAGAAAAGAGTTAGCTTTGACAACGTTGTCAAAGAAGAGATCCTGCGCGTTAACAGCACGTACTTCAGCTCCTATGGCGAGTATGGGATTCACAGGGAGATGCTTGGCGACAAGGTAAGCTTCCTCGTTCTTAAATGTTTATCTTGATGGCCTGTGATTCTAGGTGAGAACCGAGGCTTATCAAAAGGCTATTCTACACAATCCTCCTTTGCTGGAGAATGCTCTAGTGATGGACATTGGCTGTGGAACCGGGATCTTAAGGTACAAACTGGCTGGTGATTTGGTCTAGAGCAACAGCTTGTTTTGCATTGCAGTCTCTTTGCGGCGAAGGCCGGCGCGTCGAAGGTGATAGCTGTTGATGGAAGCGAGAAGATGGCTATGGTTGCTCGAGAGGTAACGCTATTCTTTCTCTCGTTTTGCTGCCTTTCTGATAGTGATTCGTTTCGTTCAGGTGGCTAGAGACAATGGATTCATTAGCGATGGCTCTCCTGGTAATACCATAGAAGTTGTTGGAGGAATGATCGAAGATCTCGATGGAAAGTTATCCATCAGTCCTCACAGCGTCGACGTGATCATCAGCGAATGGATGGGTTACGGTCTCTTGTATGAGTCGATGCTTGGCTCGGTGTTGCATGCACGGGACAGATGGTTGAAACCCGGGGGATCAATCTTGCCGGACACAGCGGAGATGGTAAAGCTTGAAACCAGCAAAATTTATCTTCGCTCATGCGTTTTGTGTGCTTGGTTTGCAGTTCGTAGCAGGATTTGGCAAAGGCGCTACAAGCCTCCCGTTTTGGGAGGACGTCTATGGGTTCAACATGAAGCGCATCGGGAACGAAGTTCTTGAGCACGCAGCGAACGCACCCGTGGTAGACGTCGTGAACAGGGAAGACATCGTCACAGACTCGTTCTCGATCCAGGTATTGTCACGCAGACGCATTCCAGGACTATTTTTTTTTCTTCCTCCTGCCAGAAATTCGATATCCTCACGATGAAGCCCGACGACGTCGACTTCCATGCACACTTTGAGCTCAAGCCCAGGACCGCCTCTCCAGTCTGGTGCTACGGAGTGGTACTTTGGTTCGACGTCGGCTTTACCGAGAGGTGTTGCAAGGTTTCTCCGGTTACAATGACGACATCTCCGTTCTCTCCAAGCACGCACTGGTCACAGACGATCCTGACGTTTAGAAATCCAATCCTTCTAAGCCGCGAAGCAAGCGCAGGGCCCGGAGAGTCTGGCACGAAGGAGAACCCGGCAGCGTTGCTAAAGGGAAGGATCAGCATCGCGAGAAGCTTCAAGCACCGCAGCATTGATATCTCCCTGGAGACGGCGGCGGTGGCGGCTGAAAGCGGTGCCGCGTTTCCAATGCCTGTCCAGATTTTCGGATTATAGCAAAAGGTGAAGATCATCCCAAGCTTCGCAAAGCACTTGAGGGAGGAGATGGAATCACTCCCAAAGTTTTGCTCTCATGGCTGGAACGCTATGAATTTCATTCGGATAGAATCATATTAAATTTGCTTGTTGACAACAGAGATTATGCTAGAACATAAATCATTCCTCGTGTTAGCTTTGGGAGTTGAAATTATCAACAATCACGAATTTCATTTTTTATCAGCTCAGGAGCTTCTCCAGAGCGGCGTTCTCGTCTCCACCGCAGCACTCGAGGGCAGCAGTCGCAACTTCATCCGTGAAGCCCATTTCTACCAGCTTTGCTACCTGTGAAAGAACCAAGAGCTATGAGTTTACGCTAAACATCACTGTATACAAGTACCTTTTCTTCCATGCCAAGCGAAGATCTCTTCGCAAACGATTCAGTCCAGTATCTTGCAGTGCTCTCGAAGACTGGATACTCACGCAAGTACTGGATCAAGCAAACAAGCGAAGTTGTCAAAAACTTCTAGCACGAAACGTTTTTTTCGCTCTTTACCTGCTTTGCGACCACTGCGTCTTGAGGATCACCCGGCTCGGGCGTGGAGAGGAGCGCTTGGAGAGAAAGTAGAGCCGTCTTGAGAGTGAGAGCCGGGCTCCACTGGTCTTTGAGAATGTCTAGGCAAATGGCTCCGTTTTGGCTGCTGATATTGGGATGCCTGGGCAAAGTAAAAGGAGACAAGATCAGCATCAAAGAAAAAAAAAAAACTAGATTTTTTGTTCCTCTTTTCTCGTGCTCTCACTCACCAGACTTTGGTAATGAACTGCATTTTGGGGGGCTCGAAAGGATACGCAGCTAGAGAAGAACAAAATAAAAAGTAAGAGTTTGAGAAGAAAGGGAAAATTTACACTTACAGGGTAACTGAATGTCGACAGTGAAGATACCGCCCTCGTAGGGAGTGCCGATAGGACCAGTGATTGTCCCTCGCATTCTACTCAGGCCATCGTCAAATACCTGGATGCTCACGCCTGACAGCTTCTTATCGCGCTCGATCTCCACAAGCTCCTTCTGCACACGAGAAACATCGAGCATCTTCGCTTCCTCTCTGGCGCGCCCCCGGCGCCCGCAAATCCCTGCGGTGTCCCTCTCTACCTTTCCCCTCGCGTTGATCTGACCTAAGCGACCACAAGCACGGCTTGCCGTGCCTTCGCCATGAGCCCTTTCTTTGCCCACTTTTGATGCCACAAATAGCCATGATTCGAACCGCTCACCTTTTCAAAGGATACAATTTTTTTATTTTCTTAAGTAAAAGAGGTTATTTTATTATTTTATCCATTTTATAAAACATATCTGAATAACAAATTTATAAAAAACTTGAAATCCATATATATACAAGAAATTGCTAACAAATGCTGGGTGGTTGGCAAATTTTATGCCATTTCAAAAGGTTTGCTGAGTTTAGCTATATTTGCTGTTTAATTAACTCCACAATTGAAAGATATTCTCTTGACCGAACATGAATGTCTTAACTATAATTTAGTGTGTGTTAACGTGCTGGACATTTCAAAAAAACTAAGCTGTGGTGGCTGTGGTTATTGGTCAGCTCTTGCATC